TTTTTTTTTTTTCTACAAAACGAATTTGGAATTATTCAGAACTCGAACAAAGACCATAAGTTTCCATTTATTATTAAAACTTTTATTAGAGCAAGCTGCGGGTAATTTATATTTTTGCCTTATCGAGATGATTATTATGATTTTTTACCATTTTGATCTTTGAAAAAAAAAAACCTACCGGAAAAAACTTTAAATAAAAGTTCCTTTTAATAATTTTCTTAATGATTTGTACCAATTAAAATAATTAAACTAATTAATATGAGAATATATGTAAAATTTTCTTATATAAAGACACCAAATTGGTGGAAAAAAAATTCTTTGAATCAAAAACCATCTCGTCCATTTTTTCGTTTTCTTTTCTTTAACGGCTAACACCACATAACTTCTACCCAACTTACCCAACTTACCTTCCTCTCTACATATCATGTCCAAAAATCGAGCCGTTAAAAGAAAAGCATACGAATCACAAGGAAATTATCGCGTTTTCAGCCTATACGAAAACGCGAGTATTGATATGAATCCTTGTAAATCTCCCGCTAATAAAACCATTCATTTTGTGGGCGATGCTTGCGACAATTGTGACGGGATGGTTAATAATTTAACTCTGGATGCGGAGTTGTTATCAGAAAACTCCGATAAAACGAGAAAGGCTATCAGCAATAGAAAAAAGGGAATTGTTAAAGTTCCACGCCCTCCGAATGCTTTCATAATTTACAGAAGAGAGAAGAAAGCAAAGCATAACGACGTATTTTCTAAAAGAACGGAAGCTGAGATATCAAAAGTAGTCGGTAAAATGTGGCAAAACGAACCGGAAGATACCAAAGATATGTATTATAGATTAGCGGAGCACGCTAAAAAAAAGCACTTAGAGAAGTATTCCGGGTATAGATATAAACCTGAAAGAGGTAAAAAAAAGGATAGTAGAAAAGAAGATGAGTCCATTGAGACCATCATTGAATCCAATCATGAAGAACCGCCACCTAATTCAGACCTAACTCCTAATCCCGACTTAACTAATGATAACGCCGAGCCAATTCCAGAGTCAATAACACACCATGACATTCATTTGGCCAGTTATTCGTATTATCTTTATTAAGTTTAAGTAAAAATTTTAAGTTTAAAATAAGTTTTCGAATTTTTTTTCAAGACGATTTATTCTTGAAATCACGAATATAATTTTTTTTAAATTTTTTTTAAGTATTCGTAACTTTATATAGAAAAATTTTTATGTCAAATTTTTTTTATAACCCTTTTTTTTTTTTTTATAAGTTTCTATGATATATTAAGATTTTCTTTTAAATCGTTTTAATATATTCCCTAGCGTTACATTCGTGTTTTAGGTATCCTTCATAATCGTATGTATATATATATATCTATATTCATAATCGTTTATTCGCTTTTTTTTTCAATCGCTTAATATCATGTTTAATTAATTTTATGCTATTAAAATATAAAAATTAAAGTATCATAAAATTAATTATCGAATTTTCAATCGTTTATATCATATTTCCGAGATTTTATCGCTTGTTTTTAAAAAATAATTGGTTAAAAATAAATCTGAACGGCAAAAAGTGGCAAAAAGTGGCAAAGGTAACACCATTTTTATTAATCACCATTGTATAAATTATAAATTTACGTATTTAGTAAAATACATTTATTCAATATGGTAAAGAAAAAGAAAAAAAAGAAAAATAATAAATGATTAATTATATGCAAAAATAGTTTAAACTTTTCCAAATGACAATACTATAAAGAAATTCTAAATTTTCTAGATTAGAAAAATATGGTTTTCAACTAATCAAATTTTAAAATTTTAATTAACAGTTAATCGAAAAAAACAAATTTGGTTTATAATTCACAAACTTTTTTATCATAATGAGGTCATAATAATATTAATAATATTAAACATAAAACCATTCATTTAACAATAATATATCAAAGCATTTTTTTTTTTTTTGCATTCATTTGAAAATTTAAACCTAAATTAACCCACATAAGGTTTAAATTTGGACTTGATTTACATTCTAAATGACGTAATTCTTACCTAATTGATACTAATTGATACAATTTATTTATAGCTATGATTTTGTATATAAAATGAACCATTATTTATTATTATCATTTAAAAAATCTTTTTTAACCTTCAATTTATTGATTGCGTTATTTAAGTTTTGGTTTTTTCTGACTTTAAAAAAAAAAAATATCCGATCGAGATTTAAATTAATTAATTATGTTATTAAATTTTATTAATCATTCATTATCATATCATACACCATTATTCATAGCATATTTCTTACTCTTTTTAATAAACGTATTATTTGATACATGTTTATCAAATTCCGATTCAACATATTATTCTCTTTTATTTGATTATGATAATGATTCAAATTATGATTATTTTTCATCATCATCAACAACATCTAATAATATATCTTTTATAAGAAAATCTTCAAAATCCTTTTTTTTCTTTTATTTTATAAATTCATTTTGTTTTGGTTTACCTTTTATTTTTATTTTATTATTAGAATATAATAATAATGATGATGATATTATTGGTAAAATTTATCCTTATCAATTTGAATCTTTCATTTCTTGGTTTGGTATATTTTTGATTTTTTTGGGTATTTGGTTAAGATGGTATGCTATGAGAATCAATAAATTTTTTACTAGAATTCTTAGAATTGGTGAAGAATTCATAGTTACTGAAGGTATATATTATAATGAGATATTTTGAAATGTTTATTGAAATGTTTTCCTAATTTTTTTAATTATAACATTTTCCTAATTTTATAATTCTTCTTCTTTTTTTATTAAGGTCCATATAGATATATTAGACATCCAGGTTATTTGGGTCAATTGTTAATATGGATTGGTTTTGGTTTATCATCAGGGAATTATTTAGTTGCTTTAATTATTTTTATTGCAATTATTTTAACTTATTTGTATAGAATTAGAAAAGAAGAAGTTGTTTTATTAAGAACTTTTGGTGTTGATTATTTGGAATATTCTACTAGAGTTAGTAAATTAATTCCTTACATTTATTAAAAAAAAACAATCCCACTGGATGAAAAAAATATGGACCCCTTAAAAATAACATTCTTTTGTAGATATAAATATATATATATATATTTTATATATAAGTGAAATATAAACAATCTTTATTAAGTTTTATTAATTTAATGTATATTATTATAATAAGATCATTTCTTATACAATTTATACAATTTTAAATTAAAATTAAATATTTAAGGAAACTTTTTCCCATATAAAATAAATTATTTCTATTCTATTTTCCTATCACATCCAAACTTTAACTACCTCCGACCTAAGATCGATCTTTGCTTTTTTATCAATTTAAAACATTACCACTCATCGGTATATCAACATCCAAACGTTAACTACTTCCGATCTTAGATCGATATTCTATTCTCTAACTATCTTATCAAAACGTTACCACTCATCGATACATCTAACGTTAACTTCTTCCGACTTCAGATCGATGTTCTATTCTCTATCTTTGCTTTCCTATCAAATCACTTATCAATATATCTTTGCTTTCCTATCACACCCAAACCATTAATTTCTTCCGACCTCAAACGTTGACTTCAATGTCTACTTCCGACCCGGATAATTGTAACCATTTTACTTCACCTAAGTGATTATCAAAGGCGGCATCTGTTCGGATAAATTATCCGTAAAAGGAAGAATGATAAACTGCGATGTTTAAAAAGATTAAACATCAATGAATTAAAAAATTTTCTCTTTTTAACACAATAATCAAAACATTGTATCAAAAAATGTGTCTTCTGAATCTTGATTCTTCTCATTTAAAAAGTATTGTGATTTTGAATCATATATCTCTCGTCCTTGAAATAAATCATTAGTTTTATCTCTAAAAGGACTTTTCGGTCGTAAATGTGATGACATTACGTTCAAATTATTTCGCTTATTAGGTGATTCCAAATCAGAATCTATATCGTGCATATCTTCTTCTTCAAATGAATCATAATCTAATAAATCAATGTCATTATCTATATTATCTTTTTGTGAAAACTTTGTAGTGTATTCATTACATGTGTTCATAGTTGTTGTATCTTTGATTCCAAAGAGAAACTGTATATCTTCCTCATCCCAAAAGTTTTCATAATTCTCGGAATCTGAAGATTGTTCCAATTCTTCTTCAACCAAATTTTGATTATCTTCAAACTCATCAAACATTGATTCGACATCATCAACATCCAGCACCTTTTCAATAATGTTCATGTCATCATTATCAAATAATGATTCATTATCTTCAGATTCCAGATTAACAGATAAATCATAATCCGTATCATTGGTTTGATAAGAAACATCAAAATCTGCTTCAGGCACATCATGAGTAACCTTTGTCTTCTGTTTCAAATCAGAAGATTTTCTTGATTTAGCCGCTTCTCGTTCTTCGATGCGGCTGTCTAATACCTCTTCGTCACTTGACGAATGCTAAAAAAAGATCAAAGTAAATTTCATAATAATAATAATAATAAACATCTAAATAAAATTTTGATTTCTCACCTCAACAAATGATGTAGTAGGCACATTTATGTCTTTGGCAATAGTGTATAACCCATTTTCCAGGATGTTCCTTATCCGTTTCGAAGTCAGATTCTGGTCTTTAATATCTTGTTGTAATGGGAACGATAAATTAACCCGATCACGCGTTTCCTGAAAAAAAAAACTCAATTTAATTAATTTAATTATTACTTATATATTATTAGTAATTCAATCGTTAATGTATAATAAAAAAATGGTATACTTGGATGTGTTTATTGGTTTGCGATCGAAACTCATCATTAGGACTATTTCTGATAATACGCGCGATAGAATTCGAAATTGTTGGAATATACTTTGTTATAGATTGTAATTTCTATAGCAAATCCAAACAGAAAGCAGATTACATAACATAAATAAGGGTACACAACGGTTGTACGCTTTGATTATAATGCTTACTTCCTGATAATTTGGTGAAAATATGAGCGGATATCGTTGCGATAATAGGTTTTTCATTAAGCTTCGAAATGCCAAATCAATTGCGGCGATTTCTAAGGAGAGTTCCTGCTTTTCTGTTGTTAACTTCCGTCGTAACAATGCTGCGTGTGTGACGCGAAATATTGTCAAGGAAAATAAATAGATTGAAAACGTATTAAATAATTATTAACAAAAATGGATATCATCATTAATGGTAACCCAATTTAATATAATAGTCAATTGAGTTAGCGTTCCGTGTGGTGGTATCTGGTTTGCCTGATCGTGAGAAATGTATGGCATAGAGCATTGGCTTCCAGCTGCATATAACCAGTATTCTAAATGATCGAGTGCACGATTAATATAAATCTTTTTTAAGTGGTTTGTAAAATATGAGAAAACTAACTTTTACTAAATTGTCGAGATTTTACTATTGGTTCGGGTTCAATATTAGAGAATCCAAATTGCTTCCATATCTATCAATAATTAGCATTTGATTAAATCTAATCCATAATTAAAGATTCAAAATCCATGATTAAAGATTCATATAATAATAATATACCTCTGGTCTACATAGGCGCTTTAGTACTATACTTTCTTTTTTCGTATTAAGAGTATATAATTTGCCGTCTATCCTGTTAACAAAGTGTTTTAAGAGTCAAAGATACTTTTCAAACGCGTAAATAAACGTAAATTTTGGCTTAAAATAATATAATTATAAAAGGATATATTGACATTGGCTTTTCCCTCTGACAAAATAATGTCCATTTTTTGAATGTCCTCTTCACTGAGCTGGTTCATGGTCGGAATTAGTTGTAGGTTATATTCGATACTTTGAACACACGTTATTTTTAACATGCTAAACGTCGGTTGTTGAACGGCTTCGGTTACTGTTTTCAGGCAATTTGGAGTTATACACAAAGTCGAAGTACGTTCAATTGTGTGATTAGGAAAGGTTTGCGTCGCAACACTTCTAACACTTTTTTTGGAGGACATTATTATGGACATTATTAAGGTAAAGTTTCGTGTAGATAATCGGAAATGACCCAATAATGTAAATATATTTATGATTGGTTGTCATGAAATTTGATCACATGATATGATGAAAATCCACTAACCTCTTTTACAAACTTTTATATACTTATATGAAAGTCGGAAGACTTGCGTTTTGCAAATATATCGTTTTTGATTAATCGTTCTTTGTTTCATAAATTCTTCACACTGTTGATATTTTTTTTTTACTTCCCAGTTCTTTTTAATTTATTACCATATAAGCCGAACAATAATTTCTATAACAGTATAACAGTTTTATTTTACTGAATATAAAAATGCGAGGTTTAAGAGGGTTTAGAACGAGAAGATATATACAACTGGAAGACACTGGCTTTTCCGATGCGCAGTTTCGAAGACCAGTTTACCCGAGTACGTTATTATTGTTATTGTTTGATTTGAAATTTTTAATATCTGTCTTTATATTGATTGATTAAATTTTTTTTCATATTTATATAGTTCCATGGAAATCAATTATTTTAGCTACAATTTTATTTGTACTGGGTTCTTTAGGGATTATTTTGGGATCACTTATTATAACTGGTGTTATCGCAAACGAGGTATGAATTTTTTAAATTTAAAATTTAAAAGCATTATCATAGAATATTTTTTATTTATAAATCAAATGTTTAAATAATTTAGGAATGGTTAGATAGAGGAAAACCTTTCTTTTTCCTTGGGTCGTTATTATTTATACCTGGTAATTAAAAAATAAGAAATAATTTGGTTATTTTGTGATTTGATTTTTTTTCTTAACTAAAATATTTCATTTTCTCATTATTGAATAGGTGCTTATCATGTTGGACTTGCTTATTATGCATATAAAGGATATGATGGCTATGATTTCAATCAAATCCCTGACTGGTAAAAATCAAAATAATATATAAACCACTTATTAAGTATATTAAGTATATGTGTATTTTAGAATGTTACATAACAAATTATTATATTATATTATGTACATGAATTCATTAGTTTAAATCATTATATTAAGTCATTAAATTAAATTCATTTTTTCATATAATTTTGGAGGGTTAATTATGTTAATTATATTAATATCTAATTAATTATTTAATGAATCTTCTTGCTTAATTATAAATAATTCATCTCTCCGAAATTCTTGTGCGAAAATTTGACCACTAGTTCCAAGCACTATCGTTACGAATACTATTAACCCTAATCTAATCATTTTGTGGCTTTGTCTATATTCCAATGAACCCCTCATATTCTTTTCTCTCTCTTTATGAACTTCAGATTTTGCTCTCCTGAGTTCTTCCCCATAATGTCTTTGAAAATGTTCCTGAAAATTGAACTCTGTTCGTTGCTTATTATGAAAATTAAATCCTGATTTACTACGTCCAGTTGTACCAGAATACACACCAGAATTATTTCCACGATGTCTCACATGAGGTCGATTATAATAAGAATTTGAAGGTTTATTGTTTAGTTGGTGCCGTATTGATTGATCATATTCTCTTCGACTTTGTTCTTTGCTTAATATTGAATATGCTTCATTTATGCGAATAAATTTTGAAGCAGCCGTTTTATCTCCTATATTTGCATCTGGGTGATATTTTTTTGATAATTTATAAAATTGTGACTTTATTAATTTGGGATCAGCCTCGGGAGGAACTCCTAAAACATCATAATGGTGCCGTGAAATTATAAGTGATTGCGAAAAAAAACGACGTTGAGTATATGAATTAAGCGAGAAACTAAAAGGACTTGAAGAACAATTACAACAACCAAATACTTTTTTCATATTGAGAACAGTTATAAATTTCAAAATGCGGGGAAAAGGTAAAATAACAGATAACTGAGGTTACGTAATTATTACGAGCTGTCATTGGTTGATTAAAAACCACAAAATAATCAAAAAAAATTTGGTCATCAATCATGATTCCTTCACTTTTACGATCACGTCGTTTTCATCAACCATTCCGCTTTCCGCATTCTAAACCTTTGACTTTACGCTTATTCACCTTTACTCTTCTTCTTACACATTTATCACCTCGTCTTTTTTCAACAACTTTAGCGTGTGCAGCTCCTTCGTTAAAGACAGTTATGGAGAGTGCTGCGGCGTCACGTATCGTATATGTTACATGTCCGAATGCTGAGGTTGCTAATAAATTATCACGAGGTATAAGGTTTCCCAATAAGCATGGTTTCAATTCTTTTTACACTTGATAATTAATTAATCTTCACCAAAGGTTTATTACAAGAGAAACTTGTTGCTTGCGTTAATATTATACCACAAGTTACTTCCCTTTATTGTAAGTTTAATTAGTTTACAAATTTCATTTTTTCGTGTTCTCTTAAGTCTTGCTTCAAATGATTTAGGGTGGGAAGGCAAAATTGAAGAGTCTACAGAACAATTGTTAATGATAAAAACTTTGGAAAAGGTAAGTAAGCAAGTTTTAAGAATTCGCTTCAATAATTTTGTAATTAATTGTCTTCTTCTTTAGCATGTTAGTGAACTCACAGATTATGTAAATAAAAATCATGGTTACGAAGTTCCGGAGGTGCTTTCTGTTAAAGTATGAAATCAGCTTTTTTATTCATTTTTTCCACATTGTCATGTAAAGAAATTAACCCTGAGCCTTTGTTTGTGAAATAGATTGATGCGGGTAACGAGTCATATTTAAAATGGATCAAAGATAGTGTTAAACGATGAATTAGATTTATCTTGTAAAATTCTCTTATTTTTGTATAAATTTTTTTATATGTAAAACTATTATAACTAAATGTTATACGGGTGTAAGGATGATCTTCACGTGAACGCAATTAAAGTTAATTTTTGGTATAAATCATTTAAAAATTTTTTCTCCTTTAAAAACGTGTCCTTGATACTTTACCGTACATATTGAACGAACATGAAAAACAATACAAAGATTTACCGTTGCATTCCTCCTTCACCAAATTGGTTCTCGTTTAATATTGCTTCATTATCTCCAGAAACAAAATTGTTTGCATACGCTGCTTCTACTACTATATTTCTTCTAAATTCTGAAACATTACAATATGTCGGACATTTATCAGGACATTCTAGTAAAATAAACGCGCTGGACACAGCTGGCACTTTATGTGCTAGTGGCAGCTCTGACAAAACTGTAAGGTGTTGGGATATGGAGAACCAACAGCAAGTCGCGTCCCTGACTTCTTTCAAGGTATTTTTGAATTATCTTGAGAGCATTAAAATCATTTCATATTTTCGATTGCGATTATTTCTCATTTACATTATATTAGAGCGATATAAATGCTGTTGCATGGACTACAGATAGGCAATTAATTGTATCAGGTACTATTTCGGATAATTATTAATGAATTCATATTTATCGCGCTTAATTGTGTAATCTCATTTTATTAGGCGACAAACCTGGGGATTTAACTATTTGGAATCCTAATAATAATAAGATGAACAAATGTTATTTTATTCAATCGCCTGTCGATTGTATTGTCGCATCACCAACCCATCATAGACTAATGGCAGTCGCGTAAGTTAACATGATGTATATTAAAATTTAATCCTGTTTGATTTGAAATATTTATCATGAAAATTTCACGTTTCACTAAATCTATTTCAGTTTTCGTAATGGTGCAATCCTTGTTATTAACATTGACTCAAATTTGAATGGTCATATTATGCGTCGATTAAATGGTCACGATCTTGAGATTCAAAGTTTATGTTGGGAACCAGGTAACTACTGTTAGACTAACCGTTAGACTACTTTTAGCTCTTTCAGAATTTAATGATTTAGATTAAAATTGATTAATAACCTTTTAATAACCATATAAACTAGGAAATGATATAACTTCTGGATATACACGGTTGGTTTCTGGATCTAGAGATAAAACGGTACGCATTTGGAATGTTGAAGAAGAAAAGCTTGCAAGAACAATCAATATGCCAGGCCCTTCGCCTCATTTGACGGATCAACAAAAGGGAAGGTTATTCATGTCCACTGTATGGATTCCCGGAAAGAATTGGCTGATTTCAGCTTCATATATGTAAATATAAATTGTATCCTTGGGAATAAATTTTTTTGCCACGCTAACTGTTTTTCAAAGATAATTAATTGTTTTTTTTTTCTTTTTACTTACAGGGGAGATATTTATATGTGGGACCTTGATATTTCACCGGCAAAATTCCAAAAATTTAATCTCCATAGTCGTCCTATTTTTACAATGCAATTCTTTTCTTGTGGCAAGAAAATGATTACAACTTCAATGGACCGTCAGGTTTTTTGTTATATTCATATTAATTTAATCTTTTAAGTTACTTATTAACATAAAATTATTTATTAGATAATCATATGGAACATTACCGAAAGAAAACCTATAGTTGCTGCGATTACTAATTCTCAATCTATTAGCGACTTAACCATTTCACCTGTGGATCCATATAAACTGGCAATTGGAGGTGGGGATAGTTCAGTTAAGATATGGAAGTTCGCAAGTCTTCAAAATTCATATGATATTTCATTATATTATAAGGGCCTTAAAACCAAAATATCTAGTGCAAGTATTTTAATTAATAATTATTTGTTATTTTTTACTATTTTTTTTTTTTTTTTGTTTTTGTTAATAACTTATCATATCTATTTGCTACTTCTACGTAAAGTTAAAATATCATCCAACTAAGGAAGGATTATTTGCTTATGGGACTGATATTGGTACAATTGGTTTGTTTGATGAATTCCAGAGTGATAAGAACTTTAAAACCTTTACTTCTTATCATAAGAGCAAAGTGTATTCTATTCAATGGTGTATGCCAGAATGGTTAAATTGGTCAAAAGAAGAGTCACCGGGAGCGTTCGTTCTTAGTTGTGGAGGCGATGGACAAATATTACTAAGTGACACCGCTAAAATCAAGGCACCATCTATTTCCGTCAACGATATGATTAAAGAAGTTAATGCAGATTGGATACAAATCTTGAAGGTAAAATTTGAGAAACACTCATAAACTTGCATTTTTACAACTAAAAAGCATGTTTTTTTTAGAATAAATCTGGATATTTACCAAAACGAAGTGAAATTGCCGTACATCCTACCGGCAAATATTTTGCCGTTGGTAATGTTGACGGGCGGGTAGAAGTTTATGAATTACCTTCGTTAAAAGTTATATATCATAATGTTGGACATCGTGCCACAATTAATAAGCTTTCATGGTGCCCTCCAGGTTTGTTGTTATGTATCTTATATTTGTGATAATTTGTCTCTATAATAAATATATTTTGTAATCTTTTTAGATGCTGAAGGAAATTCTTTTCTAATTGCATGTGGATCAGATGATACATTAGTTACAATTCATGATTTAAGCGATCCGGAAAAATTAGCTTCTACGGGTAATTATTTTTTTAACTGTTTGTTAATCGGGATTAATTTAAATTATGTTGATTGATTCACACACGCACACATATATATGTTGCGTTTATTATAGTTTACATTCCAACATCGTCGAGTAAACTAATTCTTCAAATGCACAAAAGAGGGGTAACCGGTATCTCATGGTGTCCAACTAATACTACTAAGCTTCTTTCTTCGTCATTTGATGGAACAGCTATTGTAATTAAATTATATTAATTGTTTTATGAATTTGATGGACACTTATGCTAATTTATTATTTTATTTTCAAGGTTTGGAATTTATTGGATGGTTCTCCAATTTCTCTATTCTGTGGACATCAACCCCAAAGTCGATTATTTTGTACAGAATGGAGTTTGCATGATGAAGATTTAGTTTTTACTGCAGGAGATGATGCAATGTGTATTGCTTGGAGGCCCAGCGAGAATATCTATAAACAAAATAAAGGTATCGTTAAAATTTCCGTGCTAGTTTTGTTTCCTTTAATGGATCCAAATAATAATATTAAATAATAATGATAAAAAAGACGCACTAAATGAAAACAAACCAAAATCGGTCTTGTTGAATGAAAAATCGTCATCTTCGACGCAAAGTATAGTGTCAGCAGAAGCTATGGATGTTCAGTCAACGGTAAAAAAAGATACTGTTGTGCCCACAGAAGTTGGACGCAAACCGGACAATCGGTCATCCAAAAAAACTAAAAAATTAAAAAATCTATTTCCTGTTAGTTCTATTCCCGCTCGGCGTAAGAATCTTCAATATAAGATTTTTGAGCTTGCACATAAATTATATGGAGGAGAATGGGAAAAAGCTATGAATTTATGGGATGGCAAGGAACCTGATAAAGAAAATATCGTTGATTCACAGAAGTCGACGTTCGATCAGCTCTTCTTTGGAGATAAATACATGGCAAGGAAAGTTATGTCAAAAGAAGGTATAATATATTCATATTTATTTATTTCAATTTAATAAACTTCGGTAACGTAATTAATTATTAAATATTTAACGTATTTTGGCAGTTGCAACACATAATGAAACAGGCGCTACTTTCAATTTAGGTGGCTTAGATGCAAATCCTGCAATTTTATTAGATTTATGGTCTAGTAATTTCGCCTCATTGGTTAAACGTACCGAAGACACTGAGGAATTTTCTGAGCAAGATTGGATGATTCTTGCTCTTAGTCCTATTGGTAAGAGCTCTTTTTATAGGACTAAGTATGTTAAATAGAACAAGCAGAATGTTTATTTTTATGTTAATTCGCAGCTGGACGAGATGTATGGCTGTCTATGATGCGTCGGCAGGCTCAAAAGCTCGCAGCAAAAAACGATCATCATGGATCTGTTATGTGTTGGATTGCGTGTGGAGAAATACGTGAAGCAATTAAGATTTACCATAGAGCTGAAATGTTCCGGTAAATCAATAATAAAAAATTTTTTTTAAAACGAACCGTTATAAAAAAACATATGCTAACGTCCCTACTTTTAGTGAAGCTATAGCTCTAGCAAAGCAACGACTTCCCGATGATGATCCTATTTTTTCTGATTTATATAACTCATGGGCGATTCAACTAGAAAAGGAAGAGGCATACGAACAGGCTGCCTTGTGGTAGCTATATTATGAATTTTCATTTGATTGTGCATGACTTTTGTTATATTAAACATGAGTATTTTTTTTTTCTTTATTAAGCTTTAACTAATATTGTCTATTTTGGTTCAGCCACCTCGTGGCAAAAAAAGAAAATTCAGTGCATTACGTTTTGAACACTTTAGCACGTCGAGGAGACCCTTCCTCACTTCGCGCTGCAGCAAGCTTAGCATTAATGCTTAAAGATGATTCTGCTGAAGAACGAATACGTCGTTATCATGAAAGGGAAGAAGAAAAAAAGGCATCAAATATGGAAGGAAATTTTGCTGGAATTCAATCATTAAATTTGCAATCCTCAAGCGCCTCAGACATGAAACATAAATCTTTGGGAAAAAGTGATATTAATGGCATATCAAGTTTAGACGAGTCAACATTTGGTTCAAATTCTACAAATATGATACCTAAGGCTGATGCAGAAATTAAGAAAAAGTATATTGATGAAAAGGATCATGAACCATCCTTTGGATCTGTAAGTGACGAAAAAAGCATGAAGCATGGGTCCTCAGAAACCAAAACTGATATAGAAATTAAGAAAAAAGATATTAATGAGAGAAATCATGAATCATCAATGGAATCTGTAAGTGACAAGAAGGTCAAGAATTTAAATAATAATTTAACAGATGTACCATTTGATGGAAATGACTCTTTAGAGTCATCTCATGACGTAACTGCACCTCAATACATAGAAACAACACAACTTAATAATAATATTACAGACAATCATGAATTTATACTGGATAAAGAAGTTGATTATGTAGAAACGCGTATTACAAATAATAAAAAAGTGATTATCGATCCTGGACAAATTGAAATCAGTTTGAGTTCAGATGAAGAGATTGAAATATAGGCGATTTACTAATATAAAATAATAATAATGTTAAAGAAATTTTATAATTAAATTAATAATTAAAATCGAATGATTTATTAATGAATAAAGTAAAAATGTATCAAAAACTGCGTCACAACATCGGCGTAATCTATCGGTGTAACCTTGTACAGTTGTAGTAGTTTCCGACTGGGGACAGCCGTAAAATAGTTTTAAAAAAAGATCACTGATTTTGATCTTTGAAAAGAAAGTATAAATTTGTGTATCAAGATTATATCTGGCGTGTATTATTTGTATAACGGTTAGTTGTCTCCTCCAATCAAATTTTTTTATCTTTTGCCCGATCTTTCCATCTTTTGAAGGACCATTTCACAAACAATTTAATTTCAGTTTTGTTTTTTCCTCCTTCACTTCTAACTGACCTTTCACTTTTCGTTTACATTTTTTTCTAGTCATCTACTTGTCACTTTTTTTTTTTGTTCTTAAACTTTTATCACGACGCAAACTTAATTTTTTCTTAACGGTTTATTATTCCTTTTTAATAATACAAAATGGCTGAACCAACACCAAACTTATGGTTAGTAGATTTGTTTTGATGTAAATTCGTCTCGGCTTGTTTTTTGTTAATTTAACCAATTTGCAAATATAGCCCTGTCTATGCCCCAATCTTTGGTGCTTTGGGATGTACTTCCGCTATTGTATTTACCTGTAAGTAATTTTATTTTTTCTGGTTTAGTATATTTATATAGTTAATAAATTTTAAAAAAATATTTACTATTATTAAAACTTTGAGATTAGAATTTTATGGGGGAAATATTTTTTGTATTATTCGTAAAGAGTTCATGTCAGCTTTAGACTATGTTTCACATGAGAAATTATTGTTCACATATTTTTATACGTTAGAGATGCTTTGAAGTTATACATTAATTTAAACATTCTTATTTTTTGAAAAAAAAAAAAGGCTTCGGAGCAGCATATGGCACAGCCAAAGCCGGAACAGGATTATCAGCTATGGGAGTCTTGCGTCCTGATTTAGTTATGAAAGCTATTGTACCAATTGTTATGGCTGGTATTATTGGTATTTACGGATTGGTCGTATCTGTCTTAATTTCTGATGGTCGTAAGTATCTTTTTCTTTTATAATATAATGAATTTAATGTCTACATTTGTTAATATTCCAATATATTTTATACAGTTAAACAGGAAATGGCATTATTTACGTAAGTAATTCAATGTTTGAAAAATTTTTATCAAATGATTTTCTTTTTGTTTTAACGATCAATGCATTGATTTCTAGTGGATTTATTCAGCTTGGTGCTGGGTTAAGTGTCGGTCTTGCTGGTCTTGCAGCTGGATTCGCTATTGGTGTAGTTGGTGATGCTGGTGTACGAGCTACTGCACAACAACCAAGATTATTTGTTGGTATGGTAAGTATACTCGAGTTAAAAAAAAAAACTTTTTTTTCTTAATGGAAATGATAAGTGAATTCTAATTAATTTTTTTACTTTCTAGATTCTTATTCTCATTTTCGCCGAAGTATTGGGTCTTTATGGTTTAATTGTGGGTCTTATCTTAAATACCAAAGCAAGTGGTGGCGACGTTAAATGTTAAATAAAATAAAATTTAAACATTATGATACTTTTATACTAGATTCTTTTTTATACTTTGTATTCTCTTACCTCTAGTTATATCTTGTATTTTTTACTTATTAGTAAATTGATAATTTGATTTATAATAATTATAGTACCGAAAAATGAATTATGTAAAAAAAAATAAATATATTTACAGATAAACATAATTTATTTTAACTAAAGTCTCGATTTTTCAATCTGAAAAATTATAAAGTTTATTTATTATAATAAAGTCGTATAGTTAGTTTCGATTACTAACTAGTCTTTAAACGAATATGATATTTTCGATTTTTATGTTTGATAACGTCTGTATTTTTTAACGCTTTTCTTAATAAAAAAAAAAATCTAATGTAACTAATTTCGGAAGGATATTAATAGTAAAAATTGTCTTTCATGGTAAAGCAAATTCCGGTTGTAATGAAAGAAAAATTACAATATTATTTATTGTCAACGAGCTTCAAATTGGACCACTTTATCAAATACAAGTCAAATTAATAATAATATATAAAATAACAAATCAAAGATTGAAGTAAAGAAGAGAGACTTACTCTTTTTTGTTCTCTGTTTATACATAATTCTATGGCCACATTCTTTACAACGTAAAGGTTCTTTCGGTCTTATTTCATTTTCCGCTCCACAATCTTTTAATATAAATAACATAATATACGATTAAAACTCAATTTAAGAAAAGTATGAGTAGTTGAATGTCAGAAAGTTAAATACCTGCACAATTATATAACATTTTTGCTGCAGCATCGCTTGCTCTTGGTGTCGCTTGATTAACAGGACCTGGAGGTGGAGGTGGACCTCCTTGTGGACCTTGATATGCTTCTCTATTCATTTGTTTACTTTTAACCTCCTAAAAATAAATGAATGTTGACTAATGCGGTTTCACACTCTTGAATTGCCACCAGTATGTATACACAATGAGAGACGAACTAAGTTATACCAGACCCTAAAATTAGAGGGGGTTACAATGTCGTTAATTTCTTAATGCCTTAATGACGTAATGCCGGCACAAAATCACGTGAAATAACAACGACCATATATGTTATATTGACATGGGAATATCAGATCAAACACGTGTTTTACAAGTTCACTTCTTTGTTCTCATCTAAGAAACCAAATCTTCTAGGTTTTTTTTTTTGCAATTTTTGCAAACTCTATTACTTAAAAATGAATAACGAACTTAACGAAGAAACTTATGAGGAGGAAACCGAGGAAACTGAACATGAACCTACACATATTCCAATTCAAAGACTTGAGGTTTAGTCTCAAACTAAATGCTATCCCAATTTTTAACGTGTAACTTCTTGGTTTGACCTTATAATATGAACTTCTTTTAATATTTTGTAGGAATTTGGAATTAACGCGTCGGATATTAAAAAACTTACGGATAACGGTTTCCATACAATTCAATCTGTAGCTTATTCTCCACGAAAAGTCTTACTAAATGTTAAGGGACTTTCTGAGGCCAAAGTAGATAAAATCCAAGGAGAAGGTTGAGCTGTAATAATTATAGTTGATTTTCTTATATTATTATTTTAATTTAATATTTAATTGTTTCTTAATAGCTTTCAAGATGGCACCAATGGGTTTTCTTTCTGCAACAGAAATTCAAGCAAAAAGACGCGATACTCTTTATATAACAACAGGATCAAAAGAGTTGGATAAACTTCTTGGAGGTATTGCATAATTTAATTATTTCGATATTTAAGTAGATAAATTATAATGAGAATTTGATCGTTTAAAATATCGCAATTTCAATAATAATATTTAGGTGGCATTGAGACCGGATCAATTACGGAAATATTTGGAGAATTTAGGACTGGGAAATCTCAAATATGTCACACAATGTCTGTGGCATGTCAAGTAAGAATGGCTTCAATAAATTGTTCTTTTAATTTATTGAAACTTAATATTTTTTTTTTTTTTTTGTCGGACAAAAGCTTCCTATTGAACTTGGTGGTGCTGAAGGGAGGTGTGTCTATATAGACACTGAAGGTACCTTCCGTCCCGAGAGATTAGTTTCCATAGCAGAAAGGTTTGGTTTGGTCAGTGAAGATGCTTTGGATAATGTTGCTATTGCAAGAGCTTATAACACTGATCATCAGATGACTCTTTTGCTACATGCCGCTGCCATGATGGCGGAATCGAGGTATAATAATGGAATTTATAAAGCATTACATTAACACATTTAATTCTGAGTTACGCTTTATTTGAAATTAGATTTGCCTTGATGATTGTCGACAGTGCTACGGCATTATACAGAACAGATTTCTCTGGTCGTGGAGAACTTGCTGCGCGTCAGATGCATTTAGCTAAATTTTTACGAAATCTTCAGCGTTTAGCTGATGAGGTATTTATTTTAAAAAGCCCGCTATATATAATTATGCACTCTTTAGTGATTTTTTTTTTTACTTTAGTTCGGAATTGCTGTTGTCATAACAAATCAAGTAGTGGCGAGTGTTGACGGTGCTGCTAGTATGTTTGGTGGTGATACAAAGAAACCCATCGGAGGAAATATCATTGCTCATACTTCCACGACAAGGTAATGTTCGTTGAATCTTTATAATTTGAATTTTATGTTGCTAATAAATCGATTTTTTTTGTTAGACTTTATCTACGTAAAGGTAAGGGTGAATGCCGAATTTGTAAAATTTACGACTCTCCTTGTCTGCCCGAAGGCGATGCGACCTTTGCTATTTCAGACGGAGGTATTGTTGACGCAAATGATTAAGCAATTGAGAGCGAATTGATAGTTGGTGGAATATTGGGTGAGTGTTGGTAGATCACCCACTTTTTAAAACTAATGGTAATATTTCTGACTTATATATAGTCTTGGAAATGTTATATTTTTATTTAGTTAATTTTATTTGAAACTGGTGTATTGACTATAGACATTTTTACAATATTGGAAAAGTGGATCTTTGAGGTGATAAAATGGTATAACCTTTTAATTATTCCCAAAAGTTTTTAAAAAGTAATAATAAATTGAGATGTGAATCATTTTCACAAAAAAAAAAAAATTGAAGCGGCAAAATTGTGAACACACGATACTTTGGTCGAATTACAGAACACATTCAGACTATGTCAAATAAATAAGAGTGGGAGTCAGATGATAAATATGTCTATGTCTTACATTTAGTTTCAAGCTTGCGTAATACGCGTACTCTAAAAGCTTGACATTTGAAAATTTAATCAAATACTGAATTGAAGCTTTGTTATAAGGAATAAAGCTACATATACTTTATTTACGTGAAATACGCTTTTTACGCTATAGGAAAGATCATATATTTCATTTGTTTTAAGACTAGCCTATTTAGAATGTAAGAAATAATTTATATATTTATAGTATTTATGCTAATTAATTTTTAATCAAATGGTTTTAATATATATGTAATAGATTGAATTGTAATAGATTGAAAAATTAACATTAAGTAATAAAATAATAATAAAAAAAAAATAATAATAATAAAAAAAAAAATGTATAATTTAAACCAATGCATCACAGAGATATTTTTGAATTTATATTGTAATCTCTTACTTGATTGTTACTGATGATGATGGTGAACTCTGAATTTTGAATTTTCACAAGTTTTTATCAAGATGTAGTACATTTAAAGGAAATAAACCATTTTATTATGTATTTTTATATTAATTTTTAGGAACTTTAGTTAATATTTCTACTAAATATAATAGCTAATGAAATATGAAACCATTACAATTAACTTCAATATCATTATTATTATCTGTTATTTTATAACACTTTTTGGATACGTCAAAATTTTTTAATATTTATGTATTTATGAAATTTATTAAAAAAGAAAAAAATATATTTTACAGTATATTTAGATTAATTGCTATTAACTTTACTATTAACACATAAACCAACACCAATTACAACAATTGCCATACCAATCCAAGATTCTTAAAAAAAAAAAAAAATATTAAAATTAAATCAAGTTTTATAATAATAATATAATAAATTATATTTACCTTTATATCCAACTTCTTCACCAACTAAGTTAGCTGCTAAAGTTGTAAATATGAATGTTAATGAATTTGTAATAGGAACTGCTAGTGATAAATCTAAATTAAAAAAAAAAAATTAATTTAATTTTAATATAAATAAACCAAAATTCATAATTAAATTTATTTACCTGCTTGACCAAGTGTGTAATAATAAACTATAGATCCACTTAAATTTAAAAGTAAAGGGACAATATACTATATATATTTATAATAATCATTAAATAGCTTATGAAAAAAAACATCCAATATAATTAATTTGTTTATATTACCTGCCATCTTGTAATAAGAAACCAAATTTCTGCTAATGTTTGATTAATCCAATTACTCCTTTTAATATTCTCTAACCCTTTAGATCCCTGTTTAATAAAAGGATTCGTAAATCCCCAACATATCGCCACTATAAATTTCAATTTTACATTAATCAAATATAATGATATAATTATAATACAAAGTAACGCGTTTACCTAAGAGAAAACCGAAAATATTATCTTTAACATTTAACGATATATTATAGTATGTTAATAAAATAAAATAAAATAAAATTTTTTATATTAAGTATATCATTTTACTTGTTATTGAATTTTCTTCCATCATGCGCCTTTATACATTAACAAGAAGTCAAGAACTACAGTAATTATGAGTCATACTAGGTCATCACATAATCATCATAGTGATTTGACAGTATAAATACAGTATTTTAACTCATGGCGATAATCTAAATAATCACTGAAATCACCAAATCACGTTTTTAATTTTCCACGAATTTTACGAAACCCTAAACTGAATAATTATGGCTGATAACGAATTGGTCAGCTTATTTCAATCAATTGGCTTGACAGAACAACGTGCTAAAGAAACAGCAAAAAATAAGAAATTAGCTCCCACTTTACAAGCTACGATTGCAGAGGCTGGTATCAGTGAAACAGGTTGTGATAAAGCCGTTGGTGCATTACTTTATACACTTGCCTCAACTATTACTAAAAATGCAAATAAGCATTTGGGTTATATTACACGCGCAATTATTGATAAAAAGTTAAAAACCGCTGATCAGGTTGCTGGTAAGATATTTTCAACGCGAACTCATTCTGAATAACTAACTCTAAGCTAGTTTATTTTATCATACAGCGGCTATAAAATATACTGAAAATGCGGGAGACGAAATAATTGATACCGATTTTGATAATGCTTGTGGAGTTGGTAAGAAGAAAACATTTTATTATAAATTCTTATTTGAGGAATTTATTATCTAAAGTATTCTTTCTTTCTATTTAGGTGTCGTAGTAACACACGAACAGATTTCAAATGCAATATCCTCGTTTTTGGAATCTAAAAAGGAATCTCTTATAAAGGATAGGTACAAACTGCTTGGGCCATTATTAGCTCAGGCGAGACAGATTCCTGAATTGAAATGGGCCAATGGTGTTACTGTCAAAGAGGAATTGGAAAAACAGGTTGCCGCGTTGATTGGACCTAAAGATGAGAGAGATATGACCTCTAAGGGAAAGGTATAGTTCAAATTGATAAAAGTCTTGATTAAAAAAAAAAAATAAATAAAAATAACTTTTTTTATTTTTTTATATAGAAAAAGGATACTGATAAGAAAAAGTCAGACGTGAAAGTATCAGGGTCTAATTCAAATAAATCTGAACAAAATAGTGTTCCAAATATGTTCTTAGAAGGGGAACTAGCCAAGCTACATAAGCCTGGTGGCAATCCACAAATAAAATCTGAATTAATGAAACAACACTTAAAGGAAACTAGTGGTAAAGTGCTTACTCGATTTCCTCCTGAACCAAATGGTTTTTTACACATTGGCCATGCTAAAGCAATAAATGTGAATTTTGGATATGCAAGAGCTCACAATGGATTATGTTATCTCAGGTTTACATTCAATTTTTAATATTATAATAATTTATATAACAATTAATAATACAATTATTAACAATTTAATTATAGGTATGACGACACAAATCCAGAAGGTAATTGTATTTTGTTATTGATTTATATTTTAACTCTCTTCTAACAATTCCTTTTGAAAATGATAGCTGAAGAAGAAATATATTTTACTTCCATTAAGGAAACTATAGAATGGCTGGGGTTTACACCATGGAAGATCACTTATTCTTCAGATTATTTTGATAATCTATATGAGTTAGCAGTTGAGTTAATAAAACGGGACAAAGCTTATGTGTGTAGTTGTACACCTGAAGAGATGCATGAGATGCGTGGAGGAGATGATGGTGGTGAACGTAGAGAATGTGTGCATCGTAATCGTCCAATTGAAGAATCATTGACTGAATTTGAGAAGATGAAAGAAGGACGCTATAAGGAAGGTCAAGTAACTCTTCGTATGAAAATGGATATGCAAAGTGGGAATCCTCAATTCTGGGATTTAGTCGCGTATCGCGTTTTAAATACCCCCCATCATAGAACTGGTGATACATGGTGTGTTTATCCGACTTATGATTATACACATTGTTTATGCGATTCATTTGAAAACATCACTCATTCACTTTGTACCCTCGAGTTTCGCATGTCGCGTGAATCATATTATTGGCTTTGTGATGCACTTGAAGTTTATAAGCCTATTCAGTTTGAATATAATAGGTTGGTTTGTTTTAATTTGCCAATACTAAGAAAAAAATATTAATTTTTTTTTTTTCTATCAGATTAAATATTAATAATACAATAATGTCGAAACGAAAAATTGCCAAACTTGTTGATGAAGGATATGTTAAAGGATGGGATGATCCAAGATTATATACTTTACCAGCATTACGTAGACGCGGAGTTCCTCCTGAGGCAATAAATGGATTCGTTCAAGATCTTGGTGTTACTACTTCAAATTCTACCATTCAAGTGTCACGTTTTGAAAAATATGTTCGTGATTATCTTGATGTTCACGTGCCAAGGTTGATGTTAGTTGTGGATCCAATCAAGATAATCATCGAAAACTTACCTGATGATTATATAGAGGAATTAACCATTCCTTTTAAACCAAAAGATCCTTCTATGGGCGAGGTAAATACATATAATATAATTATAAAAATAATTTCGAATAGTTATTTATCCTTTCTTTTTACTTTATAGCATGTCGTTCCATTTAGTAAGATCGTCTATATCGATAAATCAGACTTCCGAGAACAGGATTCTCCAGATTATTTCCGACTTGCTGTTGGTAAAACAGTAGGTTTATTATATGTGGAACATTGTATTACTTGTACTGACTTAAAAAAAGATTCAGAAGGAAATATTGAATATTTAATTTGCCGATATGAAAAAGGCCCGGATGTTAAGAAGCCTAAAACATATATTCAATGGGTATCAGAATCAACAAAACATCGGTCACCTATTCGTTTAAATGAAGTTAGAATTTATAATAATTTCTTTATGTCAGAAAATCCTTTGGCGCATCCCGAAGGTTACTTAAAAGATATTAATCCCGATAGTTTAAAATTAGCTACAAATTCTTTAATCGAAATTGGATTAAATCAAGTCATTTCAAAATCTTTTGAGAATTCAAAGAAAGAATTTGAAACTGTTAGATTTCAAGCTATTCGTGTTGGATATTTCTGTCTCGATAAAGATTCTCTTATTAATGATGAAACAGAGAATAAATATATTCTTAATAAGATTGTTTCGCTAAAAGAAGATCCTAAAAAGAATTAAATAAAGATAAACTATACTTTGAAAAACTACAATTTAATTGTCATAATGTAAAAACGGAGCAATGTGATCTTAAACTACTAATCAAGGGCGGGTAAATTCCCCCCGGTTAAAATTATATAAAACATTGTTTAGTTATTCTTAAAAATTTAAGCCCGGCAAATGATAAACAAACTTGGCTCGCATTATGACGGTTTTATGTGCCAATAAGACTACGAATTTCTGGATCACCTTGTAAATGATTATCTCATATCTTTTTTATCTATGTGGTGGGCGAAAGAGTGGAGAACATTATTATTCAGACATTGGCAACGCCAACGAACTTTGCATACCAAATTTGTTTCAGAGGTAATTCTTGTGCATGTATAGTGACTTGTTTGTTTTTATATTAATTAATTCCATCTGAATTATAGAATATATCAAAAGAAAATTTAATATCAACACAACCGAATGTTATACTTAAAGGTGATTTAATATTTCAAGTATCTTCTTTCTCATTATTTAATTATATAACTAACCCAATTCCTTCCTTTCTTTCTTTTTTGTGTACAAAATTATTAAGCTGTCTCACCTTTGCCAACTCATATTCAAGCATGGCTTCATGACTTTGAGACAAATACACCATTAGGAATAATAAATTTGGATCGGAGAGTATTTGGAGCACCAATTAGAAAAGATTTATTACAAAGAGTGATTGTATGGCAACGGGATTGTTTAAGACAGGGAACACATTCTTCTAAAAATAGAAGTGAGGTAAGAGGAACTACTAGAAAATGGGCAAAACAAAAGGGAAGAGGAAAAGCTAGAGTCGGAAGTCATCGAGCACCTCACTTCAGAGGTGGTAAGTATCTATTTCATCAATTAACGTATTTCGAATATATATATTAATCCATAAAATTTTGTTTTGGATAAGGTGGTGTCGCCCATGGACCTAAGCCACGGTCGCATTCTAGCGATTTACAAAGACAAGTACAACTCTTTGGCTTACGATCCGCGCTAACAACGAAATTTGTGCAAAATCAACTTGTCATCGTTGAAAATTTAAAATTGAAATCGAGTAAGACACGAGATTTGTTATCTATTTTGGATAGAAATGTGTGGGATCCTCTTGCTGATTATAGGAAACAAGGTCATTCAATTTTGTTTTTGACTATGGATCATATGAAAGAATTGGATCTTGCGTCAAGGAATTTACAAAGAGTTCACGCTTTGAGTGCTAACGACATTGTTGAGGCAGGTGATGTTTACAATATCATGGGACATGAAATACTTTTGATCGATCATAAAACAGTACGACAATTAGAAGAATTGCTTAGACCTCAATAAACATCTTTTTTAAAAATTGAATTCAAAATTGAAATAAAGGATAGATATATCTTAAGGTTTCTTCAGTGGTAAATATATTTATAAATAAACTTTTTGTAGTATTGTAGTATAAGTACTCTTAATAAAAGTATTCAAATGAGAAAACGGTTTTGACATTTATAATGTAAATAATAATTAATATAAGTTTTATTCTAGCCACTAAAAAAATAGTCACAAAGACTTACGCGAACACATGGAATTAGTATTATACAAAATCCTAAATTGAAAAATACAATTATTTTAAATTAAACTAGATTAGAACTATTAACCGGACCCAAATCATCAAATTCAATCCTCAGTTACTTTAGATTTATTATTCTTTTTTTTCTTTTTCTTTATATTTATAGTAACAGCGTTACCGGTATTAGTACTATCTTTATCTATAGTCTCTTTAGAAGAGATGCTTATATTGTTTTTTAAATCACTCTCTTTTGAAGAGTCCTTTTTGTTATTTTTTACTTTACCAATCTTAAACTCGGATTTAAGATTTGTAATATGACTTTCTTCTTTAGATTTCTTCTTTTTCTTCTTCTTTAAAGAATCTCCTTTAACTTTTGCAGTACCTTGGATTAATCCCGTTTCATCAATATCCTGAATTAATTTACGTTCACTCGTGACTTCACTGTTGATGTCATTGCTTTCTTCATCATCAATAGAATTATCAACTTTAATCTTTTTAACATTTATCTTATCATGTTCATGAGAAGTTCTCTTCTTAGAAGTTTTGATTACTACTTTGTTTTCGGATTTTTTCTCCTCTGTAGGGCTATTTTTAATTTTCTTCATTTTCTTCATATTACTATTATCTTTGCTTTCTCCATTAGCTTCCTTCCTTTTTGTTTCACTTTTCTTGTCACCATTAAATCCAGATTGTTTTGAAGAGTCAACATTTTCCATTTCTACATTACTCTCCTGGATCAATCCAGTCTCCTGAATACAATTGTCTCCAGTAGCATTATTTCCCTCATTTGTTGATTTCTTTTTCTTCTTCTTTGGCAGCGAAATTACAACTCTATTTGTCCCGACATGATCGTCAATTTCACTATGTTTTGCAACGTTACTATGATTTTTCTTCTTTGCAGCGGTAGTTTTTTTACTATTTGGTTTAGTATTATCTTTACTCACATAACTCTCCCGAGTAGCCGCTATTTCGATCAATCTCATTTTCCCATCCTTATCCGGAACCAACGTTTGAGGTTTAGGATCTATACCTTTAGATATAAGAATGTCGCGTATTCTTGGTTTCTGTTTTGAAATTTTAAGTGGATCGCTTTTAGATAAAGTGTTAATGCTCTCATTAACGCCATCACCATCATTATTCATATTATCTATCTCTTCTCTTTTAACTGATTTTTCATACTTTAACTTTTTATAATTTTTACTAGTAAAAATAACGGGATAACCTTCTCTGATAAGCACGTGATCATCAGAAACTTCATCAAAATTTGGATGAGTAACAAAATAATTTGCAATCCTTTTTAAACTAATTTTCTTATTATCGGGTAATGCTTTTCCTGCATCACTTGATCTAAATTCGTTGATTTTCTTTAAAGCTTCTTCCTCAGTAAGATGTTCTTTAAATTTAACATTCCTGATAATTAAAGGATTATTGTAAACTTGATTCATTATTTATAGAAATATCTCTTACAAAATAAATAATTTGTATCAAGAACTATCTTTAAAACGAAAGGTAAAGGTCAAAGGTGTTGTGAAATTAGTAATGTTCAAAAAACGTGGAGAAAAAAAAATTTCATTCGTGTACAATAAGTTTAATTTGATTGGACTAAAATAGAAAAAAAGACATCACAACATTGTTACACAAGTACTGAGATCTATTCTTCATAAGCAATATTAGTGACTAATCCCTTCTAGAATAACATTTTGACATAATATTATGATATTCATATATATACAGTACGTTAATAATAATATTGTGACTTGTATTTTATTCATAAATAAATAAATATCTATTTAATCAAGGCTCCTCTTTTGGAAGGATCATTTGTCTGTATTGCTTAATTGTATCTCCATCAAACTTATTGACTTTTCCACCATCACAAACCCAAATCTCATTACAAACCGAATCAATGAATCTCTCATCGTGAGAAACAAGAATTACGCCACCTTTGAATTCTTTAAGAGCGTTCGTCAATGCATCAATTGAATCCATATCAAGATGATTGGTCGGCTATTTTATATTAGTTAAATAATTACGTATAAAAATATTAGTAAATTTATATAAATTCGTATGTTAGTTATAATAAGACTAATAGGACTATGATTTACCTCATCAAGAATTAAAATGTGAGGGTTTCGTAAACCCAAACAAGCAAAGGTAACTCTGCTTTTTTGGCCTCCAGATAATGTTTCTAATGACTGTAAACCAGTCATTCCTGTGATTCCAAAATTTCCCAATTGTCTACGATATTCTTCCTCGCTTTTACCAGGATATTTCTGTGCCATAAAACCTACTGGACTGGTACCAAGATCTAATTGATCTACATGATGCTGCATAAAGTGCGCAAATCTAAGACGCCCATGTCGCTTCACTATACCAGATCGCGGCTCAAGTATACCTGTTAATAACTTGAGTAACGTCGATTTACCTGAACCATTAGGACCTAAAAAAAAAATAATACGATAAATATATAAATGTGAATTTTAATTACAAAAGCATTAAAAAAAATTATAACCAACCAACAACTGCAATACGAGAATCCAACTGAACGGAAAGATTAACATCTGTAAGAATATTATCGCCAGTTTCATATTTAAAACTAACATCATCTAATTGAAGAATAGGTGGACTAAGTGGATCTGGGTTTGGAAATCTAAAGAATTGTAAATCAAAAATTTTAATTATCGGATTAACCTACAAGTATTTTTAAAAACTTCTTTTGTTGACAATTACTTAAACGTCACAATAAATTCTATTTCTGGTGGATCCAAAACTGGAAGCTTTTCCAAAATTTTAATTTTACTCTGAGCTTGAGGAGCTCTCTTTGCATTATATCTCCAACGATCAATAAAATCTTGTAAATGTTGTCTATATTGCATTTGACTTTCATATTCACGTTGATGATTCTTGCGGCGTTCTTCTTTATTAGCATAAAACTGTGCGAAATTGCCCTTGTAATAATCAAGCCGTTCCGAATGCTGATGTAAGATATCTGTCGCAACTTCATCAAGGAACTCTAAATTGTAACGAAATTTAAATTTCATTTTAGTAAAATATCACAAAAGTATAAAATGTTTGACTTAAATTTATATACCTCGGTCGTGAGAAACTACAAGTAGTGTACTTGGCCATTTTTTTAAGTATTGCTCTAGCCATGCAACTGCGGGAATCTTTAAATAAAAGTTTCGTGATTAATTAATCACAATAATAATAATAATAATAAATGATAATATATATCAGGTACTTACATCCAACATATTTGTCGGTTCGTCCAATAATAGTAGATCAGGACGACAAAACAATGCTCTAGCTAACGCAAGACGCATACGCCAACCTCCGGAAAACGTCTTTGTTGCATTGTGATGTTTATCTGACGGGAACCCTAATCCAGATAAAATTGCTGCAGCACTTAAAATTCAATCAACATTGATGAGAATTATCAAATTCATCATAATAAATGAATACTAAATTATCAAGTAAAATTACCGTGCTTCTGCCTTATCACTCTCAATATCTTCCAATTTTTGATATATATCTTTAAGACTTGCATTTAAAGATTCTTTCATTTGCTCAAGGTTAGTATCATCCATATTAGGATCTGGTGAAGTTTCAAGCTCATTAATCTGTGCATTTAATGATCTCTCCTCATTCAATAAATGTTCTCTCCAAACATCTGCACTTAACACAGCTTGAATAGCCTCGACATCATCACCAACCATCTACAATTTTATTAAGTTGATCAATTCAATAATTATAATTATTTAAGATAATGTAATATACAAAGGTTAAAATATATGACAGTTTACCTCTTGTTCAACATGTAAAATACTAATATGCGTAGGCACGGCTATCTCTCTTTTTGATATAGTTCTTAACAATGTTGATTTACCTATACCATTCCTCCCAACTAGTCCATAACGTCTACCGAATACCAATGTTAAGTTTGCATTTGAAAGAATTCCTTTACCGCCAAAGGAAATATCAAAGTTTTCAATTTTAACATCTTTAACCTTTCCTTTTGTCGATGTATAATCAAGAATAGGATTAACTTGCATATAAAATTCATTATCGGCATTTTTATTAATCAATTTACTAGCCTCGTAATTAGATCTACGTTCACGTTTCTCTATTTTTGCTTTAATCTTTGCTTCTGCTTTTTCTAATTTCTTAGTGTCTACTCTAGTACCAACTTTCCTACCGCTCACAGCTTCCAGATCTATAGATGAAGTAGCTAGACGCGCTGTTGCCGAAATGGAATTGCTCGTGAGCATGTTTACTGGTTGTTCTAACTTAGCAAGTCCATTTGTACTAGGCTTATCATTAACCTTAGCAAAAAGTTTTGACAACTTTTCACAAAGTTGATGAATTCCTTCTTCATCGCCACCAGCATCAAGCAGAATCGGTCGAATAAAATCGCCGATCGCATCTTCTCCGTCAACTATTGAAGGTGTTTCATCTAAATAACCTACTACATATTCTACGATCGCATCATCGATATCAGGAATTGACTGTCGTATAAGTTGAGATGCATTTCCAAGATCTGTTTCAGCAACCATAGCCATAGCGAACTGAGCTATACAACCGAAAACGACCAGCCAAACCAAATGAGTAATAAATAAAAAACTATTTCTTCAATCAGATGTTGATCAATCGATAAAAAATTTTTTTTTTATGGACGCAGTTTGTACTATTAAGGCATTCCTTATTAGGAAGCAATATTAATTCTATTTTTTTTTAAAAAAAAACACCACCATATATAACTTAGTATACAATGTCTGATAGAGTAATTATAATTCTTTATTTTTTTGTTAAATTGGTATTTATTTATGTAACTGATTATTTTTCCTTTGAAAGGGCAGTAGAGGAAGAGGTGCACAACGTGGCAGAGGCGGCGGTAGAGGAGGAAGAGGCGGTAGTACTTTTGCACAGGATACAAAACCTAAAAAAGAATCAATACTGGATCTTTCAAAATATATGGACAAGAAAATACGTGTCAAATTTAATGGAGGACGTGAAGGTATATTTGAGTTTTTATTTTATTTCAACATTTTTAAATTATTTTTTAATAATTTTGAATAATAGTGATAGGGTCTTTAAAAGGACATGATCTCTTATTAAACCTGGTTCTTGACGATACTGAAGAATTTCTTAGAGGTAAATATTTATATAATCATTTATTTTATTATTATTATTAATTAAAATTAATTATTTTAGACCCTGAAGATAATCGCTTACTAAATGATACTAGATCACTTGGATTAATTGTTTGTCGTGGACCAGCTGTAATATTAATATCTCCGGTGGAAGGAACAGAAGAAATAGATAATCCTTTCGTACATCAAGAATAAGGGATACTATTTATAAAAAATGTTAAACATTTAATGCGGGTTACTTTTAAGAATGTCAAAAATTAATCCAATTTTTTATTAGCATATTTTTCTTTTTCTAATTGTTCTTCTTTAACTTTCATAAGTTCTCGATATTGTTCTTCGGATAATTTTGTAACTGGTGACCATTTTATTGCAGCTAACCAATCTAAAAAGCTGTGTTTCTTTTTTTTATTTTGAATATTTGTTTCTTTGGTATTATCATCAGGTATATTCTGGGATGTATTAGAAAGTTTTTTATCTTGATTTGATGATCTAAGAATTATTGTTTGTCTGTAATTATATATGGTAGAATAACATATTTGTCCCGCACCACATATAGTAGAGAATATAATAAATCCCGGTAAAGCTGCTCCTCGTCCACCTTTTTGGTTCAAAATTTTTAACATAAGAAACCTTTAAAAAAGAAGTGTGTGCAACTATCAAAACTTTTACTTACGGTTTAAAACTGACAAAAATCCACCAGTTAAACCGCCAGAAAATGTACTACTAATAAGTTCATCAATTTCTCTTGTTTGAGAATTTAATAATCCATAATCAGGGTTTTTACTTTTTTGAAAAGATAAACAAGCATCTCTAATACCTATCAAATTTTAAATTAGGAAAATTTTTAAATTATAAAATTAAAACCGTTTTTTTTTTCGAACTTCTAGCTTACTGAAAAATGTTAACCCAAAAATTCCACAATTTATTCCTGTAAATATTGTAAAGTGAAATCTAGGTTTATTTTTTATATACGCAACTAAATATCCTGTAGTTGCTCCTACTCCGGCTTAAAGAAAATAATTAATTAATTTAAAAAAGATGTAATCATTATTCCAAAAATTTAATTATTTATATACCTGAATAAAAAGTTCCTCGGAGAATTTGATCGCGTGATTCTTTATCCGAAATATTCATATTTTTTTTTTTTCGCTTAAAAAAAATTGAGATTTTTTCAGTTCATCAGTTGTTAATAGGTTACACGATCGGATGTACTAATTGATGTACGATTTTGTACGATTTGTAGATCGAATTCAAATTCAAATCAAAAAAAGTTGCTTTCTTTGAACGCCCTTTTTTTTTTTTAAAAAAAAAAAAAAATTTCATTTGAATATGCAAAAAGCTATTATTCTAGTCGGTGGGCCTTCTCGTGGTACGAGGTTTCGACCACTTTCTCTTAATATCCCAAAGCCTTTGTTTCCAGTAGCGGGTCATCCAATCATCTGGCATCATTTGGAAGCATTATCGAAAATTGAAGGGTTGAAAGAGGTTTTATTAATTGGATTTTATGAAGACTCGATTTTTCAAAGATTTATTGATGATTCTACAAGAGAATTCCCAAAAATTAATATTCGGTAAATAATGGATTCTTAATTTTAATAATAATTCGCGTCAAAATTGATTTAATTTTTAAAAATTTGTTTTAGATATTTTCGAGAGTATCAGTCTTTGGGAACTGCGGGCGGAATTTATCATTTTAGAGATGAAATTCAACGAGGTGATCCAAAACAAATATTTGTGCTTAATGCGGATGTTGCTTGTAGTTTTCCACTGGAAGAAATGTTGGAATTCCACAATACACATAAGGGTTTATGTACGATTTTAGGTACAAAGGTAATTAAATTATAAAAAGAACTTATTATTTTACATTCAATTCATATGTATATAATGTTTTTTTTATTAGGTTGCTCGTGAGGCTGCAAAAAGATATGGATATCTTGTTGCTAAACCCGAAAGTAATGAAGTTTTACATTATGTTGAGAAACCAGAAAGCTTTATTTCTGATTTGATTAGTTGTGGTATTTATTTATTTAACTGTGACATTTTCAATGAAATGAAAAATGCCATGGAAAATAAACAACATCGAGTCGAGTATCCTTTTATAGATATCCCCATATAGGAATAATATACAATTTATTACTATAGATTTCCTTAACTACTTAATTTTGTAAATTAAAGTCGTGATCCGTTAGTAACTTCTGATGATGATAAACTTCGATTAGAGCAAGATTTACTTCGTTCATTGGCTGAATCCAAGAAATTATATGTCTATGTTACAACTGACTTTTGGAGGCAAATTAAAACAGCTAGGTAAATATTATGATTATGAATTTAGTCGTTTATATATAAGGCATAATTTAATTAAATAGAACAATTTATATAAAGTTCTGCAGTTCCTGCCAATGCATTATATCTAGAACAGTATTTGAAAACAAACCCTGATCGACTATTAAAAAATGAACAAGGTGGACCAACAATTGTTGGTTGTGTTTATAAACATCCTACAGCATTTGTTGATCCAAGTGCAAAGGTTTGTTTCTTTATAATATGTAAAAGATTATTTTTTATTCTAAATTTTTTCTTTCATTTTCGATTAGATTGGACCAAACGTAACTATAGGACCTCGTGTAGTTGTGGGTAAAGGAGTTCGTATCAAGGATTCAATTATTCTTGATAATGTAGAAATTAAAGCGAATAGTTGTATCTTACATAGTGTTATTGGGTGGGATTCAAAAATTGGAACTTGGGCTCGTGTTGAAGGCACGCCAGTAACAAATGAAGAAACCGTTATCACACAAAATGGCGTTAAAGTTCAATCGATCACCATTCTTGGTAAGCTACATTTTAATTTAAATTTTTATCCTTTAATTATGAAGTAAATTTTAACCCTCTAAACTTTTCTCAATAGCTAATGAAGTTATGGTCAAAGATGAAATTATTATTCGTAATTGTATTGTTTTACCCCATAAAGAATTGAGATCTAATTGTCATAACGAAGTTTTGATGTAAAAATATTTAAGTAGGTTTTTATGCATATGGACAATGGTTTTATATTTGTTTTATTTGTTTAGTCTCCTACTTCTCTTAAAATTTAAGAGGGTGATTTGAAATGAAATAGATAAAATATAATTTATTCATTATACCAATTTTAAATTATTATTAAAGGAAAAATAAAATCATAACTAGAGTTTATCTATGAATAAAGGTATTATAATAAACTAGTTATAGGCGAGGCATCTATATCTATAGCTTATCCACATTCTACATATAGGATAATTATAATCTTATTAAATAAAAATTTATATTCAACTTCCCTTCCCACCTTAACATGCTCTTCTTAAATATTTAAATAGGAGTCATTTTATTGTTTTTAATACTTTCCGGTAGACGTAGTTGATAATCTAAATTGTAAATTAATGTTAGAATCAACATTGTACAATATATACACACACACGTGATAATTACCTCCATTTTGAGTAATATATCTAACCCAAGGTAAAGCTTGATAACCACTTTTTTCAACAATTTTTAAATAACGTACTTGAATACCCGAAGTTGTAAAATATGGTATTTCAAATTTTACTCCAATAGGAGGCTTTTTATCAGGATCATCAACTAAAAATTATTTAATAATAAAGATATTTATGTTTATTCCCCAAATATTAACATAAATTTTGGTACTTACCATTTTTAACGGAGGGTAACCCAAAATGAGCTCTCATTAAAAATTCTTTACCGCCTTGGAATTGTTTAATTTTCCATACAAGACATGATTTTTCTGGAGCATAATGAACCGATCCAATACTACTCTATAATAAGATAACATTATTTTAAAAGAAATGTTGAAGAGCTAAGTAAAGCTCAAATGAACAATATTATTATTTTTACCTACCCTAAATTTTGGAGAGTCAGCATCATCTGGTACAGGCACATATATTTCAACATTATTTGCAGTAGAACGTCTTTTAAATTGAGCTTTTGCCTTAATCATATATTCTATTCTAGAGCCAGTATAACTTTCTACGAGAGCTTCAACCCAAATCAAAGGTTTAACCTAATAAATTATCCCGATAAGTTTAATCTTCGACCAAATAAATTCAATTAAATCTTTTTTTACCTGTGTATTCAAACGATAGCTCATTAATTCAAATTCGCCATCAGGAGGTATAAAAGAAATGGTACGATCATTTTCAAATCTAGATAATCTGACACACTGATGAAACTTAACATCTTCCATTTCAATAGCTTTTCCTCTTGAAGCAGAACGTCCAGTACTTTCAAACATAACTTTATCATTTAAACCTAATCTTAATTCTGGCATACCACTTAAATAACATTTCATTTTAATTACTCCGAGAATTTCACTTCGTAATACATTTCCGTTTGCATTAACTAATAAATTTACAGATTCAATTACATCTAAAAATACTTCATTCTTCCTATATTTTATTCCTTCTGATCTCCATGACACTGCATTTGTAACAGCCATTGGTGGTCTTACTTGAATTTCTAATTTATGTGATTCTTGAGTTATATACCTAATCATAATTTTTTTTTTTTTTTGGTGTTGTAAAATTAGTTAAAATTTTATTAATAAAAAGATTTCTTTATTTAATAATTTCTTGACTTACTCTTGTAATATTTTTGTTTCGGTAGTTTGTGGATAACCAAAATCCATCATTTCATCTAAAAGTTCATAAATAATTACAAAATTATCTCTGATTGATTCTTCCTCAAGTTCCTTAAAATATTCTGTAAAAACCTTTTTTAAATAAATTTATATTAATGAATAAATAAGATTAAATTTTTGCATCTTTTTATGTTTTGTCTACATATATAATTTCAAAGATCAAAGAATCAAAATATAAATAAAATTAAAAAACTCAAATATTGATTTACCTCTGTCAATTTATGAAGGAATAAAAGAATTGTTGTAGCATTTGAATTTTTCTTTGTTATAGCCAATACTGCTCAGAATAAAATATAAATGATAAATGTGAAGGAAAAATAATCGAATTAAATATATTGTTTAATTCCTATGCTCTAGCCAAACCATAGGTTCTATACATTCTTATTAAAATAAACCTTCTTTCTGGAAAAAAGGATACGGTATAAATTATTATGTCGTATATACAGATAATTGACACCTTCATGTGTAAAACAAGGAGTTGGAGCTTGTTGTTCTTCCTCAGCCTCTAACACAAGTGGCATAAATTTCTCAACGGCAGACATTGGTATGTCTCCACGATAATTTCGTGATATGAGAACCTTTCCTTTAAGATCTAATACAAATACAGCTGAAGCCATCTTTAATTACAATTTATCTTAAAAACGCAAAAAATTAAATTTTCCAAGAACTGAGTTGGAAATAGCACAATTTATGATTGATATCTTGTAATACCAAAAAAAAATTTTTTTTTTTTAAGTTTTATCACTGTGATATTCATAAAAAATTTAAACATGAATAAATTAAATTATCGCAAAAAAACCGACACGTCAAATGTAATTGAACAGAAAGAAAATTTTATTGAAGAAAGTGAAGAAAATTCCAAAGAAAAGAGACCATTAAATTTAATTTTAAATGATCAAAATCGATTATTAAGTTGTTTAATTTTATTCCGAATAATAAATGCTATATTTACGAAAACATATTTCAATCCCGACGAATATTGGCAATCAGTTGAAGTCGCTCATTATTTAGTTTTTGGATATCCTAAACTCTTTTATTTAGTTTATTGCTTTGTAAAAAAAATATATGCAGTATCATATTATTTCTTAATAAATTTTTTTTTTTTACATACGGATATTTGACCTGGGAATGGAAGGAGAAAATAAGAAGTATCGCTCATCCTTTATTATTCGCAACTCTTTATAAAAATTTGGCAATTCTCGGTCTCGACAAAGGGAACTTGTTTGTAATGTCTTGATTCAAGAATTAATTGAGATTTGAAAATACTTTGATTTATTTTTTATTGATATCTAATAGATTAATTTGTAACTAGATATATGCTCCAAGAATTTTTCAAGCAGTATTTGCAGGTATAGGAGATTTGTATACTTATAAGTTAGCAAAAAAGTTATTTAATGAATCAACCGCAAATTGGACTGTATCCTTTCTTATTTCTGGCAAAAATGTATATCAAAAAATATATATATATATATATATATAATTTTATATTAGACCTTAATAATATAATAAATTTGACGCGTTTTTTTATAATTATAATAGCTTTTCTGTTCTATTGTTTCTTGGTTCAATTTCTTTTGCTCTATAAGGATGTTATCGAATAGCATTGAAACAGTACTGACTACTGTGGCATTATATTATTGGCCATGGCCCTCTTTTTCAAATTTTATGAGTTGGAATGATCGAATAAAGTATAACTTCTTTTTTATAATTATAATACCCGTGTATATGTTAATTATTAATTATAATATTATATCATTCATATAGAGCATTACGCATCTCGTTAACTTTAGCAGCAATTTGTTGTATTCTCCGTCCAACTAATGTTATTGTTTGGGGATTTCTTGGTATACAGTTATTGTGGAAAACAAGGGAACATCTTATCTCTATTATTTTAAACACGCTCTTTATCACGTAAGTTCTTAAATAGGTTTATTTAAGCGGTATATGATTTTATTAATGTCATATTCTCGATTTTAGAATTATTGCAATTTCAACGATAGTCTTAGTCGATTATACATTTTATGGTGAAATAGTGTTTGTACCGATTAATTTTTTGTATGTTAATGTAATACAATCAATTTCACTATTTTACGGTTCACATCCATGGCATTGGTATTTATCACAGGGTATACCATTTATTACAACTACATTATTACCATTCATACTTAAAGGCATATATGATATTTATAATGATAAAAAATTTCCTTCTTATCATCATCAATCTGTTAAAACATTAATTTGGTTAATTATATTAATGATATTTAGTTATAGTTTATTAAGTCATAAAGAATTTAGGTTTATATATCCATTATTACCTATTATGATAATTTGCGCGGGATATTGTTTACGCGAAATTTCTTTAAAATATCAAAAAAAAATGTCGAGAATAATTGTGATATCCTTGATAATTACCAACATACCATTAGCTTTTTATGCGAATTTTATACATCAGCGTGGTGTTGTGGATGTTATGAATTATTTAAGAAATGAAGCTAGATCAGAAAAAGTTCATGAAATAGGATTTTTGATGCCTTGTAATTCAACTCCCTTTTATAGTAATTTTCATTTTAATTTATCCATGTGGTATTTAACTTGCGATCCTCCTTTAATGAGGTAGGTTTATTTACGCGTTTTTTAATGTATATTATAATATTTCTAAAAAGAATTTTTTTTTTTTTCTTTAGTAAAGAGATTGATATTGAAAATTATGTTGATGAAGCCGATCAATTTTATAATAATCCACACGAATTCCTTAAAACATATTTTGAGCCAATTAATTCAACATCATCGTCTACTGATTTAAACCTTCGTAAATGGCCAAATTATTTGATAATGTTTGAAGCTTTATTACCCGATTTAAATCTTTTTCTCGAAAAACTAGATTACAGAGAGGTATAAGTTATTAAACTTTTTTTTTCATTTTTATTGTGCTAATTAATAAACATTTAATAATTTAGTGCGCGAGATTTTTTAATTCTCACTTTATTGATGATTGGAGAAGGAGAGGTGATGTGATAGCTTTTTGTAAAAATTAATATGGTGATCTAACTTTAATAACTTTTGTAAAAATTAAAATGGTAATTCAACTTTGCAAATCCAATTCAAATTTCTTTATTTGAAGATATGAGTTAGAGTATTAGTAAAATTGATATTATTATATTATTATTTTTTTATTATTATTTTAAATCTCTAATAATTTCCCTTTTTTACACGCAATTCATTTTTAATAAATATTAATTCAAAAGGAAATCGATTTTTATAAAAATGCGTGAAACACTACTATTACTAATATGGGAAAAGAAAGATATTATGAATAATTCACGGAATTATGCATAATTAATAATGATGGAAAGTATAAATAAATGCCCAACAAAAACATATAAATAAAAAATAGAATACAGTGTTCACTATCATGGTCCAGTTGGTCCACCATCTGCCGGTGGTGGTGCACCTGCTGGTGCTCCAATTGCTGGTGCTGGCGCTCCACCCGGTGCTGGTGCTCCACCTGCTGGTGCTCCTCCCGGTGCTGGTGCTCCATTTGCTGTTGCTGGCGCTCCTCCCGGTGCTGGTGCTCCATTTGCTGGTGCTGGTGCTCCTCCCGGTGGTGCTGGTGCTCCATCTGCTGGTGCTGGCGCTCCGCCCGGTGCTGGTGCTCCACCTGCTGCTGGTGTTCCGCCCGGTGCTGGTGTTCCATTTGCTGGTGGTGTTTCACCTGGTGCTGGTGTTGCTGGATTAGTTTCATCTGTTGGTGCTGGTGGAGTTAGATCCGGGCGTGTTATATTAAATGGACATGGAAAATCTATAACTGGTATCGATGTTGTTGGTTTTTTAACCCAATCTAATCCCATAATTAACATTTTTATCTCAACTCTAAGTTTTAAACTGTGTTCCTGTGGTTGAGTACATGATTCAATAAGATTTTGAAGTATTGGATCGTTCTGCCCTGAAGATTCATAATTAATCGGAATCGGAATTGATACTATTGATGTTGCTCTTCCTGGTATTGAAAACCCTTTTTTGGCACCAGAAGAAATTTTTTTTTGATTTACTATATCAAGGACCTAAATAAAATAATGAAAATAAAAAAAAAAGTTAGTTATATGAACGAATAAATAAATAAAGACTAATAGATAAAAAAAAATTCTCACATCAATTTGAAATGAATTAAATTTATAAGGTAACCAATTCTCTCTATTATCCAATTGAAATTGAAATTCCATCGGCAATTTTACAACTGTAGGAGCTGTAGTAATTTCTGCAACTCCTGCTGAAGATGGTGATAAAAATGTAACAACAGGAATTCGTGGCCACACAAAATACATGCCAGCTGCCAATAACACTAAAATAGTAAAAGTTATTATAACACACGTTTTTCTTGAACAGAAAGCACATCTTCGTTCCTTTTTAGGGGTTACTACATAATGATCTCCGGACGTTGATTGTCGAGTTCCCTTTCCATTACCCGAATCAACATTCAGAGCATATGGATTTGGATCATGTGATCCGTCGGGTCCTGTAAGAGTATTATTGCGGGAATCCGTATCATTATATTTTTCATCGTTCTGAAAATTATTATTGAAATCATTATAAACATCATATTGTGGTTGTGTATTTTGTGAATAATCTTGAGGATAATTATTATGTGTATCATATTGTGGTTGTGTATTTTGTGAATAATCTTGAGGATAATTATTATGTGCGTCATATTGTGGTTGTGTATTTTGTGAATAATCTTGATAATTATTTTGTGCGTCATATTCTTGTTGTGTATCTTGATAATTATTTTGTGAATAGTCTTGATAATAATTATCTCCCATGTTATCTGACATATAATTATTTTCGTTCTGATCAATTAATGGTACACCTTGTTGAGATGATCCTGTTGTAAGTCCTGTCGCACTATTATGTGTATTTGTAGAAGCAGCAAAAGGAGAAGGTGGGTATGGATATTCATATTCATTATATAATAATGATTGACGACGTGGTTCCGTCGTTTCTAAAGGTTGTTCTTGATGATATCGCATATTATTTGAAGGAGTAAATCCAGCAACACTAGGTTGAGAATAGATGGAAGAGACTACAGATTCACTGTCATCATCATCTGGTGTTCGACCTTGTGATGGACCTAAAAAGTATACCAACCAATCATTATTTGTTATGTTCATATTTTCCCCTTTTCAACAATTCCTCGACAAGTTATTCAATTATTTAAAACTCTATCATTATATTATCCAATCTTTAGAAACATATGAAATAGATTTAAAATTGAACCTTTTTTTCGCTTGTCTCGTTAGCAACCGATTTCTCCTTAATGAATAAAGTGAAAAAATAGATAAAATAAAATACCTTTTATATTTGGATTTGGTGATGAATAAGGGTTACGAAGTGGAGGTCTATAACCATCATTTTGCATTCGTGGATTAGAAGGTAATTGTCCTTGTTGATAACCATCAGTATATCCTTGATATTGATTACCGAATCCATTATTATTGTAATATTGATCTCTAGGATCTTGACGGTAAGACATAATTTTTGATATTAATATATATATAACATAAAAGCCTAATTATTATAAGCTATTATGTTATGAAAATTTATATGTTTTTTCGAACAAGTTGGTATAGGAAGGGATAGAGTCTTGCTTTTCTCGTATTAACACTGCATAAAAAAAAGTATAATTAATGAAAAAACTCGAATTATTAACGATAAAACAACTCTCGTGTAACTTGGGCGTTTGGCATGGTTTGCTGCAAACTCTAGATTAACATTTCTAAACCGAACTTTAAAACGGTTCCTACCTTTAAAATTTACAAGTCTAGTGTTTATAATAGGAGAAATTAATGAGCTCTACGAAAAATAACGGTATAAAATGTAAAGTTGAGTCTAAGGGATGGACAAAAAGAGGGGACGTTAATTACTAGGTAGTTAAATAAAAGGAAGAAGATATAGAAAAGAAGAATAAGAAGAATACCTCGCTTTGTTAATGAAATTTTTTTACGTGGTGCGACAATAAAAAATATTAGACTATATAAATATTTATGCAAATGTGACATTTTAAGTTTTATCTTAGTGGTGATTATGTACACGAACACAAAAATAGTAATGAAACTTATTTATAATATATATACAGTAAAAATAAATTAATCTATTCTCAAATTAGTTAAAAAAAAAAAAAAAATTTATTAAAAAAAAAAAAACATAAAAAAAAATTTGAACGCCCCAGCCTTTTTTGAAACTTTTTAGGAGTCAGTGTGGCCCTTCCCGATTGATGATCAAGTTCATCAGTTTGAAACTTTTGGATGTTGATCGATATTCCAACATCAAATTTGTTTGTGGCGCAGCTACTAATTATAGATGCCCGGTAATACCCCCCTTAAAAAACTGACCTCCTGACCCAGTCCTTCAACAACTCCCGATCTTTAATTAGTTAGGCTGTTTTATATGAACTAAAAATTTTCATAATGAATTCACGCTTATTTAATTTTTTAAAAGGTAATCGAATTTGGTTGCTACATTTTTAGTTGCTAAAATTAAAGTCTAGAGTCAAATGTTAACCGGTTTTTTTAAGATTAATTTCAGTAAACTAAGCAATATTAATAAAATAATGAATAAAAAGTAAAGAGGTAGTTAGAAGATTCTATATTTAGTATATATATGGCTTATGACCAAAAATAAAGTATTACGTGATTTGATGAAATATACATGCTACGGTATTTATATATTTATTATATATAATTTAAGTATTAATATATAAAGTATTAATGTATAGAAGTTTGTATTTACTTTTTTATTTCGATTATTTCACATACTTATGCATTTTTTTACTAAAATAAAAAATATACATAATTTTTGAGTTTCATAACTTCCTTCCAAGTTCCAATATTGGATACTGGCTAGGTTTCAAAGTTTTGTTTCAAAACTTAGATTTTTCTTTTTTTTAAAAAAAAGAAACGTTATTTTTGTAGGCTTCCTTCGGCTTACTATTTTCTATACTATTCCATCTAATCGAAATCCTGAAATAAAAATATGCTAGGATTAATTACATTAAATACTTTAAATTATTAGATGCCAAATAATTTTAAAAATATTTGAAACCATAAAAATAAATATTAATATATTAAATTCCAATTTAAATTTATTTTTATTTATTAATCCCTGTCGCACTAAGTGTACTCATGATTTCCCCCCGTGCTAATTTTTGTAAATTGCGTAGATAGCTGGGAAAATCTTTAAATAATTAAATAGTTAAATAGTTAATCTTGATGAGTACCAGAGGATTACCATGAAAAGGGGTTTTTTTAAATAATACCTAATTTAATAACAAAAAATCCGAAATTTATTTTTAATATATATATATACTGTATATACTTGGTGTATTTTAAATTGTAAATATTAATTTAAATAATAAACCTATATACTATTTTTTCAATTATTAAAAAAGTAACTTATGTAATTTTATCAACTGTATAATTAACATTTAATTTAATTTCTAGTATGTTACATTTTTCATATAGTTAATATATTCTAATAATCCAATTTTTTTTAATTTCAAATAAAATATAAATAGTTGATTTTTTAAGATAATAATTGTAAATAAGCATTAAGCAATCTGATTAACAAATCATATTCCTATTTTATTTTCTAATTTTTTATATTTGACTTTATTATGATTATATAAATTAATTAGACCAATTTCTTCAATTTCATTTTAATGTACATATTTACTGGTTAAATAAGTAAATATAATTTTTCAGATTATATAAATTATATTTATATAATATATATAATATATGAATTTATTATTAAATATAGTTACATATATAATAAAAAATAAAAATAATAAATCAGTACAGGTAGTATAATTTTAATAATATAAAACTTTCAAAAAAAACTCTTATTTAATTTATTAATTATTTAATACAATTTTATTTATATATATTATTATACTTAATATTTTTATTCAAATAAAATTATAATATATATAAGTAATAATTGTATAAATAATATTACTTAAATAAATTAAAAAATAAATGCCAATCAATTTACATTCTTTTTACTATATTCTTTTATTATATATTATATATATATATTATTTTAAAAGATATATATAAAATATTATATAACAGTTAAATGCTTACAAAAAAATCCAAACTGAAAACTAATTTAAACTAAATAACAATTGGCTTTAAATTTACATTTCCAGTATTCTATATCATAAAAAATAAAAAGAAAAAAAATAGCTAAAATAATAAAAAATTTTTATTTAAAGAATTATTAATATTAAACTTAAAACTGGCTGGTTTTAAAAAGATTTTATTTTCATTTTTCTAAATAATATTTTGAATTAAGATTAGTAAGCTTAAATTAAATCAAATAAATAAATTAAAATTAGGAAATTTATTACATAGTAAAAAGGTACTATTTATTAGTCATTAAATATTATAGTAATAATAATTATTACTATTAGGTAAATTTTATACAATTTCTGTTTTTTAATATTTTGTAAATTATTTGGCTCCTTATAAATAAATATTTAACTAAGAAAATTTTGCAAAACATATTTTTTAATAAATTTTCCATAAACTAATTTTATTATCTTTTCCACCACCTACTAAAAAATGATCTTGAATATCATTTTCAGTTAAAGTATCACTATCCTCATATGAAAAAATATAAGTAAATGCTAATGAATAAACACTTTCTTTATGATACGATAATATTGCTAATGGCTTCATAGTTTTTGAAGAAAAAATACGTATACTATAAAAAAAAATATAAACAGAAATATAAAATCAATATATATTTTAAGGTCATATTAACAAATTTGAATTGTGTTAGATATATACTTTGAATCCCATCCGGCAGTAGCAAAAATTTTTGAATCAGATCGTATTTTAATATCAGCAACTCCAGAATACTTTATTACGATATTATTGATTAAAGGTTCTTTTTCAAAGTTCTAGAAATCCAAAATATAAATCATTAATCAAGTTGAAGAAACTTTGTTTTAATTATATATTTACCTCATCAAAAATATATTTTACAATTTTATTATCTCCTGCAGTAGAAATTGCAAATTTTCGATTCATTGAAACATCCAACGCTAATGCTAATGTTGTTATCAAAGAAATTAATAACTTATTAAAAAATATGCACTATATCATCTTAAAAACAGACCTGTTTCCTTATGTTCCTTTACGATCCATAATTGTTTAAAAGAAAATAACCAATTACTAACATTATTGTCAGATTTATTAGGAGTTAATGTCCATAAAATTAAACCACCATTTTCATATACTGCTAAAAGTAAAAATCTAGATTTGATTGTTGGATGTTGAAAAAATTTCATAGCCATGCAATAACCTTTATTATAATAAATTTTGACAAATTTCTTAGAAAAAAAAAATTAAACAAGGAAAAAAAAAAAATTTAACTGGAGCAAACTGATACCTATTTCCTGTTTTATATCAGGTTCTACTGAGGTTATAAATTGTTGATTTGAAAGATCCCATATATCAATCTGAAAAAAAACCACATCAAAAATTATCCTAAGAATACGGAATTACTCTAATACATACAGCAGTAGATTCTTTTGAACTTGGTACTGCGATCAAAATATCTTGATTATTTTCTCCTTTGTAAAAAATCTTTGTTAAAAACATATATTAGATCTAGTAAACTTCACATAATTATATTACCTTTAAAGCAATAATCAAATTTACAAAAATTCAATGAATTTACTGACAAACTTTTTTCGAGTTTGGATAATAATTCATCAGAATCTTTCTGCTCATTGTTTTCATCTTCATCATTAATTTCTACAATCTTTTCTTCTGTTTTAGTAAAATTTGAAGAATTTTGATCAATTTTCCAAACTTTTAATAAATTATCTCTACCATGGCTTTAATAAAGAAAATTAGAACATTAATAAACTAAAATTTTAAAGAAAAAAGATTAAAAGTTTACCTGATCAATTTGTCATTTAAAACTAAACATCTTAGAATTCCTTTATTATGTGCTTTAAATTTTAATATGGGACGCTTTATTTTCATGTCCCATATGATGATATTTCCTTCAGCATCCCTATTTTTATTTATGAATTAAGATCTAATAATTAAATCAAAAATAAAAATGGCAAAAAAACTTTACCCAGAAATTAATTTAGTATTGTTTTGATAAAATTCCAAATGATTTATCTGATCTTCATGTCCGCGAAATATATATATTGGTGTAGGAGGCGTTGCACTCATTTTTGTAAATTCGAAGTTTCTAATCTTTCATTTTACCAAAGGTATTATCGCGTCGGCAAGATTACTTCGCAGTTCAGATCTGCCGATCAAACTCACCGTATTACCGATAATCCGGGAATTAACCAATCAAATCAATTCATAAAAAATATTTAGTTCGTTTTTTTTCGCGTGTAGCGAAAAGAGGATCATATTTTATAAATTAAAATGGACACGCATACAGTATATCAACTCTTCAGCGCAACATATCACTCTGATCCCAACGTACAGAAGCAAGCTGAAGGGCAGTTAAGACAGGTGATTTTCAAAATTAATAAATTTAGTTAATAACCGTTTTTAACATTTTATTTTCAAACAGGTGGAGGGTACACCTGGCTTTATTTCGATACTCGTCCAGATATTAGGTTCGGAAGAAATTGAAGTTCAGACAAAACAAGCTGGTAAACCAAGAACAATAATTTGTTTTCACTTTTCTCTTTAAGTCATTAACTGTCATAATTATTCATTCCTTAAATTTTAAAAGTTTCGATATATCTTAAAAATCGGGTCAGAAGTTCGTGGGTTTCCGAAGAAGTGACGACACATAATATAATTCCAATTGAACAACAAGACCGCGATACTTTTAAAGCAAATATATTGGGTATTTTGGTAACAGTACCTAATCCTGTGAGGTGCGAATATATGCTAGTAATTTCGATATCTGATCATTTAATTGACTATGTAATAAATTATTTAGGGTTCAACTTTTGGATACTTTGAATCGAGTTCTAGCAAATGATTTTCCAAATAAATGGGCTGATTATATTAATCAAGTTCACGCCTTTTTGGGCACCAATGATGCCAAAATGGCATATGTTGGATTATTAGCTTTACTACAAGTTATTAGAGTGTACCAGTAAGTATCAAGTATTTAATTATTGTTAGATTATTAAACTTGTTGTTAAATCATATTACATTTCTTTATTAGATGGAGAATAGAAGATAAATCTCCTCTAGTTGAAATAGTTCAATCCTCCTTCCCAATTACATTACAAATGGCGCAATCATTATGTAATGAGAATAGTTTAGATGCTGCTGAAATGTTGCGAATAATCATGAAGGCTTATAGCTGTCTCTTATACACATCTAGATGTGTATAAGAGACAGGCTGAAATGTTGCGAATAATCATGAAGGCTTATAGTATAGCAATACAAGTAAATAAGTATTATATTTAAATTCTTAATTATCAGTTTATCTTAATAATATTTTTTTTTTTTTAGTACGAGCTTACACAACATCTTCAAGACAATTCTTCTCTAGTTCCATGGGTTACTTTAATGTTGCAAATAGTTGAGAAACATATTCCTCAAGAAATGTTATCCGAAGATCTTGAAGAAAGGCAGAAGTTTATATGGTATCGAGTAAAAAGACGATCGTGTCAAAATTTGAATAGACTTTTCTCAAGATACGGAAATCCAGCTCAAATTGGACAAACCTCAAAGTATACGGCATTTGCTGAAAATTTTGTTCAACAATTTGGTCCTCAGATATTACGTGTTTATCTTCAACAAACTGATCGATGGATTAAAAAAGAAACTTGGTTAAGCCAAAAGGTGTTATTCTTTTTTGCTGAGTTTTACAGGGACGCGTAAGTGACTTGTTTAATATTATTGTTAACTTTTGAATAAAGAAAATTTCACAATTTTTCGTTTTTTTAGTCTTACACATAAACTTACTTGGCAAATAATGAAGTCATATGCTGAAACTCTTGTAACGCATTTTATATTTCCTCAGTTGTGCTTTACTGAGGAAGATGAAGATTTATGGGTCGATGATCCTGTCGATTATATCCATAAGAGGTTAGATCCTTTGGAGGACTTTTCTGCACCAGTCGCTGCAACTATAACTTTTCTAATGAATTTAGCAAAATATCGAAACAAGTTCATATTTAAAAAGATTTTGAATTTTATTAATAATGTTCTTGAAACTTACCGGGACGCTCCACCTGAATCTAAGGATCCACGTCAGAAGGATGGTGCTTTAAAAATGATTGGATGCCTTGCCGATTTAATCTTGCGTAAAAAATCAGGAATAGCTCATCATATGGAACCTTTTTTTACCGCTTATGTGTTTCCAGAATTTCAGAGTCAATATCCTTATTTAAGAGCGAGAGTAAGCTTGTTGAATAAAATATGTCATCTAATCTTTCGAAGATAACTTGGTTTTTAAAAATGAATAATATTGTTGAAATTAGGCATGTGACATGTTGATGAGATTCAATAAAATGGATTTCGAGAATAAGGCAAATTTAGCGATTGCTTTTCGAGGAGTTACAACCTGCATGCGAGATACTGAACTTCCCGTTAGGGTTCAAGCTTGCTTATCTCTTCAATTTATGATACAACATGAATCAGGTACATTTCTTTTTTATTCAAAATATTTCCATACTGTATTGTGTATTAACATTGTTAATATTCTCTTATTTATAGTGAGAAATGCGCTTATTCCTAGCCTTCCGATGATCATGCAAGGTATTTATAAATTAACTCATCTTTTTTTATTTACTCTGTTTTTTATCCTTAAATAATATTAATATTTGTAACTATTACATTAGAACTCCTTAACCTTACAAATCAGATTGACGCTGATACCTTATCAGGCGTTATGGAAGAATTTGTTGAAGTATTTTCAGAAGAATTAACTCCATTTGCTATTCAACTTACTGAGCAGCTGGTATAAATTTACTAACTTATCTTTTTTTTAATTTGTATAGAAATAAATATTAATATAAAAATTTCATATTATATAGAGAAACACCTTTCTGCGTATTATGCAAGATTACCAAGATTCCGCTGCCGTTCCCGTGAGTGGCGAACTTATAACTTCTACAGAATTAGATATAAGTGATAAAACAATGGCTGCTTCGGGTGTACTCAAGACTATTACTACTTTGCTTTTAAGTTTGGAGAGTACTCCAGAACTTTTATCTCGGCTGGAAAATGCGCTACTTCCTGTTATAACATATTCGCTTGAGAATGCAATTATAGGTTAGACTAATAACAGGAAAATGATAATTAGGTGCTTTGCGCAATAACTGATTGATTCGCATTTTTTTTAAAAAAAAATAATTCAGATTTGTATGAAGACATCTTTGATATTATCGACACTTGTACATTCTCCACAAAACAAATTTCACAAACAATGTGGGGAATTTTTGAATTGATTTATAAAACATTCAAAGATACAGGCATAGATTACATTGAAGGTATTATCAAAAATTTTACTATTATAGATTTTTCAAACTAAATTAACTTATTGCATATTTGGTTTGATTGAATTAAGAGATTTTTCCATCCTTGGATAATTATATATCGTACGGAACTCAATTTTTCATTCAAAATACTACTTTACAAAGGATGATAAATGATATTGTTGAAACGGTAGGTTTATACGATAGTTTAATAAGTTATTTCGCTCTGTAACGAAATTAACGATATTATTGTAGGTCATGACAAGTGATCGATTGAATGAGAGTGAACGCATCTGTGGCTGTAAACTTATTGAATCTATTTTATTAAATTGTCGCGGAGTTGTAGATCAGGTATGGAAGTTAATATTTTTGGAAAAATAATACAAATTCTTAGTAATCTAAATTTATTTTATTTTTATTATTTATTTAAGTATGTGGGACCATTTATTGATCTTGTCTTTAAACATCTATCTAACACGAAAAGTACATCCTTGACCAACTTCAAATTTTATTGCATCGAAGCAGTAAGTTACAAAGATTATGCTACGCGTTTCTAACTTTGAGATAATATTGTAACCAATTTTAATGATTTCAGGTGATAAACTGTCTATACTATAATCCACTTCTGTCTCTCCATATTCTTGAAGAACGCAATTTAACTCAAACATTCTTTAGTATATGGTTTGATAATATAAAAAAGTTTTCACGTGTTCATGATAAGAAGTTAGTAGTTGTAACTTTGTGTTCTTTAATGGAAATACCTGTTGAACAACTACCATCCATTTTACAAACCGGTTGGCCTCAAGTCTTGGAAGTAATTTTGACTATATTCAAGTCTTTACCAAAAGCTGAAGAAAGTAAGTTCTATAACTTTAGGGACACTCTGTTTATTCATGATAATTACAATGCATGATTGTTTATTAGATCGAAATGAAATGGAAAAGATGTACGATAATGAAAGCGATGATGATGATGATGATGGAGAAGCTGATGGAGAATCTGAAAATAGAGGTGATCAAGCAGTTGGTGATGATGATGGATGGGAAGGTAATATTTTATAGAAAAGTTTGTGTATATTTGAGATTATTTTATTTATAGTCATCTTTTTACATTAAAAGATGATGAAGATGTGCAGGATGAAGATGCAGAATACTTAGAATTTTTGGCACGAGAGGTAAATTATTTACAAACTTTGTATTATACTTTTACTGATTTTTACTAATCTTTTATGATTTAGGCTGCAAGAAATGCACGTTCGACAACAGATGAAGAAGACGATGACGATCCATTGGAAGAGGAAATATTATTTGAATCACCATTAGATAAACTTGATGTTTATATTAGATTTCATGATGTTTTTGTTGGTAAGATATTATTGAGATCGAAAGTGTCATTTAATTAACACAAACCATAATTTTCTTATACTTAATCTCCTTTAAACAACTAAACTTAGGTGTTCAACAACATTATCCAACTTCATATAATCTTCTTACAAAAAATCTTGATACAGAAAAACAAAATCTTATAATGAAAATAATCAATATAGCCAATGAAAGAAGAAAGAATTCAGAAAATCATACTAATGAAAATGATAATAATTAAGAAAAACAAATGTATAATTATTGATTTAATGTATTATAGTTTCGTTGTTTTAATTTTACAATTTTACAATGACATTTAATATCATGATAAATAAATAAAAATCAACTAACTTATAATAAAATATTTTATGTTTAAATACAGAGAGTTGTTTGGCATACTTTTTAAACAAATGCCATCAGCTGAACATGCAATTAAATTCATAATATAACAGTTTGTTTTTATCCTTTAACAAAGGAAAATATAAGAGATATATACAGTGCTAGCAAAAAGTAATTGAAATATGCAATAAATGAAAAATCAGTAATTAAAATTCCTCAGATTTTATAGATTTGTTGCCAAATGGATTAATATTAAGTATATAAAATTTCAGTCTTATTTCTTATTTCACAATCAATTTTTCTTTCAAAAAACTTTATTAAAAATTTAAGCAAATCATCCCACACACGTTAAAAATCCAAAGCATTCTGTAAAACGATATAATATTATAAACATTAAGACCTCCTCGTTGTCTTTATTTTCTTCTCCTGTTTCTGTTTCTGTTTTTGTGAAGAAGGATATTCTGCATGTTCATTCATTAACTTTTATCTTTCAAAATTTTTCTTTTTCGGCTCTCTCTTTAATAATGTTATATCCTAGCATCGTTTTTTTAGTAGCTTCTACATAAAGAACTGTGTAAGATATCACATAAAATTCACATAAATAGTATTAGAAAGAATATTATTAACCTTGATCTGTAAAATAATACGTATCTATATATACAACCTTTGAAATTTTATCAAGTTCACATAATCGGTAGGAATTTCTAACTCGGCCAAATCAGTGGAAACATAAAGACCAGGCATCAATAACTTCGGAAATGATTGTAGTACTTCTTTTGACACCCTTTTATTGCTATAGACTTACATTAATGACATGTGCATGTCTCTTAATGTTTTTTAACCTTAAGTGTATTAGAAAAAATTTTCATTGTATTATCGATTACTGAACCAGCTCTTTCGCAGAGAGAAAATTCATGGTTCCAAGATTCTTTTGCTCCTAATTCATGATTCTGCAAGTTATGTTAGTATATGCTTCAAACTGACATTAAAATGGTGTATAATTTAACGTACACAAAAAGCCAATCTAAATGAATTCCTTCATCTCCTTCACAAGCTTTATCACGACGTGCTCTAGAAGCTCGAGATACTGCTTCACCACTTATTTGTTATTTGTAAGAAAATACGTGCATTAGTACAGACAAAGAAAAAAGAGACAGGAAAAAAATAGAAAATCTTACAAGTGTCGATCCATAATATCATCTAAACATGAAAAAAATAACACTCTTTATAGAAGCATCGATATCTCTTTCTGTATTTTTCCTTTTTGGAATTTTTTTCTTAATCATTTTACAACTGACAAAAAGAAATTCAAAAAGCTGTAAGCATAATGGAATCCATTGGCATAGATGCATATTACTTACGCAAATCTTATCAAATCAAAAATATAGGCTACGTCTTCATCTAAGTAATCGATTTCAGCTGTTTCTGCATCATCAATTGTTTGGTCGTTCAAATGTCGTTCAATCGCCAAACAAGTCGAGATCAAATTCATGTTTTTAGAATTTTTTTTAGTTTTTCCAATGCACCACGTGTTCCTTCAGGACGAACTTTTTCACCAATTATTTTAATCTGATCGCTATTTAGCTACGTTCAGAGTATGCAATTAAATTTACATAATACAAATTAGGTAAATAAGGTATAATAGCTTTCATAAAATTATAGCCATTTACCTTTGATAAATCTCGTAAACATTTCTCTGCTAATCATTTTTTGTAGTTCATAATTCTAGTGCATTGGCTAAAACCTCTTGTAATTCTAAAAAATCCTCTTCTGAAAGATATTCTCTTATTATATCATATCATCTATAATTCTCCACCATATCGACTTTTTTTTTTTTTTTTTTTTAAAAGAATGATTATAATTTAATCATGTGGAAAAAAGCAAAAAAATATTTATAAAGCATCTACTTTGATGAATATTTGAATCTTTTATCCCATTTTCTTCCGAGATCAATTCTCTACAATACAGCATTTCCTTTCAAGCCATGTTGGAATTGCACTACCATTCAACTATTCCGCTATCATCCACCTCGCTTTCGCCATAATCATGAATTACAGTCAGACCTCTATATAGTCACACCCTATATAGTCACAACTTATAAAATTCCTTTATATAATCACACCTTTGGTTTCATTTGAACATGCACAACATCAACACTATCAACACCGGTTGCAGGAGTGTAATTTGTGCAAATACGCTAGGGGAGTAGAAAACTTTAAGTCGTTGCTTTAACTACTTGCGCACTAATATTGGAGTTCTTTTTCCGGTAGTAATGCAAGAAGAATTTTTAGCTCAGCTCCAAGCGAATTATAAGATTCACGTCTGTTCGTTTCAGGTACTTTTTTGATGTAATACATATCCCAATCGTTAACTCCCCATTCCCCAGGAGACTTATCCAGTATTCTTAGAAGAAGCTAGTATTAGCAGCGAGGTTAAATAAGCTTATTAAGCAACGAGAAAATACTTACCTGGATGATAAAGAAATGAGATTGTTTCTTTATGAGTTTGTTTCTTTTTAATAGTCTAGTGGTCAATATTTTACGTGTAAATTAATAAAAAATCGCTCCTTTTCGTGTTTTAATTTATAAGGAATATGAATTATGACGTAGTCGTTAATTGATAGCTTTTTGTTCACATCAACCAAAGAATAAACCCTGATAGGCAAATTTATTAATAATTTCAGATTTACAAGTGATCAGAAAATATCAGAGAAGCAAGTGAAATGTATGATGCTATCAAAGAGGGAGGGATCTTTGCTTTCATATTTCCGAAAAATTTTTGCTGATATCAGTAATAATCATGTGACCTACGGTCCGCTGTTTGTATGGTGGCTGTCACCTATAAACAACAATAGTCCAAAATTTTGAAATTTATTTATTTATATTGTGTAACTTATGTTTTAAAGTACTTTGTCAAAATATTAATTGCCGCGTGAGCGGCAAAATTTTTTTTTGCCATATTACATGGAATTCTTGTGGATTTCCATGGAATTTTTGTAAAATCCATAAAAATTACATGAAAACTAGTCCGAAATTTTATATTTTTATTATTGCTACTTATTAAAATTATCCAACTTTAACCCATAATATTAATTAAAATTCTTATTAAATTCTATAAAATAATCCGATAGAAATGTTCAGTACATGTTGCTATATCATTTTATCGTTTCTTTTTACTATTCAATTTACAATTTATAAAAATTTGAAGTCACTTAATATTAGTGTGGTTTATAGGTGACAGCCACCATAATACATTTATAAAATATGCACACATCGTTTTAAAATTCAACATAAAGCTCTTTATTATATTTTTTTATTATATTAATACATGAGAAAGGGCCGGCCGGCTAAGTAAAAAATGAAACTAATAAAAGATATTGGAGTGGATCACGTTTAAAGGAGGAATAAAGCACGAAATGAAATAATATCATGCTTTCCGTCGGCCGATGAACCAGATGACATACTCAGCTGATCAAATTCGATCTGAAGTCTTTGGGCAATTGCATAACGTTGGAGCTGTTGCAATTAGATATTCAGCATATTTTTTAAAAATTTCAACACGAGTTAAACTGCAGGCATTACTTGATCTCATTTATCACTGCTTGCCCATGGTTGACTGATAGATAGCTCAAGAGAACTTGAAAGATGTGAAAGTTTTTGTCGTGATAGTGGTACCAAAATTGATTTAAATCTAAGTTTCCTTCTTCATTAATTAGTAGGGTTTCATGTGGATTAAAACATTAAATATCACGAAATGTATATGACGCTAGCGCGTTTTGCATTTTTTTTTATAATCACGTTTTATATCTTGTACTACTTGTAGTTATTGTGCCAAATACTTATATACTTATTATGAAAATAATTACATAATATACTCTTATTTTATTTTTTCTTCCAAGATTGAAATCTGGACTAACTTCGTGTAGAATAACTACTAGAGGTAAAAATTACATAGTAAAGAAAAACTAACTAAAGTAAGTTAACAGACGTGTTCCCAAATGTAAAAGCGTAAAAAGGAAAAGAGAAAAAAGAGACTAGCCATCCACAGAGAAACTACGCCGCTGTGGTAACTAATAATATAAAATTTACCAATAATATTAATCCCACATCAAAAATAAGTATCTAATTTAATGCATAGCTATCTCACCCGTGTTCATTCAGGGAGCACCAATAACTTATACACAATTACCCGCCCAACCTTTCTACGCATATATTATCGTTTAGATGGGCGACAACTTGAGGAGCGACAGTATTTTAGGAGCGACAGTATTAGGAGCGACAGTATTATGAGCGACAGTATTAGGAGCGACAGTATTAGATACGTGATGGGAATTCACATTTTATCATTTTAAATTTCCGCGCATATGATTGAAAGTAAATAGGCATAATATTTCATAATGGCTAATCTGAATTTCCAACACTGAAGGTGAAGCAAGGTGAAGCCCTGGGATTAATGAACGGTAAGGGCGAAGCAATTCTGCAAGGGGAACTGAGTACGGCGCAATTATTTTTTGACCGTGTAATCTTGATTCAGACATTCTGTAGAATCATATACATAGGAAATAGTTGAAATTTTAGCGAGCATAGTGGAATTTTTTGTTTAAGTAAAGTGAACAATTGAATGTTAAAAAAAAAAAATAGTAAATACTGTTTTTTATATCTTTTTCAAATTCCACACCGATCACAAGGAATGATAGCAAATGAGGAAATCCCTCACGCTTTTTCAAACTTCCCGGATGATGGGGCTAAGGCTGATTTCATCAATTTTTTTTCTTAAATTAAATTAGCCCCATGAAATCATTTTCCAAAGATATAGTTATGATATAGTTATGTCATCATACTTCTTTATAGACTAAAAAAAAAACTTTCATCATTATCATATTATTTATTTACATTTACGAAATAAAAAAATGATTTTTTCGTGTCAGCAAATAAACAAAAATTATATAATCATACGAAAAAAAAGATGTGTTAAGAGAAAAAAAAGAAATAATTCTTAAAAGCCTCAAACTCAAATAACTTACAAGTAAAAATTCTGTTGATTATATGAACAATAAAGCCCTACGCTTAGCATTTTTTTACAACGGGCTTAAATAATTGACATATCATTACAATTTGCAAATACAAAAAAAAAAATCGATTCCTCGATACAAACAAAAAAATTTTTTTATATGTAAGACATACGTTTTTATGAATGTAAGGAATTTTCAATTACTAGAGATTCCAAATTATTATAATTACATCCTTAAAACAAATTTTAAAACTAACATTTGTCTAATTATATTAAAACTATTATCAAATAATGAATTTTATAAAAGTAAATAAAAGGGTATTTCACTGAATACTTCCAATTTTCTCGTGTAAACATAAAATGAAAGTTACATACCTAGCTTATTATATCATAAAAGTTATACATGCAATGCCGTCAGTTTTTTCATAACATAAAAGCCCAGCCGAAATTTTATGTTGTTGCATTCCGCGATTTAGTAATGGACCTCAGAAATCTATACAAAAATGGTCATTAGTTTGCAGCTCTGATATACTGCTCATTATTTTTTTAAATCTCGTTCACATTAGTCAAATACGGTCAACCGTACGACCGAAAATTGCGTAACAATAATTATCTATACTTAAATCAATTCTTTCGCATAAATGCTTTTACGAAATACCTATATCTCATAACAAGCCTCTGATCTGATCAAGATTCTATTTTATGATTTATTCGGAAAAGGTTTTTTTACACATTGAATTTATGAGAAAAAGTCAATGAGGTAGAAAGAAAATAAACACCTATTTTGATTAAATCACCAAAGAATGGAATAATCCCGGATAAATCCTTCTTTTAAAAAAAAATTTCTAATGAATCAATGCAATAACAAGAAAATTTTTTTGAGAAGGGAAAAAATTTTTTTTCTTTCGTCTTTTCATTTTTTTTTAATAAAAAAAAGGATAAATAATATTTACGATCCCTCGTCACCTGACCCGAACAACTTTGACTTTGTCAAAAACTGACGCAGATATCATAAATAACAATTTCAAATTACATCTTTTATTGTGATAAGAAATCCAAGACACTTGGAGAGCAGAGAGGAACAAAAAAAAAGGAATAGAGAAAGTGCCACGACGCCAAAATCCTTTGACAAATCAATGTTCACAAGTTTAGATCGAACGGTATTTGGATTACCAATTTATTTTTAAGATGATAACGCGTTCTAAAGTAGAATCGATCTGCGAAATCAACTTGTTATTTGTTTTAAGGCTAAAAATCTATAGGATACGAGATTTATTTTCTAAATTGAAAGGATACTGATAGAAATTCAATTTATTTCTGACTATGGACTATATGAAGGATGGATTTGCGTCAAGGGATTCACAAAGGGCTCATACTTTGACCGTTAAAATGCGATGACAGTTACGATTATGGGACATGAAAACTTACGATTGAACAAATAGTACGACAATTAAATAACATTTAAGCCTCAATAATTCAAAAATATTAATTAACAATTGAAATAAAGAAAAGACCCATTTAAATGTTAAATGTCAGTTTTTTCAGCCGGTAAAATATATTTATAAATAAAATTTTTTGCAGCAAAAGCACCCTTTAAATATAAGGTATATAAAATAAGAAACATTTTGGTATTATAATGTGAACAATAGCATAAGTTTATTCGTACCTTATCATGGTATATTGCACCGACAAGCGCTCTCAATGCTTTTCCAGCAACACTTACTTCCCCTGAAGGTCGTATTTCTTGCCCTTCATCTTTTGCTTTAATCACTTCTGCTTCATTTATCTAAAATTAAAGGATGAATTAGGTTAATATCTAAAAGGGTGATAAAATATTTTTCAAGATTTGTAATTACACTACCGGAGTCCAGTATAATAATTCATTTAATCCTAAATTTATTCCAATATTCCCAAGTTTGTCCAAATCAATTGTGTATAACTTAAGCTGATATTTTAATTTTTCCGGTGGGACTTTATCTATAAAATGTTCTGCTGCATAAAGTTGAATAACCTTTTGACCTTAAAGAGAAGGCACAAAATTCGCATATTAATCGTTGAAAATAAAAGCTATTATCAAAAAAAAAAAAATATAATTTTTTTTTTTTACCAAGAAAATCTAATCGTTCATTTGTAGATGCATTATTTAATTTGAATGATTTATGTGTACAAACTTGATGTATCAAATTTGAATCAGAAAATATTAAATCATATTTCTGACAAAAATCATCATGTTTATCTTTAACGTGGGTTGTTTTAATCGTAGCAGGTTTAGTAATATTTCGTACTGTTTGTTTTGCATGTAACTGTCTTGCTAATTCAAAAGATTTAAATAAGAGAGAAAAAGAAAGGGAAGTTTATAAATATATTAATTATCAAGGAAATCTTATATATATAATTATGTAAAGGGAAGAAAAAAAAAGTTATTACCAAAATCTGTTAATGAATGTTTTAAAATAATTCTTGAATAAAATGTTCTTGATAACATTTCGTATTAAAAAAATTTTTTTTTTATAGCGGATTAAGAAAAAAATTTTGAAATAGATTATCGTAAACAAATAATATGATTGTTGTACAGTACCTATAAATCAAATAACCAATAGATTAATTTATATGAAAATTGTAATTGCGAATGAAATTCATCTCGATAAAAAATCATGTTCTTCTTAACCATCACGTTAAAAACATGGGACTTATTATACAATCTATTTAAATCAAGCTTCATATGAGAATTTTTTTTTACATATCACGTTATGACGTAGAAATCGGGAGTGGCTTAGCATCTAAAAAAAATTACAGCAAGAATATCTTATCAGAAAATTTTCGAAAAATACCTTATCACAAATGAATGCTTCTCGTATAACTTGCTTAATATCTTCAATTAATAAAACGAACTTTATTAAACATGTGAAATTTAATGAATTATTTATTAATATAGGGAAAGGAAGAAAACCTTATTCGATATACTCTTCTCTTAAACCTGAACCAGAAATTAGAGAAATGGTAGCTAAAAAATATAGAATTGTTAGTAGTATAGTATTAACAAGACCACCACAAATTCTTCGAGATTTACACCCATTTGAAAAAGAATATTATTTATATCAACAAAAGTTAGAACAAATTCATTCACCACCATTTCCTCAAGATTTTTATTTTAAAAAAGGTAGCATAGCAGAAAAGAGGTGGAATAAAAGAAAAGAACAAGATAAAAAGAATGCTTTATCAGTTTTTAGTGAATTTAATGATAATTTAAAAGATAAATCTGATATTGTTGAAGGTGAAGAAGATATTAACAATGATAATAAAAGTTTAGGTGATGTTGAAGAAGAAGAAATTAAAATTGCTAGTAGAATAACTCAAGATGATTTAAATAATAATTTGAAATCTTTGAATAGAGCATTACATAGAACTTTATATCTCATAGTAAAAAAACCAAGAGATGAACATGCATGGCAATTTCCTCAAGGTGGTGTAAACAACAGAGAAAGTTTAATTCAGGTGAGATTCATAGTGAGTTTGTTAAATTTAAAATAAAATGTATAAAAATTTAAATATATGTTCATATGTTTAATAGGCTGCTGCTAGAGAACTTGAAGAGGAATGTGGTAATAAAATGGACGTTTGGTTTGTAGGTAGAAGACCAATTGGTTGTTATAAATACACATATCCAAAAAATTTTGTTAGAGAAGACGACAAAGATATTAAAGGATCCATGGTATGATTTACTGCATATCTTAAATTTCCTAATATATAATAGAAAAAAAAATAATAAAAAAATTGTTTTGCTAGGTATTTTTCATGAAAGCTCATATATTTGCGGGACAAGTACATGTAGATCAAAAAGAAATTGTAGACTTTGCTTGGGTTACAAAACAAGAAATGAAGGATTTTGTAACTAGTAACTATTATTCTGCCGTTTTGGACATGCTTTCAGAGTTTTAATTAGGATTTATTTTAAAAAAAAAGCAGACTTGCTTACTATTTATATTAAAAAAATTATTTTAATTTAATTAAAAAAAAGTTTTTTCATAATATACTTTTTAAAGTTTTCAAAGGAATTTAAATCCATTGCAGACATTATTTCATAAATAAAGGATATCAAAGGTTATTACTAAAATAAAGTTTCTAATAATTACTACATCTCATTCATTTAAATCTATAATGTTCAATTCCTTTAATTTCACTGAAAAGTATAATTTCACAGATTAAATTAATTAAATTCTTTCTCATTAATATGTTGGTAGTCGTTATTAATTTCTTCATCAATTTTATGACGTACATTATTATATTTACTCAATAGATCAAATAATTCAGGAAAAACTGTCTTATGTACATCGGATGCCCAAAGGAAATCTACAATTAAAATAATTTTTTTTTAAAAAAAAAGAAAATAAATTTCAATTATTTATATATTAAATATTTCCAAATTACTTACCTAAATGTTCATAGGGTTGAACTTCCTTTGTAAATACGGGTTTGGGTAATTGTTTCAAAAGAACTTTAATATCCACTAAACTATCACTTCCACCATAAAATACTCCAATAGGTGTTTTAATTTGTCTAGTAGGAAATTCATGACAATAATATCCCATTGCTGTAGAAGATGAATATGGTGGTAATTCATCATACATTTGAAATTTCTTTGCTCTAATAATTTGAAACCAGTGCTAAAAAAAAAAAAAAAAAAAAAAAAAAAAATTTAATTTAAAATTAAAATTTTATATTAATAATTTAATTATTTTACTTACTACTAAACTTTTTACACTCGTAAAACTATATAAATGGGAATATGATACAGATTTTTGATCCTTGGTCATATTTTTTCCTTCCCAACCAAATAATAATTTCATACATCTATCAAGAAGTTCAGTGTAAATTGGTGGAGATAAAACTTTTTGCCAAAACATCGTCATTGTTAAAAATGCTTTGCGTCCAAAGAAGAGATACACAATGTTAGGTGAAGCTTTAATAAAAGCATCAACAATAGGATTTTGCAACCCTAAATAATAAAAAAAAAAAACTTTTCTAGTAATAAGGTAATGTATAAATATTTCAAGAAATTGATTTTAAATTTACTTTACCTACTGGACTAGTGGCAGGGGCCAATGCAATAAAGAGATTAACCTTATTGTTTAATGATGGGTTTATTGAAAGAGCCGCAAAAGATTGTGCAGTTCCTTGTGAAAATCCAATATATGTAAGTGATGGTACACCAGTTGTCTCAAGAATATACTAGGAACGATCATAATAGTAATAATAATTAATAATCTAAATATAATAAAGAAAACTAGTTTAAAATATTTACATCAATTGTATCTGGTAAATCAAAAAGAGCAAATTCATCCATAGAATATTCCCAGAATTGACCTTCATTTGGTTTATATCTTGTGTGTTTCATGGAATACTTATTACCACGAGCATTTCCGAACCAAACATCATAACTTAATAAAAAAAAAAAATATTTTTAGTCAAATAAAATTCATTACTGAAAGGTTTTAAAAATTTAAAAAAAAAGATACATACCCCGCATCAGCCAACAAGAAAGGCAATTGCCTTTCCTCTTCCATGTTACACATCCATATCTCACTACACATCATAAGTCCATGATATAATAATACCACTGGTTTTTTCTCTTTTGTTTCTTTTGTTGATGAACGTGGATATTTCGTTCGAATAGCCGAAAGTGGAATACCACAATTATTGAATACAGATTTTATATGTGATTCCGCTGATTTATCATCATCATCATCAGAAAATTTTCCGGTTGGTATACGATGAATTCCGAGGAGATAATCATCTCTAGTCTTTACGATATGTTCTTCCATACTATATCCCCTATTGGTTTTATTAAAAATATTGATTTTATTAACTAAAAGAGTATCGATCGATTTATTAAATAATTAAGATAAATACCAGTACTCAACCATTTCACGAAAGGTAGTTGAAAATTGAATGATTTTAGCAGGATCCGTTCGAGTATCTTCATGATTCATCGAGTATAACCTAATTAAAAAAAGGAAAATTTCATTTTCTGTTCAGTAATAATTATATAAGTTAAAAAAAAGAAAAAATCACATTTACTTTTGACTTAGACTCCTAAGATATTCTAAAACGAAATTAGGAAAACAATATGTAACTAAACGAACTGAACGTTCAAGGAACAGGAAAAATAATCCAAATACCAAAGCCTGGTAATCTCTAGAATTGAGTCGACTTATGATGGGAACTTTCATTCTTTTATATTTGTTAAAAACTATTTTTATCTAATTATAGAAATACGAAAAAAAAAAACTCAGATAAATTTGATGAAATTGAAAAAAAAAAAAAACTGGAGTTTATTATAACAAACATCAACTAGATTTGAACTTGCTATAATTGGGACGGTGCATTATTTAAACACAACGTGCAAATGATACATTTTTGTCGATGAATGACATAATTAAAGATCTTGTATACAATAAGAATAATAAGAATTAAAGGATATCTATGAGTAAAAACAATGTTCTCGGGTATTTTTAAGCAAGTATTAAGGTAATAAATAAACAATTATAAATTACAACTTAAATTACATCACACCAAGATCACTTTTTAATTAAATAAAACAAATAAATGTTTTTATCTCTTAAAAATTTTAGATATAAAAAGTAGACATCCCACAACTTAAATTATTTTCCGCTCTCATGCCTAAAAAAAAAATTTCATAATGTGCACAAGAATTATTAACGTTGTGATTGTAAAAAATTGTTAATAATCATAGACGACAAGTTTACAAGTTTATTATTATTATACGTTGATCTTACTCGTTAATTTGTATAAAATATCTTTAAAGAGCTTAGTCATAATTAATCTCTTCGAATTTTATTAATTACGAATGTTACAAGTGGCGTATGATGATCCTGATATCAGCCGTTATTAGGTAAGCAATATGATTGGTAGATTTGTAGATTAAGTTTTTTATGCATAACATTATTTGTTTAAAAGGTAAAAATTTTCCCATCAAAAAATAAAACCAGTAAAAAAAAATATGAGGATGAACATACTTTTTAAACATACTCGCATACATGAACACTAACAAAAAACTTGGAATCCTCCCTAACGAAACCGACAAAATTAAGCATTCCATTGCTGGAGCCGTCGCAGGTTGTGTCAGTTCTATTGTAACGTGTCCTTTAGACGTAGTAAAAACTAGGTTACAAAATCAAGGCAAATTTGATCAAAGTGTACCCTTATATAGTGGTACAGGAGGTATAACTTTTAAGTTATTTTTTTTTACTTTATTATAAAAATAATTTAATTTATCAATTTTTATTTAGGAACTTTAAAGCGTATATGGGTAGAAGAAGGAATTCGTGGGTTATATCGTGGACTTGGACCTACATTATATGGATATCTCCCAACTTGGGCTATTTATTTCAGCGCATATGATTATTTCAAAGCAGCATTTGGAGCTCATGCAGGTAATATTCGCAAGATATTATTTTAAGTATTTAAATACTTTAATTTAGGAAATTTATTAAGAGAGAATATAATAAGTTAAAAATGTATATAATTCAACAAATAAATCGCGTCAATTATTTAATAAAGTGATTTAATATGATGGAATTAAATTGTTGAAAGCAAATTAGAGGTGGAAATTATAATTAGATGTACTGAATTATATAATGTACGCGATTTTTCATTTTATAATATAAATTTTATTATTATTATTTTTATTGGGAAATTCTCATTTTTTTTTCTAAGCAAGAACTTATAAGACAACATTATTATCCCGATCTTTGAAACCAATTTGTGATAGGACGAACCGGAAATCACCAATGGGTTGTGCATATATTCGCGGCCATGGGCGCAGGTGCCACGAGTACTATAGTCACTAATCCATTATGGGTGATAAAAACACGGTTCATGGTATTTGTTAATAATTAAGATAATGAAATAGTACCACACACACAATTCCTTTTTTCCGAGTTTGATTTCCGATTTTATTTTCTGTTAATTTTTCAAAAAAAAAAAAAAAAAATTGTTCATAATCTGATCGATTATTTGTAAATTAATCTTTGAAATAATTATATATAGACGCAAAATGAAAGAACATCATACATGTACAAGAATACATTAGACGCTTTTAAAACAATATATTCAACTGAAGGATTTAGGGGATTTTATAAAGGTCTTGGTCCTTCATTAATGGGTGTAAGTCACGTTGCTGTACAATTTCCTTTATATGAAAAATTGAAGGTTCGGCTAAGTAAGTTTAATTTATTGAATCATCATCATCTAATAATTTAATATCTATTGACATTGATGAGAATGAATATTCTTTTTTTAGAACAACCTGATCAAGATCATTTATCCAATCTTTCGATTTTATTCGCATCATCAGTTTCAAAAATGGCTGCATCAGTAGCAACATATCCACATGAAGTAGTTCGTACACGTTTACAAAATCAAACGCGTAAACCATTCAAATATGATGGAGTATTCCATGCTATAAACGTAATAAGGCATGAAGAAGGTTGGCTAGCTTTTTATAATGGAATGTCAACAAATTTATTGAGAACTGTACCCGCAAGTGCTTTAACAATTTTAACTTATGAGATATTAGTTAGAAGGTTAAATGCTAAAGGTAGTTGAAGGAAGGATTTATTGTCATTTTACTTTGTTATATATATATATATTTTTTTTATTATTATTTTTATTTATTTCTTGAAAATGGTTGAAATAAAAAAAAAAAAAAGGTAAATTATTGGAGGGGTATGGACATTTTGGTGGGTGTTATCTGTGTGTATAGGAAATGGCGGAAAAATAAAAAAATTTTTTTTTTTTTTTTTTTGCATATCGGACGATTAAATTAATAAAATCTATTTTATTGGTTATCATGATATTAAATCGGTAACAAAATAAAAAAAAATATTTTTTTTATTTAAAAAAAAAAAAATTAAAAAATTATAATAATTGATGGAATAATTATAAATAAGTTCTTTTTCTACCATACATTAATATTTAGCTCTAACATGTTCATTATTTATTAACAAAAAAGGGAACACTCATACATACATATAATTTAGCTTTAAACCGTGAAAAAATTTTATAAATAGTAATATTTTTAATTAAAAATATCAATCTAATTCACTTTGAGAATTAATTCTAGAATTAGATCCACCGGATGATGATCCAGCACTTTGTGGAGTAAATAAAGAATTCATTAGATCTTGGATCAAATTGAATTGTTGTGGTCGTTGTGTTCTTAAATTGAAGAATATTTCTCCAATTTTATTTAACAACTAAATTTAAGATATATATTAGAGAGTTTGTCTTTTTTTAAAAAAAACACAATATAAATTTGAAAGATACTTACTTCATCGAAAGAAGGTTCAATTGATAAATCATTTTTATACTTGTTTCTTAGGTTGATAAAGAGATCTGCGGCATCTCTTTGAACAGTTAATATCAATAATTGCAAAAAGTTTAATAAAGATAAACTGTAAATTGCCACTTCAATTTTATCCCCAGTTAATGTTGGCTGATATTGTGCAGTCCCTGATTTTATACTAGAATCAATTTCCGCGATAAAAGTATCGAATGAAGTTTTTGCTTCACGAATGCTTCTAAGACACAAATATCTATAATAAATAATTTAAATTAATTTCAGTTTAATTATTTCAACTTTGTAAAATGCATTTCTCCATAATAACATACTGTAACACTGCACGGGCTATATAGGCCCCTCTCTTGGATGGATGATCTTTTCCTGACCATTCGGCCAACATTTTCCCATACGATTTACTACTTTCTGCATTACCAGCAAGGAAATGTGGTTCAGCTTCATGATACATTTTATCTATTGGAAATGAAAAACTTTTAATATTATTTACATATTGGGAAATAGATCAAATAAAAATAAATGATACCTTTCCAAAATAATTCACCAACAAAATGATGCAATTCAGGATCTCCGGCAGGATTTTCACCAAATTTTACTGTCCAACTGAATTATATTTAGATGTTAGCAAAAAAAAGCATATTTATAAAGGGATAATTCGTGTTTACCTGATTGCCACGTCAATAAATCTTTTTCGACCAGGTTCATTGTGCGGGAAAAGTTCCAGTAACTGTATTATCCGAGCTTTATAAAATAAAATAAAAAGTCTAAATATAATAAATAAAATACGCGGTAAAACGATTCAATCCGAGAAAACTGGAATTCATTGAAAAAATAAATATATTAAGACTTAAATACCTCTCGATTCTTCCGTAACAGACATTTGTTCTTCATTGTACGCGTCAATCAAGTACAACGATAAATCAATACCACTACCAGTTTGTTTATGCTTAAGCAAGGTTTCTGCACCGGAATATAAAAGATCAATGGCACTCATATACTTCCTTTGTTTGATGTACCTTAATTTTAGAGCAATAAAGAAATAAAAATGAACAAAAAGTAGTAAAACGATTATATTCTTTATTTATTATGATCAAAAACTTACCGTCTACAGACAGTACGATACATTTGGTGGGCTTCATAATAATTTCCTTCCTCAACGGAAACTTTAAGTTTGTCGAGAACTTTATCTGTACCTTTCGCGCTTGACATTTTTTCGAATTTCGATATTTTGTATGTATGTTAAAGTATTTTCTACACCTATGGTCTTTTTTTAACACATTTTCAATTGTCACAAATCACTTGATTGCATGTGAAATGACAATATCAACTATTAACGCAGATCACTACTCATACGTTACTTTTATTTACCGCTATTAATGATGGTCACGTGCAAATAATCAAATCTTATAAAAGATTATCCTCTAAAGAAAGCAAACTTATCCATATTATAATTATGAGTTATCCAACGCTTTATAATACAGTAAAAAATAGTCGTTTCCTTTACGGTTTTTTGAAACCAGTTGCTAATTGGTATACTAATATTTCAGGGTACAGGCAACTTGGTATGTATTATATGAGAATGAATATAATACATTTTTTTTTAAAAAAAAAAAATAAATAAAGTTTTATTCAAAGCAATAATATTATGGATTTATTTCAACACTTAACAATCATTTCAATAATTAACAATTGTAACAATTGCTTTGATTAAAGGTATGAGATATGATGATATTATAGCTGAGGAAAGTACAACTGTACAAACAGCATTGGAACGTATCCCTCAAAATGAATATGACCAAAGAATTTTACGCATTCGTAATGCATACCAGCTCAGCACACGAAACGAAATTCTTCCTAGGGATAAGTGGACTAAACCTGAAGAGGTATGTCTTAAATTTTTTTTTAATTAAGATAAAGATTATATTCATGAATTAAAAAAATTAAGATGTTATAGTTATTGTAATTTTTTTGAATTCACAAAATCATTTTAAGTGAAAAGTTAGAATTATAATAACGTAAATCTAATATATTTTTTTTTTTATCTTAATAGGATATAAGATATCTCTTCCCATATGTTGAACGAGTAGCTTTTGAAGAAGCTGAACGGGAAGCTTTTGAAGCAGCTAAAATTATACGCAAATAAAAAAAAGAAACTTCTCCGGATCATTATAAATTATTACATACATTATAAGGGTAAATACTTAATATACCTTTGTTTAAATCTTGTTTATTTAATAATAGAATTTTTTATTTATCGATTTTTTTTTTTTTTTGTGTGAATGTGAATGCTTTAATGCAAGATCGCAAAAAAAAATCTTGAGTCTTTTTAATATATAATAAAACATTAGTACCTTTTATCATTTGTAAGAAAAATAATCCACTTTTTTTTTGATTCGTTCATTTAAAATTTATTATATTATTATTAAATTTATTGAATTATAAGTAGGAAGAACTTTTTGTGATTAATATATATTATCTCTGAATTCCACTCATTCTAATAATTTTAAATTTCTAAAATTTCTGCTAAATAGATTCCTGGCAATTCTCTAATAAATTTGCACATATAGCAAATCTTTTTAAATGGATATGATCTTTGTTCTTCATTAATTCATTTTTACAAAATTATTATACTTTATTATAATACTAAATTGCACTTTGATTGAATCCCAGTTATTGTTAGTTGATATGGTATAGTCAATGATTTTATTCTAGATCTTTTCTGGGATAACTGAGACGTAAATATCTTAAAATTACAATTTAAATATTTTTCAAATACATCCCTTTAATAACATACTGAAAAAACTGTACGTGCTAAATAAGCTCACATCTTGGAAGATATATAATTTACCATTTTCTGCATTACCAGCAAGAAAATGTGGTTCAGTTATGTTGTCTAACAAAAAAATAAAAAGTTTTAATACATCACATATTGAAAATTTTCAATGGATCAAATAAGAGTTTATTTAAATTAATATATCTTTCCAAAATAATTCACCAACAAATGATGCAATTCTCGACTTCAACTGATTCACAAGACTATAAGACCAGAATTACATTTTTGTCAAATATATATATTGAAGGATAATTCATATCTGATGCATCAAGGAATCTTTAGTTGGCTGGGGAATTTAAGCTTTAATAAACAGAAAATTTAATTCGAAAAAATCAGAATTTGTTCAAAAATAAATATATTTAAGCTCACGAAACACATTCCTTCTTCATATACACATTAATGATGGTTCTGCACCATTATATGCTTTAAATAAGGTTTCTAACCGAAATTACAAGATCAATGGCACTCTTATACTTCTTTTTACTTAATGTACCTTGATTTTGGAAGAAATAAAGACATAAGAACAACGAGTAGTAATAAAGCGATTTATGCTCCTATGTTTATTTACGCGTCAAAACTTACCGTACGGTACTCATAATAGTTTTCTTCCTTCAATGAAAGCTTTTTTAAGTTGTCATGAACTTTCTTCCGCATTCCACATTTACAATTTAACGTATTGTCAATTATCACTATTATTACGATTATCATTTCCTCGTGATTTAAAGGCTTGTATGTAACACGGACCGTTATTAAACTTCCCCTTATTCATTTTTTATTTTTAACGGAACGTTTTCTTTCAATGGAGAATCTAGACTATTATAATGCAGCAATTAATGAACGACCAAATATTTACAAAAGAGTAATACACGTGTTGACATTCAACACTCGTCGTCTATTGAAACGACGCTTTTTTATAGCTCTAGTGTTTTTTTTAATCATATTTCAATTTTTGACAATGTTTCAAACATATAGCGTGATTATAACAAATATAAAATATAAAACAAGGAATTATTTATATAATCATGGATGGTTACCTTGTTCATTAAGAAAAGAACCAATTTTATATATGATCGATACACAGAAATTAATGGCAGTATGGGAAACTAATTGTATATTAGATAATGTTAGGATTCAATGGTATGAAAAATCAATTGATAATGAAATCAACAGATCAGATATTTTAGAGCCAATAGAGATAGATAATTCACATTATGTATATAAAGGAATAATAGGACCTATTACATCAAATGGATATTATGAATTTGAGATTATACATTCTTTATATACAAAAATTATTTCATCATATTTTCAATTCTTTCCTTCAATTCCTGATGATCCTAATTCAACGTATCCAATTCAAATTATTGCATTTGCAGATAATCAATTCGGATTAAGTGTTTTTAATCGACTTGTTCAATCAGCATCACAAAAAACTTCACCGAATTTTATAATACATGCGGGTGATGGTGTACAAGAATATAATAATTTACAACAATGGCAGACAGATTTTTATGATCCTTTGGCAAATTATAAATTAACAAAACATGCACCAATAATTTACGCTCATGGTAATCATGATTTTGATCCAAAAAATTTATACAATTATACGACAGATACATCTTGGTATTCACTTACGATTGCCAATACGCGTTGGATTGTGTTAGATAGTAATATAGATGATATTAACCAAGATTTATGGTTATCTAATGAACTTTCCTCACCTGAAACACAAAATAAAGATTTTAAAATAGTAATAGTACATATTCCACCTTTTATGGAATTTTGGGATCCTATCGCTTGGAATGAAAAAAAAGAAAAGCATTGGGGTGAATTCGTTCGAACAAGATTTGCACCATTATTTAATAAATATGGGGTAGATTTAGTAATTAGTGGACATCAACACAATTATCAACGTGGACAATCTAATGGTACAGTTTACACCATTATTGGTGGAGCAGGAGGTGAATTAGATTTTGATAGAGTAGAAGATTGGTCTATTTATAATGTTGTAAGAAAAACTCATCATTATATTTCAATAGAAATTTGGTCGGATAAAATAATTTGGAAAGCATATAATCTTGAAGGATTCATAATAGATAGTTTTGAATTAAGAAAAGGATCATAGAATCATTACAAATATTCATTTTTTTATGGGAGGGATTTTAATAACCTTTTGTGAAAAGTTTTCCCACCTGAAAATTATTAAATTATTATAACAAGCCTGCATAAAAAAAGCACTACATATACGTAATTTACACAATTTACATGACTCTTTAATTATTATTTTATAAATAAATTATTTCAATGAATTATTAATAAAATAAGTTTGGTTATGATCACGCGTGGATAATTCAAATCTTGTAAAACAAGCTGACTTATCCGACGCTTTACGATACAGTTAAAATAGTCGTTTCTTTTACAAGCTTTGTATATAAATATTGCATGGGTATAGACAACATGGTATGTTATCATATTGAATATATTTTTTAAAAAAAAAATTAAATTTCATTCAACGATTAACAATTATTTAATTATTTTAAAGGTATATGATGATATAATATTTGAGGAAAGTACATCTGTAAAAGTAAACTGGGGCGTGTCACTCAAAATGAATATAACTAAAGATTTACGGATCCATCACAATCGCGTAGTTTCGGAAGGCCAAACCTTCCAAAAGTTACTCCTTCATCCCTGTCGAGAAAAATCGGAAAACGGGGTGTTACGAAACACTATCAGCTTAGCACACGACACGAAATCCTTTGGACTAAACCTGAAGATGTGTGTATATTTTATTTTGCGAGATAATTCCATCTTGTTCTTTCATTAAAAAAAAAAAAAATTGTCACTTTATATTTTTTGTGAATTCAAAAGAAAAATTCTATTAACTAAAACAGAATTAATTTTTTTTTAATTTGTCAATATGACGTCTAATAACAATTAAAAATTAAATTCATGAATCAAATCAAAATCTAAAATTGAAAATATGAAGGGGATAAAATAATATAAAATAATATAAAATAATATAATAAATAATAAATGAAGTGGATCTTAATAATGAATACTAACTGTAGGCACCCTCTCGCATATTTTTCACTGTCATGTGTTTATGTGGTCTGGAGAAANAAAAAAAAAAAAAATTGTCACTTTATATTTTTTGTGAATTCAAAAGAAAAATTCTATTAACTAAAACAGAATTAATTTTTTTTTAATTTGTCAATATGACGTCTAATAACGACAAAAAAATAATTTTGTAAATGTACTGTAACCAAAAAAAAAAAAATATTGACAAAATAAAATAATATAAAATAATATAAAATAATATAATAAATAATAAATGAAGTGGATCTTAATAATGAATACTAACTGTAGGCACCCTCTCGCATATTTTTCACTGTCATGTGTTTATGTGGTCTGGAGAAAATAGACTGCCATCTCTCTGTATTATATCAGATCATCAGTAAAGTCCGTGTACAATAAATAGCAATATTATTATCCGGACTGTCCATCATTTTCATGAGCTTTATATATTATTATTGCTTTCGCTTCTCTCTAATATTACAGCCGTTTTCAAAATGGTTAATGCTATTTATTTATGATTAAATATTCGAATACCAATATTTGTCCGGTTTTCGTCCATTATTTGTCCGGTTTTCATCCGGTTTTCGGTTTTTATTTTTTTTCATCCAAACATAACAGCATCAACCATTTTGAATAAATCGGTATAAAAAATTAATTTTACAGTGCAATATATATATATATTATACATTAGTATCTTAATAAATAAACATTTAATGAATTTTTAATTAATAAGTAGTATTATTTTATTTGCCGAACTCGTTTCATTTCTTTTTCTACCCAAGAAAATTTCCGAAATTATTTCGGCAATCCGAAAGTAAATCTAACCGAATATACAAGTAGAAATAAAATCTAAGTAAGGGCTACTTTACAAATACAAAATATTACTCTAATATGTCTTACGCATCAACTTTTTTTTTATTATTTCATATTAGAATTTTTAATTGTTTATTGGAGGGTAGGAAATTTTTTTGTTAATTTAATGGGAATATGGGATACATGTATAAATCATTTAGTTAATAAAATTAATAAAAAAAAAAAAATTGGATTTTATTTCATTAGACTTTTTTTCTATTCAGATTTTCTTATTTTTTTTTTTTATTCAGATTTTCTCATTCAGATTTTCTCATTTTTCTTTTCTTTCCAACTCATTACTGACCCGGTGGCTCGTGCGTATTATTTTAAAATTTTAAATCAATAAATATTTGACGTTAAATAATTTTCGGGGGTAAAATCATCGGAAATTTTCTTAGGAAAATATGATTATTGATTATTTGTTTTTTTCAAAATTTTTTTTTCAATCATTTCCCAACATGTTTATCGTTTCCTAAAAAGTAAATTTGTTTTTTTTTGTCGATTTTTTTTTTTTGTTTATATTTATTTATTTATTTTACAAAAAATCAACTTGATGTTTCATCATGAACGTTATTAAAAATTTTTGTTATAAAAATGGTCCAAAATTTCTTCTTCGAAAAAGTAAAAAATCAGTTTGATTTGTTTAAAACTTTTCAATCATAATATAAATTCATAAAATTCAATTATGGATCAAAATAATTTACAAAATAATCAAAATGATCCCACGTTTAATTTACAATCTACTGCGGAACAACATAATAATAATTATGTGATTGCCGACTCTTCCACAAACAATTACTCACATCAACAACCCACTTATAATGAAAATATCACTTCAACTTTGCCTCCAGGTAGCTTGCCGTGTGTTCCTGGTCCACAACAGACTATTGAAAATACTACTTTTCCGCTTAATTCGTTTAACATGAATAGTATTATTCAAGCTGGAATTCTCAGTATTGACATCCCAAGGTATAAAATTATCGTCACACCTATTCCACTTAATCCGTTTCACAATCAATCTGGGATTCGTAGTTTTGATATCCCATGGTATAAAATTATCGTCACACCTATTCCACTTAATCTGTTCCCCCATCAATCAGGGGTTCTTAGTTTTGATATCCCAGGGCATAAAATTATCGTCACACCTTTTCCACTTAATCCGTTTCAACCTGGAATGTTTTACTTTGATACCCCTGGGTATAAAGTTATCTTCATGCCAACTCCTTCTCAACAGGAAGATACTTATTTGAATAACACCCAATTTACTCAATTTCAACAATAAAATTTTCTGAAATTATAATTACATAGCATATAACTTAGCTACACGTAATTTTTGTTTCTTAAATCTCTTTATTTCTTTTATGTATTTCTTTTATTTTTATTAATTTTATTTGTACTTTTATTTTTATTTCTTTATATCGTATATTAGTTTTTATATCGTACTATAATAAATAAAATTTTTTTTTTTTATCCAATAAATCTATCTTTTAAATGAATAATACTTCGGTTCATATATAAACGAAACTTTAGGACGAACCATTTATTGGGATATTATTATACACGACATTGGCGACAATACAGTAACCCTATAAAAAATGTTTGTCCGATAAATATTCGGAAGGGGTCAATTTTCCGGACACACGCTATTATACAATATTTGTTACAATTTAATACAAGATGCGGAGATTGAGAATTTTTAACACATAAAAAACGTATAATATCATGATGAATGTCCAATAAATGTCAAGTAAATGTTCGGAACGGGGTCGATTTTCCGAACAAAAAACCGAACAGTGTTTAGACATTATTTTTTATAGGGTAACTTATTTTAACATTTTATTTATTTATTTATTTTTTTTCGACATATTCTAATTATGAATTAATGAATTGTTAAATCAACATTGTTACGGGATCATACGATAAAAATAGTGAATGATCATGAAAAAACATTTCGGATTGTTAATATTTTTTTTGAATAGCCTAAGACATAAGTAATCCTCAAATCTTTCTTTATCAACCAAAAATTCTTTCAATCTTTATTAATTAACTTGATTTTTCTTCCCATAGAAAAATTGTCTTAATTAAATGAAAATTTTAATACAAAATTATCAAATGTCTAAGAAGTAGTGGCCGAATCCATTATAATGTTTAATGAATAAGTAAGGTAGTCTCAGGCCAAAATTCATAATTACGGTATACGTTTGAAATCCATGGAGATGTAGTATAGAAAAAAACTATCTTTATGCTTTATTGTATATAATAAACATGCTGATTAATTAATACATTGTTGTCACTAATTCCCAGGTATAAGTTAAAGAATAATCGCAAACTCACTCCATGATCATTATCACTATTGTTCGTTCAAGATATTTAAAAATAATTCATTGGACGCGACAAGATTTGTAATAAGACTCCATTAATCTTATTAAGCTGCAAGAAAGCGTCAATTAACGGATATTACTCTTAAAAGGAATAACATTCCATTTCTCTCGTTTTTTACGTTTATTAGCTTTTTAGGAAATCGCTCATTGCGATAAACAAACGCTTCTTTGGCAAGTCTTTTATATTTTTTAATTTCTTCAGGTTCTTGTTCCCACCATTGTGAAACCATCGAAGAAATGGGGGTCATTGGTAAAACATATCCTTCATTTTTAATAGTTATAAAGAAAACTTTATGATAAATAATGAATGCATTTGGAGATTTGGTAGGTTATCTTTACCGATAATTAATAAATCTTTTGGAGTAGAAATTGTGGTTTTATTAAAGGATAAGGAAGTTTTTTCTTTTGAACGTGATTTTTACTACTGGATTATTCGTATTAATGAACACGCATTTTAATCGAATTGTCGATCGTTTCGCTCTTTTTTTTTAAAAAAAAAATTTAAAACTGAATTATTTTTTTCCTAAATTGATTTACGTATATTTTCCAAAGAAAAGGTTACAAATTCCTCTAAATAATTATTAAAGATCATTATATGAAAGTAAATTCCTTGGAGTTACGGTTCATAAGGTTTAAAAATAGAAATTTTCCCAATTTATATTTATGATCGATAAATAATAATATAAATTCTTCATGACTTTACAAAATAGTCAAAATGCAATCTACTGTTATACAATCTTCAATATTAGTGATGTAAATGTTAACTCTTTCGATAATAATTTCTCAATATTTTATACAAACACCAATTACTCAGATCAACAATCCACTCCTAACGAAAATATCGTATCCTCCGCCCAATTTACATAAAATTTTTTCAAATTTTTATTCTTTTCTTTTATATTTTTTATTCATTTGTATTGTTTATATTGTATTTCTCTATATTGTATCGGTTATTTTCGCCGTAATACAGATCACATGATATTAGACACAGCATTTCAAATTTATCACGTGATTTAAATGATGATATAGTAAAATAATTTATCCTTCAAACGAAGTAAATCCACCTTTAGTAAAATTATGCGATAAACGAAATAATTTCAATTTTGGGACGAATCATTTATTGAAATTATACATATGGTATAAAAAGGATTTTTTTTTTTTATTTTCCTGGTTTATATCTCTTTTTCAGAATTTTATTTGTGAATATGACGTCTAATGACAATTAAAAATTAAATTCATGAATCAAATCAAAATCTAAAATTGAAATATGAGGGGGGGGAGAAATAATTTCTTTTTTAATATCTATAAGAAACCAAAATTTTTGATTTTGTTAAACAGAAAATCGGCCTTATTGTATAGTATTGATGACAGGCTCAGATTGAGCCACGTAATATGCAATAAATACAATAAAGCTATTAAAATAATAAAACATTAATAACCAAATAAAAATTAAAACCACGTTTTTCATTTTTACATATATATATATTTATTTATTTTACTAATAATTAATATTAACATTTTGTAGATGTACTGCGGTTTAGCAAAAATAAAAAACCATAAAATAAAATAAAATAACATAATATAATATAATAAATAATAATGAAGAATCAAAATTGGATCTTAATAATGAATACTAACTGTAGGCTCCCTCTCGCATATTTTTCACAGTCATGTGTTTATGTGGTCTGGAGAAAATAGACTGTATTAGTACTACTGTATTATATCAGATCATAAAGTCCGTACAATAAAATAGCAATATTATTATCCGGACTAGAATGTCCATCATTTTCATTAATTTCATAAGATTTATATATTATTATTGCTTCGCTTCTCTCTAATATTAAATTTAGTATAAATCGGTACAAATAATTAATTTACAGTTTAATATATAAATATATATTATACATTAGTATCTTAATAAATAAATATTTAATGAATTTTTAATTAATAAGTGGCATATTTTATTTGAACTCGTGTTTTTTGTTTCATTCATTTTTTTTCTACCCAAGAAAATTTCCGACGTTATTTAAAGTAAATAATTTTTGTTATGCAGTTTATAAATAAATAGCAATTTTTTTAAAGTTGTGTGACAATTTTTTTTTTCTTTCCACCTTCTGAATGCTTAAAATTCATTTCATTGTTGTATGTCGGAATCATCCCTCCAAACACTATTTCCTAATTTGGAGTTATGGCGTGAACTATAATAACCTAGATGGGTAAGAAAAAGTACGATTAGAAATAAAATAAAATTATAAAGTATTACTTTTTTGTATTTATAGAGGATGATCATTGGTGGCTATTAAAATATCATCCCGAACTGCAGTTCAAACACAATTTTTCAATGTGTTTATCGTTTCCTAAAAAGTAAATTAAATTTTTTTGTTTATTTTTATGTTTCATCATGAACATCATTAAAAAATTTTTGTTATAAAATGGTCCAAAATTTCTTCTTCGAAAAAGTAAAAAATCAGTTTGATTTGGATTTGTTTAAAACTTTTCAATTATAATATAAATTCATAAAATTCAATTATGAACCAAAATAATTTACAAAATAATCAAAATGATCCCACATTTAATTTACGTATGCAATCTACTGCGGAAAATGCGGCTTCAAATATTAATAATTATAATGTGGTTGCCGACTCTTCCGATAATATTTCCTCAACATTTTATACAAACCATTATTCAGATCAACAATCCATTTATAATGATAATATCCCTTCAACTTTGCCTCCAGTTAGCTCACCATGTGTTCCTGGTCCACAACAACAGACTATTGAAAATACTACTTTTCCATTTAATTCGTTTAACATGAATAGTGTTAATCCTTCTCAATCTGAAATTCATAGTTTTGATATCCCAGAGTATAAAATTATCGTCATACCTTTTCCACTTAATTCGTTTAACATGAATAGTAATAACCCTTCTCAATCTGGAATTCTTAGTTTTGATATTCCTGGGTATAAAATTATCATTATACCTACTTTTTCTCAACAGGATAATACTTGTTTGAATTATTCTTCTTCAGATATCTCAAATACCCAATTTACTCAATTTCAACAATAAAAACTTTAGTACACGTAATTTTATTCCTTGAATTCTTCTATTTTTTTTTATTCTCATATTTTTTTATTTTTATTATATTATATTTCTTTATATTGTATAACTGTTATTTTATTTATATAAATAAAATATTCTTTATCCTTTTATCCTTTTAAACGAAATAAATTCACTTTAATTAAAATTATGTGAATAATAATTTATAAACGAATTTCAATTTACATGGCACGCTTGATAAAACATTTCTTCCGGTCAAATAAAGTGAGCAGAGTATTTAAACGTGCGTAACGGTGCGTTCTTATAAACGACCATTTATGATTAAAAAACCCCGCATTGTCGGCTTATCACAAAGTAGTTAATAATTCAAGTATTATTACAAATTACGTCAAAAAAATACATTCTCTTTAGAAATGATCTTAAATTCCCTTGATTGATATTCATATAAATTCTATGCTGATAATGAACTAGGTCATTATAACAGAAAAAACACGTCAACATTGTTTATATTAATGAAAAAAAAAATTGATATTCACTTGTTTATATTATTAAAAAATACTGTACGTTCTAAAATTTCTTCCTTCACAAAATAATAAAAAACAGATCAATTTGTTTAAAGCTTTTCATTATAAATTATAAATTCAAAATACATTCCAAAATAATCAAAATGTTCCCACTTTTACTGAATGCAGTAATTTGCAATCTACTATTATTCAACCGAGACATTCTTCAAATTAATTACAATGATGTGAGTGCAAACTCTTCCGATAATAATTTCCCAACATTTTATATAGACACCAATTACTCAGACCAACAACCCATTTATAATGGTACTTTGCCGTGTGTTCCTAGTCCACAACAGACTATTGAAGCATTCCTTCTCCACTTGTTCATTTAACATGACTAGTATTAATTCTTATCAATCTGAAATCCTTAGTTTTGATACTCCCGGCTTTAAAATTATCGTCATTCCTACTTTTTCTCAACAGGATAACACTTATTTAAATTATTCTTCTTCAAATACCACGAACACCCAATTTACTCAATTTCAACAATAAAATTTCTGAAATTATAATTACATAGCATATAACTTAGCTATACATAATTCTTATTTCTTAAATCTCTTTTATTTCTTTTATGTATTTCTTTTATTTTTATTTTAAATTTTATTTGTATTTTTTTTTCTTTTATATTGTATTTCTTTATATTGTATCGTTTTTTATGTCATATTATAAATAAAATATTATTTTTTATCCAACAAAATCTATCTTTTAAATGAATAATGACTTCGGTTCATATATAAACGAAATTTTAGGACGAACCATTTATTGGAATATTATACACGACAATACAGTAACTTATTTTAAAATTACATTTTTTTTTTTGATGTATTCTAATTATGAATTAATGAATTATTAAATCATTATGAATGGTAGGAATCAACATTGTTACGATACAAAAATAGTGAATGATCGTGAAAAAACATTTCGGATTGTTAATATTTTTTTTTCAATTCGTCCTAGCAAATAATCCTACATAAATCCAAAAAATATTATTCTATTCGCAAATTGTTCTCTGATTATTGTTAGTCCTTCTCCAAGTATATAACAAGCAAAGATGAATAGTCTAAGACATAAGTAATCCTCAAATCTTTCTTTATCAACCAAAATTCTTTCAATTTAAATCCTTATATTTTTTTTTTTTTCTAACTTGATTTTTCTCCCATAAAAAAAATTGCCTTAATTAAATGAAAATTTCAATACAAAATTATCAAATGTCTAAGAGAATCCATTATAATGTTTAATAAATAAGTAAGGTAGTCTCAATTTCTCAAGTTTCAACAGGCCAAAATTCATAATTACGGTATACGTTTGAAATCCATGGAGATGTAGTATGGAAAAAAACTATCTTTATGCTTTATTGTATATAATAAACATGCTGATTAATTACTACATTGTTGTCACTAATTCCCAGATATAGGTTAAAGAATAATCGCAAACTCACTCCATCATTATCAAGATATTTAAAATAATTCATTGGACGCGATAAGATTTTGTAATGAGACTTCATTAATCTTATTAAGCTGCAAGAAAGCGTCAATTAACGGATTTCTTCAGTAGGAGTAGGTAATTGCAAATTTTCAATATTCATCAATATTTAATTATTAATTAAAATATTGATGTAAATGTTAACGCTTTCTATATTAATTCACAACCCCACTACGAAAATATCCGTCAGTATATGTTGGACCGCGGCAGCCTATTAAAAATATTCCTCCTCATTTATTCCTGGTTCTAAAATTATCGTCATTCCTCAATTTACTCATAAAATTTTTTTAAATTTTTATTCCTTTTTTATTTCTTTTATATTTTTATTGTTCATTTGTATTGTTTATATTATGTATCTCTATATTGTATCGTTGTTAGTATGTCATTTAAATAAAAGTTAGGTATTATTTATCCTTCCAGACGAAATAAATCCACTTTTAGTAAAATTATACGATAAATGAAATAATTTCAATTTTGGGACGAACCTTTATTTTCCTGGTTATCTTAATGAATTTCTTTTCAGAATTTAATTTGTGAATATGACGTCTAATGACAATTATAAATTAAATTCATGAATCAAATCAAAATCTAAAACTGGAATATGAGGGGGGAGAGGAAAGGAAAAAATTTTTTTAATATCTATAAATTTTTGATTTTGTTAAACAGAAAATCGGCCTTTATTGTATAGTATTGATTTAGGCCATTTGACAGACTCAGATTATACAAACTATTCATATGAGTGTATATTACATTAATAATATATTTGAAATGATTTATATGCAATAAATATAATAAAGCTATTAAAATAATAAAACATTAACCAAATAAAAATAAACTTATCTGATAAATGAAGAACCAAAATTGGAGCTTAACTGTATGCTCCTCTCGCATATTTTTCACTGTCATGTGTTTATGTGGTCTGGAAAAAATAGACTGCCATCTCTTCTGTATTATATCAGATCATAAAGTCCGTACAATAAATAGCAATGTTATTATTCGTCCATCATTTTCATAAGCTTTATATATTATTATTGCTTTCGCTTCTCTATAATATTAAATTTAGTATAAATCGGTATAAATAATTAATTTTACAGTGTAATATATATATATTATACATTAGTATCTTAATAAATAAACATTTCATTCTTTTTTTTTTTCTACCCAAGAAAATTTCCGAAATTACAATATTTCGAAATTTAATGATTACATGTATAAATAATTTAGTTCATAAAGAAAAAAAAAATATTCATTTTTTTTTATCGTTTCTTAAAAGCAAATTTACTCTTTTTTTTTAAAAAAAAATAAAATAAAAATAAAAAATTTTTTTTATCACTGATCGCTCTTGTCATACGTCTTTTTTGTGAAACGACAAATACAGATTACACGATTATTCATACGTCTTTTTTTTTGTGAAACGAAAAAATATTTATACCTTTTGCAATTATACCTTATATAGATCTCTTGCTTAATCTCTTTTTTTTCTTTAAACGTAGATATAGATTTTTTGTGAAACAAAAAAANGTAATATATATATATTATACATTAGTATCTTAATAAATAAACATTTCATTCTTTTTTTTTTCTACCCAAGAAAATTTCCGAAATTAGATTAGTTAGAAATTTAATGATTACATGTATAAATAATTTAGTTCATAAAGAAAAAAAAAATATTCATTTTTTTTTATCGTTTCTTAAAAGCAAATTTACTCTTTTTTTTTAAAAAAAAATAAAATAAAAATAAAAAATTTTTTTTATCACTGATCGCTCTTGTCATACGTCTTTTTTGTGAAACGACAAATACAGATTACACGATTATTCATACGTCTTTTTTTTTGTGAAACGAAAAAATATTTATACCTTTTGCAATTATACCTTATATAGATCTCTTGCTTAATCTCTTTTTTTTCTTTAAACGTAGATATAGATTTTTTGTGAAACAAAAAAACAAACTTATTTTTGACAAAAAAAACATATTTGAAACAAAAATAGGTTTATTATTATTTCGCCATAAAAAACAGATCTTGTAAAAGAATTTGATATTTGTGAAAGCGGGGCGGAGGACTTTACGTTCTACGCGTCTGTCCCACACGTGACTTATATACACGTGACCATATATAACAATGCATATACTTTATGCTCCCTAAGAGGCCATTGGCATGATGTGCGCAGTCCTGACCTTGAAGTCACTAATATACCTTAGGGGGACTTCCTGTCCAGATGGTCACTTCACGATACCGCTTGGGGTCCTTAGGGGCTGGATGGTCGTCTTCTCTATTTTAAGTTTATACTATTAGCTTAGAATTAGACTTTATTAAATTTTGGTTTAGCCTTCATAAGATGTATATAATAAATTTAGTTGTTTTTAAACTATTTCTTCATGTAATTTAAGATTCATTAATAAACGAAAAAACATAATAAATGAAAAAATATAACTTATATCTTGTGTAATTTATTTTCGTTTTTAAAATCTTAACGAGTCCGTGCTCTTTTTTAATGATGTACTTTTTAAGCCATTTTCATTTAAAAAAGACTTCAACACATTAAAAAATGTAAAAGGTTACAAGAGAGTTTGTCTGAAGAAAAGCGGTTAATTTCAATGATTAAATATTAATGAAATTTTATTTATTATTACAAATAGTCTAAAATTACATATTATTTGATTTCTTAGTAAGTATACTTATAATAATATAATAAAGTTTGATAACATAAATGACATTGTAAAAAAAATTCCCCACCCTTCATTTTTTTTTATATTTGTTTTATAAATAGATTATGATTTAACGGGAAATATTTTTTTTGAAAACAATCAACAAGAAAAAAATTTTTTATTTATATTGTAAACACTTTCATTATTATATATATTTATAATAGCGTATATAAATTTTTCATATATAAAATAATTATATTATATATGGGAAATGGGATCCCATTTTGTCGTTTCACAAAAAAAAGTTGGTCATAATTTTGTCGTTTTCACAAAAAAAAGTTGTCATATAATTTTGTCGTTTTCACAAAAAAAAGTTGTCATATAATTTTGTCGTTTCACAAAAAAAAAAGACGTCAAATAGTCCGATTCTCCCATTTTGTGTTTTACAAAGACGTATAATCTTATTTGCTTTACAAAAACACCGAGAAGTAATACAATTTTATCGTTTCACAAAAACACTGAATAATTTTATCGTTTCACAAAAAATCGTAATCATAATTTTTATTATAAAAATGGTCCAAAATTTTTTTTCTTTGAAAAGTAAAAATCATTTCAATTTATCAAAACTTCCAATTATAATATAACTTCATAAACTTTTTTCAAAATTCAATTATGAGTCAAAATACTATACAAAATAATCAAAATGATCACACATTTAGTAATTTGCAATTTAACGTTATTCAACCAGCTTCAAATACTAATTATTATGATATGAATGTCAACCCTTCTGACAATATTTCCCCATCATTTTATACAAACACCAATAACTCCGATCAACAACCTATTTCTAATGAATATACTGCTTCAACTTTAACTTCACCTCCGCAGTATGTTAGTCCAGCTGTTAGTCCCCAGCATCCTATTAGTCCCCAGCAGTCTATTGAGAATATTCCTCTATTTAACATGACTAGTATTAATCCTTCTCAATCTGAAATCCTTAGTTTTGATATCCCTGGGTATAAAGTTATCTTTATACCTACTTTTTCTCAACAGGATAACACTTATTTAAATTATTCTTCTTCAAATACCACGAACACCCAATTTACTCAATTTCAGCAATAAAATTTTCTGAATTATAATTACATAAATTACATAGCATATAACTTAGCTACACGTAATTTTTGTTTCTTAAATCTCTTTTATTTCTTCTATGTATTTCTTTTATTTTCATTAACTTTATTTGTACTTTTTTTTCTTTTATATTGTATTCTTTATATCGTATAGTTACTATAATAAATAAAATAATATTTTTTTTTTTATCCAATAAATCTATCTTTTAAATGAATAATTCTTCGGTTCATATAAACGAAACTTTAGGACGAACCATTTATTGGGATATTATTATACACGACATTGGTGACAATACAGTATCTTATTTTAACATTCTATTAATCTTTATGCTTTATTGCATTATTTTGTATATAATAAACATGCTGATTAATTAATACATTGTTGTCACTAATTCCCAGGTATAGGTTAAAGAATAATCGCAAACTCACTCCATCATTATAACAATTGTTCGTTCAAGATATTTAAAGATAATTCATTGGACGCGATAAGATTTTGTAATAAGATTCCATTAATCTTATTACTGTAAACTGCAAGAAAAGCGTCAATTAACGGATATTACTCTTAAAAGAAATAACATTCCATTTCTCTCGTTTTTTACGTAAATACGTCTATTAACTTTTTAGGAAATCGCTCATTACGATAAATAAACGCGTTTACTTGGCAAGTCTTTTATAATTTTTAATTTCTTCAGGTTCTTGTTCCCATGATTGTGAAACCATCGAAGAAATATCCTTCATTTTAATAGTTATAAAGAAAACTTTATGATAAATAAAGGATGCATTTGGTCAATGATTTGGAGATTTGGTAGGCTTATTATCTTTACCAATAATTAATAAATCTTTTGGGGCGGAAACGGTGGTTTTATTAAAGGATAACAGATAAGGAAGTTATTTGTGATTTTTTACTTTTGGATTATTCGTATTAATGAACATGATCGAATTGTTTAAATAAAAATTATTATTTATCCTTTTAAATGAAATAAATCCACCCTTAGTAAAATTATGATGAATAATCCTTAAAGATATCGCCCGTAAGAACTTTGGCTCATTTATAACGAAATAATTTTAATTTTAGAGCGGATAATTTATTGAGATATTATACACATGGTATGAGAAACTTTATTTTGCTTACTTGAATTTTTTTTCCACGTAACTATACGAATGGTAGAACTTATCTTCAATATTGATGCAAAAATCATATGCAAAAATTGAGTGATGCGACATGCGAGTCTAAAATGTAGATATAACACCAACAATAAAATTCCGGCCACGTGTCCGGTGACATTTAAGGAGGAAGTGAAAAAATAATTTTAGGGAAACTGTCCGATAAATATAAACGCGATGGGTGATATCGGTGATGAATATTTTAGGTCACGTGGGGGCGGAAAATTTGTTGTTACTGGGGAAGTAGGTAGGTATCTCTTTTAATTCAATCTTCCAGTCAGGTAAAATGAACAGAGTGGGTTGTATTACTTCCTTTGTTACTTGAAAATTACTTAAATTGTATGAACCATTATATATACATATATATTTTCCTTCCTTTTTTTACATAAAAGTATTTGAAGGTATATAAAGGTTCTTATTATTTACTAGTTTTTTTACTTTAAACAAAGACCCCAGATTTATATTACTGATAAAATAAATATAAAATGATTCGGAGAATGATTGAAAATCGTGTCATCACATCAATCTCTCATCTCAAGTTATTGAAATCACTTTTATTATATATTATATATAAAAAAATGTAATATAAAGAAATTTTTTTATTTGAGAATTTTTGTTTCGTGATTGTAGTGATTGTATATAGTACTAAATGAGGGATAAAAAGAACAATAATATGAATTCAGATTTATTGTCCGTAATACCTTTTCGTTAGTTATAGTTATATTACGAAAAAACCAAAAAAAATGATCACTTTTTTTTTATAAGTATGATTATTATATTCTATTTATTACGTAAGGCGAAATGACGATGATTCCGTCAATATATATATCAGGGGCCCTCTTTAGATTTTCCTGAGTACCGTCAATTGTAACGTTGCATACTGATAAACTCATAAACCCATCAATTGTAACGTTGCATATTGATAAACTCATAAACCCATCAATTGTAACGTTGCATATTGATAAACCGTAAATGTTCATTGGAGTGTGAAGAATTCTTTCAAGAATTTCCATTTTTATTTTCCATTTTTTTTATTTTATTTTATTTATTTATTTTTAAAAACAAAAGTTATAATGAGTTTAACAATAAGTAATAATAGAATTGAATAAATAACATTGACTTACCAGCTAAATTAAATTACGAAATAATTTTTTAAATAAAGAAATTAGTTAATTTAAATTATATGTTAATATTATAACAATAAGTAAAAGTTCTTTTTTGAAACCACATTTAATTTTCAATCATGACAAATAGTGGCGCACAAATAAATTTTCACACACTGACAGTATAAATAGTAAAAATGGAAAATTACAGGTTTTTTTGCCAAATAACTTTTTTATCCATTATAAAAATGGCTCAAAATTTCTTCCTTCAAAAAAANAAAAAAAAAAATTGCTTCAATTTATTTAAAACTTTCCAATAATAAAATAAATTCATAAATATTCGATTATGAGTCAAAATAATTTAAAATGATCCCACATTTAATTTACAATCTACTGCGGAACGACATTCTTCAAATATTAATAATTATAATGTGATTGACGACTCTTCCGATAATATTTCCTCAACATTTTATACAAACCATTACTCGGATCAGCAACCCATTTATAATGAAAATATCACTTCAACCTTGCCTCCAGTCAGCTCACTATGTGTTCCTGGTCCACAACAGACTATTGAAAATACTATTTTTCCACTTAACATGAATAGTATTAATCCTTCTCAATCTGAAATTCTTAGTTTTGATATCCCAGGGTATAAAATTATCATTATACCTACATTTTCTCAACAAAATAATACTTGTTTGAATTATTCTTCTTCAGATAACACGAATACCCAATTTACCCAATTTCAACAATAAAATATTTTGTTACACTTTAGTTACGCGTAATTTTTACTCTTTTTATTTCTTTTATTTTTTATATTTTTAATTTTGATTTTTATTTATTATATTGTATTTCTTTATATTATATTTCTTTATATTGTATAACTGTTATTTTTATTTATATAAATAAAATATTCTTTATCCTTAAACGAAATAAATTCACTTTAATTAAATTATATGAATAATAATTTATAAACAAGCATTCTTTTTAATCATATCGTATACATCCGTAAGCACTCTGGCCAGAATTATTAAAATTTTGCCCTACGTTATGCTGTTCCCGGCCAGCATTACGGTCAAAAAAGGGTGCTTAATTTCGGATGTATGCGGTATTTCGATTTGTGCAGATCTTTTTTTATATTTATAGTTGCTTATTATAAATAATTTTAGGAGTCGTAATTTCATGAATTTCAATTTACATGCAAAAGTCGAAGACGATAGTCCAAAATGTTGTGGTCACAATACTCATGCAAGACGCTTGATAAAACATTTCTTCCAGTCAAATAAAGTGAGCAGAGTATTTAAGCGTTAATTAACATGCATTCTTATTTGATTATTATTTGACCCCTTCCGTCACTCTCATATTCTTTGTTACACAAAAATTATTATGATTGTTTTTCACATTTAGTTAGAAGTGTATATATATATATATCAAAGAACATAAAATTTCGGCTGGTACGGTACTTATTTGCATTCTCACTTTCAATGCATGAATGCACATGACATGAAGTTTTGTGCATAAATTAATAACATCATAAATAGCTACTCCCCATCTAAATAATATGTATTTGGCCGTCCAATTTACTCATAAAATTTTTTAAATTTTTATTTATTTCTTTTATTTCTTTTATATTTTTTATTGTTCATTTGTATTGTTTATATTGTATTTCACTATATTGTATCGTTGTTATTTTCGCCGTAATTTTTATTTTATTTTTATTATATAGACAGTTGACCCGGCGGGACTACAAACAACTGCTAGCAGGTCGATTTACAAAGAAAAAGAACAAAGCTAAGCTAATGCGAGTAGGTCCAATCCCCTGGGGGAACAAAAAGTGACCGCCACGCCTCTTATTCAAAAAGAATCCTAGGCAAAGCCAGATCTACTAACCCAGAACACTAGCGAACAAATAAAAAGAAACTTAAATGCACCGTATTTTTCTTTTAACCTGAAGGTTATCACCCGTAAATACTGTCAGGGGTGAAATGGTTCAACACTATTCAAAATTGTTTAGATTTTAATAAAATGTGTGTTACAAAAACACGTGTAATGATGTAGAAATTATCTTTTTAAACTAAAAAAAGAAATACTACTAATAAAAGTAAAAGGAGTAATAAAAAAAGAAAAAGAATAGTAATTAAATGTCCATATTGGACTTATACTCCATATCCGGAGTTATACACCGTAACGTAGGGTGGTCTATTATCATGTGAGCACTTTGGATTTTTTGCGTTTTAACGAAGGATTAACCATTCGCATGTATTGATTTCGAGTATCAGCGTAGTGTGGTTGATTAACGTTGATGACTGTAGTGAAAGGTACTTCAAATTTATAATACCTTTTCAATAAACGTGCCTGTTTAATAGATTGCCAAGATTGACTCGCCGAACTGGAGTCAGTGTCGGAAGATAATTCATCAAGCTCCCTGATAGATGTTAGTAAACTTGATATTCTTTGGTGATAAGTGTTTTGAAAGCGCGTAAGATCGCGCACTAAATCGAATTCCATGTCTTCGTCTTTGGAGGTGATTTTAGTGATTAATGACGAAGCCAGGGGGTGATCTCATCCTTAGAAAGAGATATAGGGTTAATTGCAGATGTTGATGAAGAGGCCTTAGCGCGTCTTCTGGATTCTCTATTTCTTTCAATCTCCGCTTTAACGTGAGCATTTTTAAGCTGTCGTAGCTTAACTACATATTCAGTAGTGCCAGGTACGAGAATTTTTTTAGATTTTTTAGCAATTAACGAGCCATCAGGAATAAAAGGTAATAAGTCATCAGGAACGCCCAAAGTTCTTTCCCTGATGATGGAGGAATATATAATTGAACCCATATAAGGTGGGATAGATGGTGTAAGTGAATAAATTAACGTATCGAATCGATAATGATGTACCAAAGGAAGAGAAGGTGATTTTCTATAGTGCAAATGTTGCACGGGTTTGTTAATTCGTTGTTGCTTCCAAAAGAGAAAGTGATGTTTTTTTGATTGTACTAATCGTTCTTCGAAGGACGAAGCCTTAAAGACTTTTATAAAACTAGAAGATTCTGTTTAAATGATTTTCTTTCGTGTAAAAACGCGTCTGCAGGCACGTTGAAATCTGGCCTGTTGTTTTCGTGCAATGTTAGGGTTGTGTGAAGGATGAGGCCGTAAATTTTCTAAACATTTGTAGTACATGTTACGACGCCCATGGAAGAGGATGATATCTTCGCGTCCATTTGCCTGGTATCGGCTAGTGTAAGAAATTCCAAGGCGTTGGGAAGAGATTGTTTTACGCCCTTTAACACGCCAGTCATTATAGAGCTTCCATGCGTGATCAGCCTTTGAATGATTGAAATGAGAGTTGAATAATGATTTCTCCAATTCTTTTTGCTGCGTCTTTGCAGGGGAACCGTAAATTTCTAAGTGTTTTTGGTGCAAAACATAATGAAGGGGCTAGGAATATTGCATCTGTAAGAGATGTTAGGATCATAGTCGTGTGACCCAAAATGTTGGCATGGTATGAATATGCCAAAATGAAACCGATATCGTTTGTAAGAAATTTAAAATAAGTTTTTGTAGAAGTATTGCGGCGGTGTTATTGCTCGCCACGTGACCTAGTAATTTTAATTCTATCCAATAATTTTATCCGGATAAGGTTAAAAAATTTTGTTTGAATGCGTCGAGGGAGAACCCGTTGGTGACGAAAAAAATGCGTAAGCATAGTGCTGATTTATAGGTGAAAAAAGGGAAGCTGGACCAGCAGGTATAAACTTCCGTGGAGAGGCCATAAGGTCCGTCCACTTCTCTCTCGAAGGGCAAAGTAATAAAGTAATAAATGAGGAGGCCTTTCCGTTGAGGCCACCCCGTGGTCCTCACTCCTCGAGAAAAAAAATTTTTGTGGGAAATTTGACGCTTACTGCGGATCTTTAATAAAAAAAACGGAAAGGGGGAGAGTTTTTTTTCATCTTTTCGCCGTAATACAGATCACATGATATTAGACACAGCATTTCAAAATTTATCACGTGATTTAAGTGATAATTTTGGCGGGTAAAATAATTTATCCATCCAAACGAAATAAATCCACCTTTAGTAGAATTATACGATAAACGAAATAATTTCAATTTTGGGACGAACCATCTATTGAAATTATACACATGGTATAAAGGGATTGTTTTTATTTTTTTATTTTCCTGGTTATCCTAATGAATTTCTTTTTCAAAATTGAGGGGGATATGAGTCCAAAATGTTTATGGTCGTAATACTCATGTAAAACGCTTGGAAAACATTTCACTTTGTCGATATCTTGGGTTAAATCTTCCAGTCAAGTAAAATTAGCGGAGTAGATCATAAATAATATTCTAAATGTAAATATGCACGTATTAATGAAATCCGCGTAAATTCTTCAAATTTTAACGATATGTTTAGGCCAGCAATTGTAAACCTTATATAAATTAATTCTGAAAATTCTATTAACTTTAAAAGAAAACTTGCTTTTAACAATCTATAAAAGATCTATAAACAGGTTAGTATTAAATATTAATGTAAATACAATCATAAAGATTATAATTCTATTTTTTCGTATATTCGTATATTTAGCTAATGAATAACCAGATTGATGATATTATAGCTAAAGTATAACTGTACAAAAGCATTGGGTCTTTCAAAAAGAATATAACCAAAGAAATTTACGGATTCGTCATGCCATATCAGCTTAGCACACGTCACAAAATCCTTAGAGATAAGTGGACTAAGTATAAAGTTTATTTGATTTTTAATTGTATTAGATATCATATTCACTAATTTTGATTCAGTTACTATAATTTTTTTTTTTGAATAATTGAATTCACAATGAAAAGCTAACAAAATTTTTTGAGTATATAGTTATAGTGAAAATATATACTATATATATCAGATATATATAATAATGAGTTAATTAAATATATGGAATTCCAAAATTATTTTTTTTTATGTTGTTAATTTATTATTCTGTACTACATTTAATGCTGTGGCATATACTTCTTATATATATGTTTCAATTTTGTTTTTTATATTGCGATATTTTGAGTATATATCTTTTTCTGACCATTTTCAAGGGTGCTGAACAATTTTATATTTTGTGAAAACGTGTTGAGCACCAGTGGTGGAATAGTTAAGTCGGTAATTCATGCAATAATTTACAGTATAACTAATCCGGTGAACTTCTCTTTCATAAGCTACCTGTTCAACATATATCTTAATATCCTCTTATGAAGTTCAAAAAAAAATTATCATTTTAAAGATAATACTAACCTCTTTATAGATTGTTAAAAGCAAGTTTTATTTTAAAAGTGAATAGAATCTTTAAAATTAATTTATATAAAGGGGCGTCCTTAACGTACAGTGGGGTACGATATTAACGAACTGGCCCCTGCACTTGCACATAAAGTTGCTTGTCGAAATTGTCGAAATTATTTTTCTATTTCGTCATTTGCAATTTGGTCAATTTTAAGAATAAAATAATTTCATTTCGTCATGTCGAATTGCCGAAATTATTTTTACTATTTCGGCAATGACCTTTTTATTTTCGGCAAGCAACTTTACTTGCACGTGATAACGTTGACGTTAATTTCGGCCATTCGTACGTTAATATCGTACACCCTCACTGTACATTCAATTGTTGGCCTAAACATATCATTAAATTTGGAAGAATTTACGCGGATTTCATTAATACGTGCATATTTACATTTAGGATATTTATTTATCACACACTGCTAATTTTACTTGACAGGAAATTTAAACCAAAATATCGACAAGAGAAATGTTTTCCAAGTGTCTTACATGAGTATTACGACTACAAACATTTTAGACTCATCACTCTTAATTTTGAAAAAGAAGTTCATTAGAATAACCAGAAAAATAAAAAAAATAAAATAAACCCTTTTATATAATGTATATATAATTTCAATAGATGATTCGTAATTATTCGTTTATAAATTATTATTCGTATAATTTTACTAAAGGTGGATAAAAATACAAATGGACAATAAAAAATATAAAGAAACCTTTGCTTAATGTTTATCATATACTAATAACTGGAACAATAATCAGAGAAACTTTATGAATAAAATAATATTTTTTTGGATTTACGTAGGATTGTTTATGAGAAAAGTAGGAATGACGATAATTTTAAAGCCAGGAATATCAAAACTAAGGATTTCAGATTGAGAAGGATTAATACTAGTCATGTTAAATGAACCAAGTGGAGGAATATTTTCAACAGTCTGCTGGGGACCAAAAGGATGCTGGGGACTAACATATTGCGGATCATACGATAGAGGTGAAGTTAAAGTTGAAACAATACATTCATTAGAAATGGGTTGTTATTGATATTTGTATAAAACGATGGCAAAATATTGTCAGAAGGGTTGACATTCACATCATTATAATTAATATTTGGAGAAGAATGTTCCGGTTGAACAGTAGATTGTATATTCTTTTTTTTTTTTATTGTTCTCTTTATCTTTCTTTTTATGAGTGTATAAGATATTTATTTTCACATATTGACAGGTAGCATATAATTTATAATTTATAAGGGTAAAGACTGAATACTTAATATTCCTTAATTTCTTGTTATTTATTTAATAATATTTGTATCTTTGTGATAAAATGTATAATCTCTGAATAGTACTACATCTTACACAATTATTATGAATTTTTTACTCTAATACTCTATCATAACATTAAATATATTTCCACGAAAATTTTTTTTATAAAGAGCGTGTCTTATAGTTAGACTATTTTTATAATTACTTCTTTGTTCATTATGTTATGCGGAAAGATTATCTATATTTATCCCACGGTTCCTAACAATAATTCATGATTTTTTTTCACGGATCAATATTAGATAAAAAAATCTATCAATATTAGAATAATAAATCTTTCATGATTTTCACTTTTTTTTTTAAGTTCACCATTTAATTAATTAAATCCATTGATCATCCGCTTTTTCGGAAAATAAGCAGGCGAAGCGAGGATTATTATTTAATATATTAATTTCCGACAATTTCCTACTTTGTTATTTCATATTCATCAATGAGTGTTTACGCATATTTGTTTATTCTTGAGCGTTCTATAGTTAGGTTTATCGTTACATATAGAATTTAGGTTATAAATAATTTAGGTATAACAATGGATTTTCTTCAATATTGAATATGTTGGTTAATTTGACAGTCCAAAGGATTTCCCCTTCTAATTAGAGTAATACCTGGCTGATTACTTTTTTTTTACTAGGCATGGCTAATGTCATCTGTTAACTATTATTTTGAAATAATAATTTTTAAAAGAAATCATAAAATAAAAAAAAAATCTTGAGAAAAAAGAGGAAAAGTTTTACTTTTATTGAAAAAGTCACTAGTTCGTTTGTTAAAAATTGATTTGAAGATAATTCCTCTTAAAATAAAAAAAAAAAACGAAAAAAAAGTGTGAAACAAAAACAAACGATCGATGATTTTTGTGAATTTTTGATAATTTTGAGGGCAAACCAAATATACTAATTAATTAAAATGCGAATTTATTATTATTATTATAATTATACTACACATGAAATTAATTATTCATACTATTTTTAATTATGGAAATATCTGTTATCTGTTATGGTTTTTTTATGCTTTCTAATTTCTATGTTACAGATGATCATAAAAGTGTCGGCATCTTTAATAATTATAAATCTTATACGTACTAGTTTTTCACTAAAAAATCGATGAGTTGAAAGAAAAGTCAGTTCTGAAGAAGAAGCTTGTTCCTGAGAAAAAGCCCACACTACAAGTCGATTCAGATCCCAATTCAAAAGAAGACACACAGGCATGTTGGGGAATGGTTGAATGACACCGATGGGATGGCAAGCCTTGGGTAGAAAAGCCCCAAAAATACTGAAGAAATAGAAAATGGCATTAAATTATGCATATTTATAAAACTTACTATACTTTATTAACAGCAACCAATTTATGCTAAAATTTTGTGAAATGTAATGTATAAAATAAGAAAAAAAAAAAAAAATTGAAGAAAGAAAGAAGAAAAAATTTTTAAAAATAAAAAAAAAAATTTTTAAATTATAATAAGTTTTTTTTTTATTTTTCTTCTTTATTTTTTTATATAATTTTTAATTTTTTTTTTATATTTTAAATTATTTTTTTTTTAACGACGAAAATTATTTACTCCGTATTTAAAGGAATTTTTTTTGCGTGATAAATATATATAATAATAAAATAGAATAAAGTATATAAAAAAAAGTACTATAAATAAAAAAATTTTTTTAAATAAATATTTCCTATATTTCTTGCTAAAAATGTACGATTTTCATGTATTGAAAGTTCGAACATAATTAGGATTATATGGAATTTTACGGACACGGTATACTATAGTAAGTAAGTAATAATAAAGTTTGATAACATTGTAAAAGAATTCCCCACACTTCAATATTTTCCTTTATATTGGTAATTTAATTTATTTATTTATTTTATTATAATAATATAATAATATACTATCATTTATGCGAGGGTAGTAAAAAAAATATTAACGGAAATATTTTTTTTTTGAAAACAATCAACAAGAAAAAATTTTTTATTCATATGATTGTAAACAGCTTTTAATTTAATCTATATACGGTTAACGAGAAACAAAAACCTGTATCTCTGATTACATAAATTACATAAAAAAAAAAGTAACAACCTTTTTTGTATAAAAAAGTGTGCGTATTTATAATTATAATATAATAGAAAAAAAAACAAATCAACGTAATCTTCATTATATATATTTTTTATATGTATAAATATAAATATATAATAGCGTATATAAATAAAAATTCGGATCCCGTCACAAAAAAAAAAACACGGATAATTCACAAAAAAAGTGCGTCCAGTAATCTGTATTTTGTCATTTCACAAAAAAATCAAAATAATCCCATTTGTCGTTTCACAAAGACGTATAAATAATCAAAGACGTATTGTTTCATTTGTTTCACGTTGTATAAATATTTTTTATCGTTTTACAAAAAATAATGGTAGTCATAATTTTTATTATAAAAATGGTCCAAAATTTTTTCTTCGAAAGTAAAAAAATCATTTCAATTTAAAACTTTCCAATTATAATATAACTTCATAAACTTTTTTCAAAATTCAATTATGAGTCAAAATACTTTACAAAATAATCAAAGTGATCCCACTTTTACTGAATTCAGTAATTTGCAATCTACTGTTATTCAACCAGAACATTCTTCTTCAAATACTAATTATAATGATATGAATTTCATCCCTTCTGATAATATTTCCCCATCATTTTATACAAACACCAATAACTCCGAACAACAACCTACTTCTAATGAATATACTGCTTCAACTTTAACTTCACCTCTATCGTATGATCCGCAGTATGTTAGTCCAGCTGAGCATCCTATTAGTCCCCAGCAGTCTATTGAGAATATTCCTCTATTTAACATGACTAGTATTAATCCTTCTCAATCTGAAATCCTTAGTTTTGTTATCCCTGGGTATACAGTTATCTTCATACCAACTCCTTCTCAACAGGAAAATACTTATTTAAATTATTCTTCTTCAAATACCACGAACACCCAATTTACTCAATTTCAACAATAAAATTTTTCGAAATTATAATTACATAGCATATAACTTAGCTATTTCTTTTATGTATTTCTTTTATTTTATTAATTTTATTTGTATTTTTTTTTTTATTCTTTTATATTGTATTTCTTTATATCGTATCGTTTTTATGTCATATTATTATAAATAAAATATTATTTTTATCCAACAAAATCTATCTTTTAAATGAATAATGACTTCGGTTCATATATAAACGAAATTTTAGAACGAACCATTTATTGGAATATTATACACGACAATACAGTAACTTTTGTAAATTTTTTTTTTTTTTTTTTTCTAATTACGAATTAATAAATTATCTCAAGTTGTTAATACCTTTTCGTTAGTTATCTGTTATTACGAAACAACAACAACAAAAAAAAAAAAATTATTTTAATAGATCATTTTATTTTATTTTATTTTATTTTTTATTTTATTTTTTTTTTAAATTCTAATTCCCAAAATTATTATTTGTTAAATTTGGTTAGTTCATATTTTTTTAAGAGTATTTATTTATACGGATCGATTATATTCTATATTTTAGGTATAATTTTGTATAACATCAATGTAGACCAATTACGTACCTTGTTGTTTTACTGAAAGGAGAGCTTAGTAAAAAAAAAAAAATTTTAAGTAAAACACTAACGCCTAAATAACTTTTTAATGTATGATGATCCCGTCAATTTTTATCATTATCATGTATTGTTAAATATGCTCTCTTTTACATGAGGCTGAAATTTCATTTTGAAAAGGATCAGCATCCGGTTCATTATTCGTTAATTTAAAGTTTGAAACTTTTTATATCATGTTGAAATTGTAGATCTTTTTCCCAATTGAATTAGTTATTCCTACGAATCATATCAAAAATAATATAATTTCTAGAATGGAGTTCATAAAAAAAAATGAAGGGCTTAAGTTTTTATTTGTTTATTTATATATATACATATGTATATATATATATATATATATATATTTTCTTTCCATTCTCGGAATATTACTCCAAAACTAGCGTATAATTTTTATTTTATATCAAGCTTTACTGAATATCTCCGAGTTCTTTAAAATTTGTTAAGTGTCTCTACCTTTTTGAAATCAGCTATAATCGCAGAAATCCCCTGGAATTCCACGACGATCTACGCATGAGCCGGGTCCGGATAATATCGTGCTCCGTATATTAAAAATAATTGCCGCTAATTTTGTTATTTTTAAAAAATCAAAAACAAGCAATAATTAAGCTGTAATTAAGCTAAAGTCTATACAATGGGTTACACGATAATATCGTTATCACGTGACCAAATCTTTACCAATTATCTGCTATCATTGGTGATATTAATCGTTGCAAAGCACAATAAATTATAATTAAAGTTACATGATATATCAAGGTCATATGATAAAAATGTATATCCAGATACTAAAAGTATATTTTCTTGGATTTCAATTAGCAAATTGGATACCCATTTCTTCGATGGACAAATAATAAATCACGGGATATATTTAAACTACTGACGACACGGTAAAATGTTTTTAATAGAAGCTGGGTATTTACATTAGTTAAGGATGTAGTGGCGGGACAGATAGCTCGATCCTAAATTCATAATTATAGTTTATTGAATTAATTATACTAACTGAGAAAGTATTCAATATTAAATTGGGAAAAGTACCATGACTTAATTGTTATACAGTATTATATTGAATTTGTTTTTTATAATTCCCACATTTAAATATGCGGAACGCATTAAGTAACCAAATCTAATTCCTCGAAGTGGAGCTGTTACACTCCTCCAACGCAATCTAAAAGGTCATCAGGGCATACCCAACAAGCACCAAGCAAAATGAATCACGAAAACAAAAGAAAGACAAACAATCTAATTCTACGAATTCCAAACAGAAATCGCAAGAGACGAGGCATCACGATCAAAGATCTTAGCGGAAATCTTAGAAGCCTTGCGTAAACTAGTCTAATTTTTCCCATTGGGGTTTTTTTATTTTTCTAGTTTAGATTCAGAATATGTACTTTTTATTTTCATATTTTTTTTTCCTATTTTTCACAGTTCGTTTAGTGGGCGGGATTATCTTGGGAGAGTCCCTCCACAGGTTTTTTTTATTTTCGACCCATTGTGACGTTGTCAATTTGGCGGCTTGGTCTACTTTTTTTTTGGATTTCGTTTTGACTAGTTTGTAATCTTTAAGTAGCTTAGTTCACATGGTAATTAAAAATAAAAATAAATAATTCCCACATTTTCTTTTCTTTAAATTACTCTAACCATAAATAATATTTATCTTAGCCGATCCTTCAATCATAAATTTCCAAATATATTATTTTATGTAACATGACTTCAAAACTCGGCGTTAATTGTCTAAAAAAGTGGTACCAAACGGTTGAAAATTGTGACGAAAAAAAATTATTATTTGGAAATAAAATACTTTTTTCCAAAATCAAAAAAGTATATATATAACGTCATATTTTCTTTCTAAAAGATAATAAAGAAGGAAAATATCATAAGTATCATTCATAACAATACGCTATACATTGTCTTTCGGTGTTACCTCAGCCTTTTTTTTTTTTTTTTTTGATAATCGAAAAGGTGAGTGGATTTCAAAATAAATTCGAGATGACAGTTATTTAAGAAATACTTTTTAAAATAACAAAATATACTGTACATAGTTTAAATGAATATATTTTAATTATTTATCCTAATTAGTATTCATTATTAGTCGGTTTACTTGCATAAATAAATATGGCCCATTTGATTAACGTTTCATGGGATTCTAATCCATAAATCACAGTCCCGTATTCATCGGAAAATAAGCAACTCCCCGAAAATAAGCAACATGGGCGGAATTATGGCATTTTTTGGCCTGCATTACTAAATCTTGGCCTGCATTACGTGCAAAAGTTGTTGCTTATTTTCGGATGAATACGTACGTACTGTACTTGATCATCCGAATGAACTACATAACATAACCTTCTTAAAAAAAAAAAAAAAATTGCATCAATTTATTTAAAACTTTCCAATAATAAAAATAAAATTCATAAATATTCGATTATGAGTCAAAATAATTTACAAAATAATCAAAATGATCCCACGTTTAATTTACAATCTACTGCGGAACAACATAATAATAATTATGTGATTGCCGGCGACTCTTCCGATAATATTTCAACATTTTATACAAACCATTACTTACAGTAGTGGTCATAAGTATCCCACCCCTCATAATTTCTGAAATCAAATAATAACACCCACTAAAATTTTTTGGGATTCAAGTATAATGCTAACCTTAATTGTGTGTAAAATTTTAAATTTGTATGATGCATATTTTAGGAGTTGGATGATCAGTAAATTTTGTGTCTCTAAAAATTTTTTTTTTTTTTACACATATATTTTCATTTCTTTATTATTTCACACCTTAGTCTTTTAAATATATAAATTTTTTTTTTGAATATATTAATTTCAAGAGTTACTACACATTTTCCTTAAATTTTTTACCAGACAAAATACATATTTGGGAAATTTCAATTATATCATATTTTTCCTTTTATTTATTCATAATTTCTGATTGTATTTTGAATTATCAACTTTATGCAAGGTTTATTCTAAGTTATATTTGATAAAAATATCATAGGAATAAGCCAAGAGATCTCCTTTATAGGTACTATGCATAAAATAAATGTCAAAACTTTACTTAAGTAAAAATTGGTTTACTAAATCTTAGAGCTAAAAAAATGATCAAAATAACAGATTTTTAATAGATAGTATGATTTTTTTCATTATTAAGTCTTTATTTTGATGGTATTTTTGGCCAAATAAAAGATTATAATCCTAACTATAATGAATGTAAGTAACTATTTTTTCAAAATTTTGCTTTAGTATTAAATATTTACGTGTAAAATATTATTTATTAAAAAAGATCAGCATTTTGCAGCTAAAAATTCACTAATCATCTAACTCCTATAATATACATCATATAAACTTAAAATTTTACACGTGATCAAAGTTAGTATTATACTTGAATCCCAAAAAATTTTAATAGGTATTATTATTTGATTTCAGAAATTATAAGGGGTGGGATACTTATGACCACTACTGTACATCAACAACCCACTTATAATGAAAATATCACTTCAACTTTGCCTCCAGGTAGCTTGCCGTGTGTTCCTGGTCCACAACAGACTATTGAAAATACTACTTTTCCGCTTAATTCGTTTAACATGAATAGTATTATTCAAGCTGGAATTCTCAGTATTGACATCCCAAGGTATAAAATTATCGTCACACCTATTCCACTTAATCCGTTTCACAATCAATCTGGGATTCGTAGTTTTGATATCCCATGGTATAAAATTATCGTCACACCTATTCCACTTAATCTGTTCCCCCATCAATCAGGGGTTCTTAGTTTTGATATCCCAGGGCATAAAATTATCGTCACACCTTTTCCACTTAATCCGTTTCAACCTGGAATGTTTTACTTTGATACCCCTGGGTATAAAGTTATCTTCATGCCAACTCCTTCTCAACAGGAAGATACTTATTTGAATAACACCCAATTTACTCAATTTCAACAATAAAATTTTCTGAAATTATAATTACATAGCATATAACTTAGCTACACGTAATTTTTGTTTCTTAAATCTCTTTATTTCTTTTATGTATTTCTTTTATTTTTATTAATTTTATTTGTACTGTTTTTTTTTCTTTTATATTATATTTCTTTATATCGTATAGTTTTTATGTCATATTATAATAAATAAAATTATTTGTTTTTTATCCAATAAATCTATTCTTTAAATGAATAATACTTCGGTTCATATATAAACGAAACTTTAGGACGAACCATTTATTGGGATATTATTATACACGATATTGGCGACAATACAGTATCTTATTTTAACATTCTATTAATCTTTATGCTTTATTGCATTATTTTGTATGTAATAAACATGCTGATTAATTAATACATTGTTGTCACTAATTCCCAAGTATAGGTTAAAGAATAATCGCAAACTCACTCCATCATTATCACTATTGTTCGTTCAAGATATTTAAAGATAATTCATTGGACGCGATAAGATTTTGTAATAAGACTCCATTAATCTTATTAAACTGCAAGAAAGGTCAATTAACGGATATTACTCTTAAAAGAAATAACATTCCATCTATTGAAATTATACACATGGTATAAAAGGATTCTTTTTATTTTTTTTTTTATTTTCCTGGTTATCCTAATGAATTTCTTTTCAAAATTGAGGGTGATATGCTTAAATTCTTCAAATTTTAACGATATGTTTAGCCAACAATTGTAAAGGTTGAACCACCTTATATAAATTAATTAATTCTAAAGATTCTATTAACTTTAAAATAAAACTTGCTTTTAACAATCTATAAAGATCTATAAACATGTTAGTATTAATGTAAATCATATCACAAAGACTATAATTCTATTTTTTCGTATATTAAAAATTTTAAAGCTACTGAATAAACGGATTGATGATATTATAGCTAAATATAACTGTACAAAGGCATTGGGACGTGTCACTCAAAATGAATATAACTAAAGAATTTACGGATTCGTCATGCCATATCAACTTAGCACACGAACAAAATCCTTAGAGATAAGTGGACTAAGTATAAAGTTTATTTGATTTTTAATTGTTATTAGATATCATATTCACAAATTAAGAACTAGTGATTTTGATTCAGTTACTATAATTTTTTTTTTGAATAATTGAATTCACAATGAAAAGCTAACAAAATTTTTTGAGTATATAGTTATAGTGAAAATATATATATATATCAGATATATATAATAATGAGTTAAGAAATTCCAAAATTATTTTTTTTTTATGTTATCAATTTATTATTCTGTACTACATTTAATGCTGTGGCATATACTTCTTATATACTATATGTTTCAATTTTGTTTTTTATAATGCGATATTTTGTGTATATATCTTTTTCTGACCATTTTCAAGGGTGCTGAACAATTTTATATTTTGTGAAAACGTGTTGAGCACCAGTGGTGGAATAGTTAAGTCGGTAATTCATGCAATAATTTACAGTATAACTAATCCGGAGAATGGCTTTAGCTACATCAAACTTACCTTTCCATCTTGCTCTTTCATAAGCTACCTGTTCAACATACAGTATATCTTAATTATCCTCTTATGAAGTTCAAAAAAAAATTATCATTTTAAAGGTAATACTAACTTGTTTATAGATCTTTATAGATTACTAAAGCAAGTTTATTTAAAATTGAATAGAATCTTTAAATAAAGTATATTAACGTACGAACTGGCCCGAGTTTAGGAGTTATGCACTTGCGCGTGATAGCGTTAATGTTAATTCCGGCCAGTTCGTACGTTAATATCGTACACCCTACCCTCACTGTACATTAAGGTAGGGATAGGAATTGATTCTAATTTTGAGAATCGATTATAGAATCGACTAATCGCGATTAATCGAATCTCAACTAGTAATCGTATCTCACTGGATAAAGCCTACAAACCCTTTAACCTTGAACAAAAAGCTGAATATAATCATCAGATGGACAAGAAAAATTAATCAAGATTTAAATCATGGTGGTTTGTTCCAATTAAATTCGTTAAATCCTAGCCGTTTGTATAAAGTGCAAATTTTTCTTTTTTACTTTTACACGTATAAAATATTTTATTAGCTATGATTTAAAAACATAAACTATTATTGCGTGTCACTGATTAGACTAAAGCATAGCATACCATCTCCCTGCTTCTAGTCATAGTTAGCCTTCGACGGACAGTAAGGTTAACACTAGACTGGACTTTTTTTATTCAAATAATTTAAAAATGAAAAATGCATTGCTTCACTTTGTTCTAATTCCAATTTTCAATAAGTTCAAATATACAGTAAGTGGTCAAACCATAGGACTGATTGGCAATTGTTCACTGTTTTTTTCAGTGCATGATGAATTATTACATCTATTATATAGATAACATCCAAAATTATCGCGTTTATAATCAAATTTTGAATCAAAAATTTATTCGATTTATAGATTATAAATACTCAATGTAGCTTTTGTATACAAAATAATTAAAATATTGCTTCATATGAAGTATAAAATTTTATGGTAATCGACTACAAGTGTTAATTTATTGATGTATCAGATTGATGTATGGTTGAATTGCTAAACTATCTAAAAATACATTGACATATTAAGTATTAACTATACGAAAAACTAATATTACTAAGATGATTACATAAAAAAAAAATAAATAATGACATATTAAGTATTAACTATACGAAAAACTAATATTACTAAGATGATTACATAAAAAAAAAAATAAATAAAATTTAATTTAAAATTGATTTGCAATAAATATAATAAATAAATTAATTAAATTTGAAACATATCAAAACATAACCAATTATTCACTGATTTGTAAAGATCCTAGTTAAGTGGTGTAACATCTGACGGTTGATGTGATATGTGACAAAAAACTGTGCAGAAAGTTATGAATTCTTGTAATGTTGAATTGTTTAGCAGTCAGAGGCACATGCTTTTTCACAATCTAAATTAATTTGATTTCGATACAAATTGCAGAAGCAATAGCAAGTTTCGCACTTTGGTAGCCCAACACACACAAGGCCGGGAGCGACAATCTGAGGTAAGCCTTCCACAATTTTTACAGTTGAAACTGCTAAGAAAAAAATGAAAAAGAAGAGAATTTTGAAAGAAGTAGTAGAGAGCATTTTTATAGATGGATTCTGGAGTTGAAAAAATTGATATATTTTTGCCAAGTCAAAAAACGAATATATTTATAAGAAAAGGAATTGTAGATTATTTAGCCGATCTTAATTTATAATATTGATTCAACATAAAATTATTCTTTTTAATTATTTATTTACCGTTTTCATTTCTTTTTATCTCATTCCAAACATATTCTTATCTCATGACAGTGCATTACTGCGTAATGGTACCCTTGGGACCTTGATATTTGGATTACCGAGCCTAGGTATAGGGGTATACTCTTGGTAGGAAAATCCAATCCAATTGAATCGATTGATCAACCAAAGATTTACAATGCATGTGAGCTAACGAGATTTACAGTCATATAAATGAAAAATATAATAGATTTCCAAAAATATCGAATTATATTGTTACTACCAGAATGTGCACCTTATGGGGCCTTCGTCTTCCACCTGTTATATGCATATCGATATCCTCAAAAAGTTGTGTAAATAAAAGTTTGCATAAATAAGGACTAATGAAATAAATAATTGGAAATAGTTATCACGTTTCTTATGTTGGATGGGTACAACATAATAATTGAGCTTCTAGATTCACAATAATTGTACAAAACGGTTGTTTGCTCAAGACGGCTATCCATACGGAATCAGCCATGTCTCTTGAGCCACCTACGGCTAAAGAGATGTCTTAAAGCACGAACTTCCGCAACGGCCTGTTCGATTACAACTTAAACTGCAACGCTTACTACATCTTTGTTGCCAATAATGATGTAATAATGACTTCGTTAATTGTATACTCATTAAAGAAAAAGCGCGCCAATAATGTTTGCTTACTAGTACCGGCGATTCCTAATGAGGTAAGTTATTATTAAAGTCTCTCTTCTCTCTCTCTCTCTTTTATCTATTATATTAATCTTTTCGTACCAATTAGTTCCAAAATTTGGGAGTACCGGTTTATATCAGGGAAAATGGTCAGATGTCGAAGATTTTCTACATATTTTAACAGCTGGTAAATTTTGATATATTTTCTTGTATCATTTTTTTTATCATTTTTTATTTCCTTATACTTTTAAAAATTTAGATACAATTGTGGTGATTAGGGATGGGAATCGATTATCGAATCTTCGTAGATTCGATTTTTTGTTCCTTAAAAGATAATCCATTTTAAGCTTTGATAATTAATTCCATGTAAATATATAAATTCTGAATTAAAATTGTAAAATCTATTAAGAAATTATATATCGTTACTAATATCCAACTGTAAATTAACTAGAACATCATTGCCGATCATTTTGTCATTTCTTTGAAGGGCATTATCGATCAATTTTTCTTTTTTGAAAATATTTTAAATCATTCACTTTAATTTTGGATGCAATGCTAAATTAATTTTTTTGCTTAATTTCAATTTTCTCTTTAACAAATGAGATTCGATTTTGATTCGATTATCGATTTCAATCCCTAGTGGTGATTAGTATGCTATATCACGATTTCGAAATACAATATTTCTCTCTTCATAACATTCGATTCAGGTATGGAATTGTGAGTATTCTCGATTTTTTTTTTCATAATTACTGCCACAGAAGCTATAACTTATTCTCGTCTTTTTTTTTAGAGAACATCACATGTGAAACAAATCGTGCCCTAGAACGCGTTTACATCAAAATGATCAAATGTATTTAATAGATTATGACTTTGAATGTTTCCAACAATCTCCTCCATCTCAAATAACAACGAATTGGATTTTGTTTCAAGTCGGTATTTTTGATATTGAAATGATTCAATTCGATATTTCAACTGTTACTTCAACTTTTTAATTCTCCAAATCAGTTCATATTCTTAAATGTAACTGTTAAAGATGATTTTGCTTCGTTAATTGTAATATATCCAAATCTTCAAACAAATCGTAATTATGTTGTTGACTTGTTGGAGAGTTTTCTTGGACATACAGTATATATCAAGTATTTAACAAAGGAGTCCAATTAAACACAAATTTACCAGCTGACATTAGTGAGTTCGATACGTCAAATCAAATGAATTAATGAATTTATTACGTGATTACTATTTATACTGCACGTGAGTCACTGGTCACGTTAACGGGGGGAATCGGTGACCACGTATACACTTCGCATGTTAATTTCGATGATTTTTTTGGCAATGATCGGCCATCAATTAAGATTATCTGGAATCATTTCGGCAAGACCCCTCCCACAAATTATATTTCCTAATTATAATTTGCATATTAATAAACTGGCCATGGAATTATCTTTACAATATGGTGCAAACATTTATAAGATCCTTTCGGATCATAAAAGAATTTCTTTAAAACAATGAGTATACAATAGAATCTCAAATCAACAATCGTCATCATAATTTAACTTCTCATTATATTCATTATAATGAGAAAATACATTCTTTTAACCTTTCATTTATTATTATTTTTTTTTTATGATAATTTTTATTTTATGAAATATTTTTTCTTTATTTTTTATTTTTTTTTATCGTATATTTTTTTATCTTATTTTTTTTTGTTTTTCATTTTCTACGTACAACGTTTAATCAGTTTAATCTTTCGTTAAACAATTCGTTTTTACAGTATTTTCTTCGCCGAATAGATATGTATATATGAAAAGCCAACTTGATATTGATATTGATGGGTCGCGTTTAACTCACCGACAATTACTTCATTTCATCGACAAACGTTTCACCGACAAACGTTTCACCGACATATATATAAAAGAAAATTTCTAAGTTTACACGGGGTGTTTGTACACAGGTCATATAAATATAATTTTTAATAGACTAATTTTTTGTTTTTTAATTTGAAATTGAATGCTACCAACATTATACTCTTTTACTTTTTATTCTTATTATATTACAAATAAATATATATATTTTCACCTGCTCTGCAAGTTTACTTAAGACATTAAAGAAGGTTTTGAATGCCGTTTTTAATCTACTAATATGACCCGTGTTTAAACACCCCGTGTACAAATAGAAATTGCCTATATAAAATTATATAGAAATTTTATAAATATTTTTACATAATTATATCTTTACATGAAATAGGGAATTTTTATTGTTAGTAACACGTATTTCTTTGTTAGATTTAATAAAGGGAATAGCATACTTTTATTTTTTTTAATAAATGTATTAATGTTTTGTTGTGATCAAAAACTAAAAAGTTTATATATATATATTTGTTTTATTATTTTAATGAAATTTATAATAACATATATAAAAAAATAAAAAAAAAAATACAATAAATATAACTATATGTTATTCTATCTACTAACCCGTCTAAGATGGAAATAAGTATCAATACTTATTAGATCTAAACTAAATATCTAAAAAAGTTTTTTATAATAAAATATCTCATATTCAATATCTACTTTTTGTGTCGGTGAAATGATTGTCGGTGAAATGAACCAGACCCATATATATAATATATTGTTTTCCTTTTTTTCTAATCTATCTATAGAATTTTTTTTTTTGCTTTTTTCCACCAATTTTTTTTTTCTTAAGGAAAAAAAAAAAACATTTTAATAACGTGCTTAATGTGTCCACGAAGCACGAAACAGTCGAAACACGTCTCATTTTTTCACTGTAACATTTTAACGCGTTTAGCGTCACAGGATGTGATGTTAAATTATAAAGAAAGCGTATTCGTCAGGATGCGCGTTAAAACGGTAGGTTTTGAATATTTGCCAATATTATACTTGACGTCGGAATTAATTACGGCATACGGCATATGGACTATGGAGCTTATGCCGTAATTTAAATACCATAAAATAGAAAGATTGTACGATACAAAAAAAAAGAAATCCATTCAAAAAATCAACGTTAACGTTATAGAATTTACAATTTATATATGGCATTATTGTATTTATGAAATTAATAATATATGCCATAGTCAAATTGCTTGAATCAATAATTCGATAATTACGACGACACGTATAATAAATGTTGCTTTTCTCATAGATAATGTTATAACAGATGATAACAGATAATATATAATGCTACAACAGATAAGATATAACGCTATAACTTGGGATACTATTTTTTTTTTGTTATTATTAAATAAAAAAAATATATTAACTGTTGACAGTTATTAAATTAACATTACTATTTAACTATAATAGGCATTATTAATTATTTGCAAATTATTTTTTGATAAAATTCTCTCAGGTTCGAGAATTTTGAAATGATCAGCCAGATTGACATACTCCGGCAAAATTGGTAAAAATCAGTACTCTCGACAAATCAATGGGATTTACGGTCATTCAATATTAAGCATCACTTTTTTTTTTATGAAAGAACTTTTGAAAATGAAGCGTAACAGAAGGATATTTAATAGGATAATTAGATAATTTCAGTTATAATTTACGTAAAATCAAAAAAATTTTATTTTTAATGAACAATTAAATAAAAATATATACAAATATAAAAAAATATTTTAAAATTACAGTACAAAGATATAGTTAAAGATATTTTTTTTATGATACATGTTAATATAAAGAAATTTAATAGAAATAATAGCTCCAGGCCATTTCGTAACGAATAGTAGCTACGTCATTAGGTATAATTTTTGGTTAGAATTGATCTTCATAGGGTTTTCCATATAATAACCGAAGTCGTTAAGTCATTTGTGCCGTCCCCGTAGAAGAATTTTTCCGTTTACATTATAGAACATGAGTTTGTAGGATTACCATCAGGTTTTTCAGTTATTTCAGAAGTAACAATAACAATTGGTTTAGGGGTAATAGTTGTTGGATTCATTTTTGATTAATTTACTTGAGAAAGAATTTTAAGAATTTAATATTTGTTTGATTTCTTTGATTAGTTGATTTTTTTTTTATTCTTTGAACTTTTTTCTTTTGATGGGATTTTACAAGGTGAAGCCAAGTGTATTTATAATGAATCAAACAAACAAATTTTAGGCGTTTAGAATATCTATTATCATCGTAGAAAATTAGAATTTTACATAATTTACGTTGTTTTCTTATTATGTAATTTATTTTTCATTGTTATTTCCTTCCCCATGCATCGTATTGTTTTATTTTTGATATTCTCCCTTTATGTTTCAAAATTTTAAAATGGTATATCCTTTTTTAGAAATTATTTAAAGATTGGTATAAATCTATTATCTGTTATAGTAATAATATTCATGCGTTACGTCGGCTATATTCCCAACAAGTAAATCTTAAATTTATTTGTACACGTTTGCATAATTTGAAACTAAATTTTCTTTACACATCTCTGTGTGATAATGATAATCATTTGTTTATAATTAACCTTACAAAATGAAATTCAAATTATTTTCAATATATTCAATAAATCTTGATATTCTAAAGTGAAATCATAATATTTCAGCTTAACATAATATTTTATATTTGTGAATTTGAGATAGCGTGCAATAAAAATAATAAAAATGGAAAAGTAATTTTTCATCGGATAAGTTATTCAATAATCTTATTAAAAAAAAATGGGCAAACAATAGCTAAATAATAATATTATTTTGAGATAACAAGGAAAAAATTAATAAAGTTTATCAAATTACAGAAATAAATACAGTATTGATCAATCAGTGATAAGATTAGTTATGTAAAATTAAAAAATTTTATTTTTATTTATTGATAATAAAATCGTAAAAAGTATTCTAAATAAGCACTATTAACAAAACGTATATCTTTTTTTGCAGAATACATAAATAACATAATAAAATCACCATTACTGCCTACTTCGCTTTTTTTTGTTCAGGCGTATTTATAATTTTTGGCTTTTTGCTAACTCTCCAAGTAATTCTTCTGACCTTCTTTTCTTTCCCCTAGTGATCAATTGTGTTCTCTTCTGATTAAGCAAGAAGTTTTAACAGAGAATCTTTTATGCAATTTATTTAAATATAAAAATAAGGTCTATAAATTTAATGGTATCAAAATTATGTGAGAGATGAATTTATTTAAGTGTAAGTTTACACTTTCGTTTCATCTAATTATTTCTTGTATTCTTTCAATACAAGGTACGCAAGTTCTAGATTAATGAGATCTTCATGAAGTTGGGAGAAGACATTCATGCATTAGGACTAAATGGAATAGCCCACCGGTAGTAGCAAGCGCACATACTCTAATCTTGCGACCTAGTTTTCCATTTTTTGATTTAGAATTTATTTATTTACAGGTAACCATGAATTGTAAATTGCAATACTTACCAACTACAGTAAGACCCATCAAACTATACCATTTGCATTTACGCCTGTTAGTTTTTCTGTAGCATCCACCCATAAGCCTCAGAGTTCCAATCCCAATTTGCGAGTATCATCCCATTCCTTGGAACGTGAACACTGTGGGAGACCACCAGACAGTGCCTGGACACCTCCTACATTCAATAACTGGAGTCCAGCTGATATCCTGGTATTCAAATATTGCGTCAACTTTAAATCCTACTCGTGCACGATCATTTGGATCAGTCTCTTTATTCCGGTGTGTTGCTGTTGCTTCCAGTGGCGATTCCTTGCTGGGCAATAAATGTTAGTGTAATAATTCTTATGATACATAATAAGTTAATACATACATTACTTACTATTTTATCAAATAATGATTGTTCTTCCCTATTGTTGCATCAAGTAGAGGAACAATATTGTGAAATGTATGTTCAATTTCAGATAAATTGTTCCTCCTAAGGCATTGCAATGGCGTCAAACTGGAAAAAATACATAATTAGTTTACTTTGCTAACATTGCTAAATTTTCTTGATGCATTGTACAATTCTTGTACAGTACATCGCCTTGTAATATGTTGTTTAATATTAAATTTTTTCGTAACCAATTATAATATGTAATTCTAACACATTTTTTGATGAACCTTGCAATTTATTACAATGTACATATTGTACAAAATAAATCGCAACGAATTTCACAATTATTTGTTTAAAAAATTGGTATAATAACTATTGATATATAGAAACTATTTTTAAATATAAAAACTAATACATAATATAATAAATCATAATTACCAGAAAGTATTCTTTTTTCACGTCTTATGTGGTGCAGCAACAAGAACTTATGTGTATTGAACAATAAGCAACATTTATTTTTTTTTATAATTATATTAAGCCTTACTACTGAAAACTCCCTCTTTTCGTTACTATAAAACAGGTGAAAGGAGCAGCAATGGCTCTCCCCCCATAGAACTTTTCATAAGGTTAATCGTACGTACGTAATTTAAAAAATTTTAATATAAAAAAAAAAAAAAAAATTTAAAAAATTTTGGGAATAGGTGTCCTTTTTATATTAAATTAGGTATCACGTGCATCACATGAATAACAATAGTGTTACAAGATATTAGTGTTACTGCAAAAAAAAAGGTGAAAAAAAATAAAAAAATTTAAAATTTTGTTTAGATTCGTAGAAATAAAATAATGTATTTTATTTACAACACAAACGCACGATAAATATAATACTAGATATAATAGAATGTTTTGTATCAAAAATACCTTCTGTTTTTTTGATCTAACATTGCTTTATTACATAATCTTTTGCAGTCTTTAATACGCTGGAGTCTCTCGAAATTGAACGGTTTGAAGAGATCTTCAAGAGTGCATACCCGAGACACTGCCACAAAAGAAAGACCCACGGTAAACTCTTTATCCCCAATGTCTATTATAACGTAAGACCCTGACTTTTATGCACCGTAATTGCCCACGCAAGACGAACTGGAATTTGCAAGGAGCTCCAGATTTACTATTCCAGGTACAGTACGTCTAATTGGTGCAATTGGTACAACTCTTTCACCCTCTGAGCTAGTAATGGCGGGACCTTTATAATTATCAAAAGAGATCAAGACTGCAATAGAGAGAAGGCGGGTCTTGATCTTCTTTGAATATTATGTCTTGGACAGTTCCCATTGAACCATTGACTAGTCCGGTATCTGTTTGTAAGTTTTCCGTTAACATTTAACGTTTTGATAGTCCATTAATACGTTTTCTCCTTCGTCAATTTTAGGATTTCTACTTAAAAACGTATCAATATCCACAAGGTCCGTATATCGTTCCCTTGGATCGTTAATCCAGTCATGATTCCGATCCATGTCTCGCGAACCTAGATCGGAAGAGCAATCGAAATTTGGTTTTTGACCCATCTCAGTAAGAAATAGTTCTTCTTCATCGTCTATAGGTGACCCAAGTAGATAAGCGTTGATCTCTTCGATATAATTGTTGTACAAGGTTGACCATGCAATAGTTCCGTCTTCGGTTAAATCTTGATCTCGGTGTAGAACGTGAAGAAGAACCTTCACTCCTCCCATTGAGGATCCTCGCATAAGATGATAGACACGCACAACATTTTCCTGTTGGCACTCTTTCCATCAACCTTTAACCAACTTGTGTGTCAAGTGGCGCTAATGTTTTTAGTATAAAATACAAAAAGTCGAATAGCAAAAAATATGATGAGATAGGAAGACATTTGATCGTTAAAAGGGAATTGGGGGAAGAATGTAATAGTTTCGATTCTCCCTTTTTGATAGATTGCAAAGGTTGTGAATATAATATCAGTAGGAAAATTGATTCAGGGAAGTGCCTAGTATATATAGAAAAAGATATAACGATAAAGATAAAGGGAAGAAAGGTTAAAGATAATGATATGGAAAATATGATGAAACCATATGAGACTTGTGAAAACATAAACGCAATGAATGATTTGGCGATTGAAGCTAATATGGATGTGTTTAAAGAGAAAGATCAAGTAATAATGAGAATAAATAATAACGTGTCAGATAATATAGATATTTGTTTAATGTGGTTAGATTACGTGATAGAAAATAAGGGAATGTATGAGGAGTTAAGAGAATTTGTGATCGTAAAATGAAAGGTTTTATAGATAAAGAAGTTATAGTAAATATAGGAGCAGTGATACAGAAGGGTGTTTAGATGGTTTTTTTTGGTTTGGGGATAATTCCAAAGAGCAGTGATATTGATAAGTTTAATTTTAATGGTAAATTGAAGTTTACAAAAAATGAGAAAAAAGTGTACGCGGTGGCGTTAATGGTAGCGATAATAATATTGCCATGTAATATAAAAATTGATTTTAGAACGGATCTAGATGTCATTGAATGGATAAATGGATATAGTCAAACTGGTAGTATACTGTACGTAAGGAGTTAGATGATAAATTATATATTTATATTAATTTTATAAATGCAATTTTAGAGTTAAAGAATATAAGTATGTTGGTTAAGATGATAAAACAGAAATACAAAAAGCAATGAAAGACGTTAAGATTCCAGCGATAAAAAAGGAATTGGTCAGTTGTAAATTTGCGATCAAGGAAGTAGAAATTAACGTTAGTCATTTTGGTAGATTAAGGTGGAATTACGTGCCGATCGAGGGAGCGTATAGATTTTTGTTTAAAGAATTAAGTTATAATACGACCAAGATAGATTTAATGCTCTTGGAATACGTTAAGGATTGTTTTATTAGCTCAAATGGAGGTAATGCACTCATAGATTGGACGGAATCTTTTAAATTGATTAAGAATGAAATCACGACGTCTAGAAATGTTGCAAACAGGGAAGACGCGGCAACGAGGTGTTTTAGGGTCAAAAATTTTCTTAAAATTTTGCCAACATATGAGGTGTTGTGGATGCGGAAAGTATGGGGAATACCAAGTAAGAAATGTCCACGTTGTGCAATAGAAGAGGAAACGTGGGATCATTTGTGGATTTGTAACAAAAATCGCGCAGGTGATACAGAAAGTGAAATATTCAAGGCCAGTCTTGATGAAGTGCTTAGCCAAAATGTAGATATAATGGACAAGGATCAAAAGAACCAATGGAAAGAAGATTTATGGGAAGTGGCTGCTACAAAATCAATGATTATGGGTCCAGAGAACCTTATTAGAGAAATTACACGAGGTCTAATTAACGAGAAATGGTGGCGTACATGTAAAATTAGAGGGCAATGCAAAGTGCTTAAAGATATATTTGATGTTTATTTGAAGAAGATTCAAATGCAGATATGGAATAGAAGGTGTGTGGAAACGATCGAATCAGAACGGCAATTAGGAATTTTAAAGGATCTCAAGAGAAAAAAGAAAAGGGTAGATGATGGCGAAGAAATGATGGAGAAGGCAGAAGGAGAAGAAAAATCAGAAAATAAAAAAACAAGAAAAAAGATAAAAAATATTATAAAAATAAATTTAGAAGAAAATAAAAAGGATGACGTATTTAGATTAGGAATTCGCGATAGAAAATCATGGGGTAGTAAAGTAATTAGTAATTTAGTAAATACTTAGGATACATTAAATTTATTTCATCGGTTACGTTAGTCATTACTTCGTTTTATTATACGAAGATTTTGGTATGGAGAGATTTAGTAGAATTAAAACTTCAATGTATTTTTTTGTATTTATCATGTAACTTGTTCTTCTACATTTACAGAAATAAAAAAATATGTTTATCAATAAAAAAAAAAAACTTGTGTGTCAAGTGAAGCTGGAATAGCGTGAAATCTTCAAGTTCTCTCCGTAAACCCAAATCATCAACAGAGTAAGATTCTTCACTTTCCTAGTACCATGAATCCGTCTTTGTCAAGATTCACGATTGGCTGAGGGTGGAAGTGGAATTATGTCATCCTCATTTTCGTCGTAATCAACATTTTCATTAATATCTTGAAGTTGGTCATCAATTGTGCCATCAATTGACAAAGACTGGAGAATTTCATGATCGATGATTACGTTAGCGTAGTAATGATTATTTTGTTTTAACCAGCCAGATTAACGCTTGAGTGACCTTATCACAACGAACTTTGAAATCCCTAAACGCTTCCGCATTGCTCGCAGATTGACGACGTATGAAAAGCACATCTAATAACAATGGAGCTTTGAAGCAAATTCTTGGACATCTTGAGGAAAGTTGATAACGTTTCCTCGATATCCATGCTGACCCCCACGAAGTCTATAAACTGACATCACAGGAAATACTCGTGCAAGCAATATTTCCTCAATTTCTGTAAGATCACGAAGTTTATCAGGTACTCCATATTGTTATCTTTCGGAAATTTTTTAGCTTCTTCTCTTTATGGCAACGTCGGCATTCCTCCTCTATGATTACAATTGATGGAAAACTTTCATTGCACATCGTGTAGAGCGAATGTTTAAATTTATTAACTTTATTACAAAATTTCTTTAGAAGATCTCGCTCGAATTCGCCAAGTATACCAGCGTCGGTATGTGTGTCTTCTGCGCCATTCGCGCCACAAAGTATTTTCATCTAACTTTTTAAATAAAATCTTCCACTTAACCTTAGTAATTTAAGAAATTTCTCTTGTAGTTGTATGCTTATAAATTCCGAAGTAACTTTTAGATTCTAAATAATTAAATAAATGGAAAATTCCGAATACAACTAATCTTGTTTTATAATGTAAATTATTTTCAACCTTTATTTCAGGGTTATTTTAATAGTATCGACCCCAAAAATTTGTTGTTTGTATATTTTAATGTGATCAGGAACATTTTTTTCATAATACTTTAAATATGTAATACATTTTAAAAGCGAACTTTGAATTTAAATAGTTGTTTTATCGCTATTTGCTGCGGATTTTGTTGTTGTGAATTCAAGTCTTGGGTCAGGTATTTTCTTCGTTCACGGTGGTAATTAAGGCGTTTTTCACGTTGTTCGTCCGTTTTCGTTGCTAACTTTACGCGCTTCCGTTCTTTGTCACGTGCGGCACGTGCCTCTCGTTCTTCAGCATTTGCATTTTCCCCTGCTCTTTTTTGCCGTGTATTTTTCACGTTGCTTTGCAAGGCGTGTTTCACGTTGACTAGATGTTTCACTCTCTCTAGTTTTACGCTTCCGAAGTGCGTCACGGCTGATTTACCTTTGTTAATCGAACATCGCATATGATGATAATCGTAAAAATTATCTTTTGACCCTGTACGACATCCTTTTTTGACCCTCCTATATGTAATACAGTATATGCGGGTCAAAAAAATAACATGAGGAGGGTCAAAAAGGTAATTTTTCGATGATAACACGTCAGATTACCGTATTTAGAATAATATTAGACTAACCTCATTTGGATTAGATCGAACTGAACTGTTCAGTAATTTCAGTGATATAAATTTGTTTATAAATAATGCTCGAATTTACATTCAATTATTACATTTGATATTTACGATTACTACATTTCTTATCTAGACTTAAATTTGCAATGCTGCAAAAGTAATTAATAAAATTTGATAAAGGTGGCACAAAAATTTTTTCGCTCTGGATCCCCAACGGTTTCTGTTTCCTAATATTATTGTTGAATAGTTACTCTTTGAACTGAATCATTCATGCTTATTCTTCAATGGACTTTCTCAAAGTGTTTCATGAATTCATATTTGTTATTGAAAATATTATTACACACTGGACAATTGATTTGTAGAGCTATTTGAGGTACCGGTGGTAACTGATTAATAAATCCATAGATATATAAATGATAGAATTTACAGCATAGAAATAAAGAAATAAGGAATAGTAACGTACCGGATCAATAATTCTATCGATTAAAGACATATCCAACTCGAAACCTGGCAAAACATCTTCACTGCTAATATCTCTCCATCTAGGATTAGAGCGAATACAATATTATACACATGATATAAGAGGGACTTAATTTTATTTACTTCTGATTTATATTCTAACTACGTAATCATATGAATGGTAGAATTTATCTTCAATCATAAATTCTTCAAACTTTAACGATATTTTAAGAATTTGCACACATACTGTATATATAAATAAAAAATATATATAAACTATAGCAGTTGTAATAATAGTTGAAATAGTACTTTGTATTTACACACTTTAAAATTAAAATCTATAAATAGTTTAAATAAGATATTTAATCCTCATTATCCTTATTAATTGATCTATACTTCATATACTATTGGATTCACAAAATATTAAATGAAAAGTTGACATTTTTTTGAACTTCATAATTCATAAAATACAACATAAGGTATTTCTTTCCATATGGATTGGACGTAAATAACCTAATATGGGCATGATCAGATATGCAAATTAAAATAAAAAAATTTCAAATTATTATTGCACGAATTTTGAACTACAGTAATTCAATTTATAAAATTTATAAATTTTTTTTCGCATTAAATGAAGAATCTACTCGTACTTTATCAGAAAAAACTGGAAATTAATAATGAATATCAACAGTATACTCCTGTCTTTTGGTTCTCAAATTTTCTTATTAGATTCGGTTTTGAAAGTTGCGAAAAATAATTTATTCTTAAATAGTATATAAAAGTAAATTTTATTGTAAAGTGTATGTCTTATATTTAGACTATTATTATTAATATTATTTCTTTTGTTCATAGTGTTACACGTTAAAATTTTGTTTGTTGGATAATATAATATAAGATTAATTAAAATAATATTTTAGTTATATTTATTTTACTTACTACAGTAGTATAGATCTCTATATAATCCACGGACAGGACGAGTTTTAAAAAAAGGAACGAATAAATAAGAAAATTTTAATGGCGTATAAAAAAATTCGCGTACAGTAGGAAATTGGAGATAAAGAATAAATATTCTTTTTGAAGAGAGAAAAAAAATCTGAAGTTAAAAATATGATAGAGAAAAGAAAATATAATTATAGTAGGAATCAAAAAGAGAGAACGGAAAGACAACTTTTTTACATCTTCTGAGTAATAATCAATGAATTTAAAAATGGAGTTTGTGTTTTATTTAGTAGTTACACGAATCTTCGGTATGGGCCGGTGTAAAAAGATTGGTACCTCACCCGAAAAGGAAAGGATTTTACACTAAGAAAAATACCGTATGACTAAAACAAAATGGGCTGAAAAAAATATATATATTACAATGACTTCGAATAAACATTTTTACTAATATTTTTTTACCCTACTATGGATAGTTTCTCTACAAAATGAAGCAATGCATCACTAACTGATAACGAAAAGTTGATGATAATTAATGTTTACAATTATTTTTTGGGGGCTAACTTTAAAAAGGAGGATCATCATCAGGTCACATTACGCAAGCGTGTTGCTGAGGTGTTTGGGCATAGGGGAAAGTACAGTTGGGAGGGTGGTTTCAAACTGGAAAAGCCATATTGATGATACTTTTACACTACACAAAATGCTTAAATATCCTAAATTACAATTGAATGGTTAAATTCTCATGATATTGCTTTTTCTGATGAATTAAGAAAATCAGAACTTTTGAAGCTGGTTCAAATAAACAAAGAAAAGGTTCCATTTTCTTGTGTTAACATTGCAGAACAATATGAATGAATATAAAGTTAAATTTACCCCTCCATACCATAATTGTGAACTCCAACCTATTAAAGGTGTTTAATCAGTTGTAAAGGGTAAAGTTGCATGCTCAAGTCCACACTCAAACCTTTTATTTATTAGAAATTCACTTTTAAATGTATTTAAAAAAAAATTTTCTTCAAAGGTTATTGTAGGACTTCGGGAAAGAGCTTTTAAAAATGTTAAGAAATATTTTGAATCTGATAAAAATATACAATTAATTGATGAAGAATTTGACGCTCATAGTAGTTCTGATGAGTATTACATGACATGACATAATATTTATATTGTATTTTTTCCAATACATACTGATAATATTAAATAAATAAAAAAAAATATTTATATAATAAAATTTTTTTTTATTGATGCAATGTTTGAGGTACCAATCTTTTTGCACCGGCCCATACACAATTATTTAATAACATGTACATCTTAATTATACCCTATATATCTTCTTTTGATCGCAGTCTTTGTTTTGTACCTGTTTTAGAGAAAATAAAAAAAAATTTTTTTTTTTCTTTTCTTTTCTTAATTATTAATAAAACTGTACAATGAATGACGGATAAAAAGGTGATAAATAGAAGATAAGTGATTCAGCCCAATCGACTAATCAAGAAAAAACTAGAAATTGGACAAGAGAACGAGTAAATTCAATCCAAATGATAACATTTCGTTTGATTGAAGTTCAACCTGAATTTGGATATGTTTATTCAAGTTTTTTTTTTCCTGCAGGTTTAGATTTAATAAAAATAAAAAATAAAATAAAATAAAAAATGAAGAATAAATATATATAAAAAAAATTATTTATCAACTTTCTGATAAAGTATAAACTTCCTAAAATGGTATTTAAATAGGACCAAAATAAAAAAATGCAGAATTAGAACCAGTAAATTTTCTGATAGATATGCTGATCGCTCATTAACCAAATTAGACAGTATTACGAGCTTGCGCAAATAGATCATTATTAGATCATTACAACTAATATTCTAAATTAATATTAGTATATGTTATCTTTGTTTTTTTACTTTATATGACATGGACTATTCGGAAAAAGTATTATAAAAACAATAAATATAATTATATGGTACCCTTTTTTTTTTTATATTACTTTATATAAAAAAAAAGAAAAAATATAACAAAAACTTTTTTTTTTCCTATTGAATAATAATAACACGTTCAATAAAATATTATGGGTAATCATCCCACAGTGTTTCATTCCTATTTCCTTCATTATTTTCTACGACGAAATTTTAGTAATTACGCCTGTCAGATTAATTATGAAAAGTTTGTAGTTAATTAATAAAATTTCCTTATTTTTTATAAAAAAAAATAAATTTTTTTCACAAAAGTAACGAATCTCGATCTAAAAAAACAAATCATTGAATATAGGATACGATGAACAAGTTATATCTACACTAAAAAAAATGATATAAATACATATTAATTCTAAGATAAATATGAAATAATTAAAAAAAGAACAGTGAAATAATATTATAGCATAGTCATAAATTTCATAGATTTAAAAAAAACATATTCTTCAAAAGATAAAACTTCAAAAAGTAATTTCAACAAAGAATGTAAAACATTCTTAACTTGGAATTTTATATTAAACTAACCATTCTTATTCTTGTGAACAACAAATTGGAAATTTTTTTTTTTTTTTTTTGAAAAAAAAAAGTCTGCGTAACCATAAGCAAACGGGGCACGCTTGTTTCATATGAGTTTGTATGATATGAAAAAAAAAAAAATTTAACCTGGGATCTCGTCGATCATTGGATGTAAGTAATCGTCACCGTCCAAATTAGGCATTATCAGTTCATGAAAAGGTCACTGTATTATTTATTCATTATCAGTTGGAGAAAAAGTCCTGTAATTTATATTATACTAACTACTATATCACACAATACCTGTTTATTATACTTTCATGATTTTCTTTTTTAAAGTTTTTTTACTGTCTAATATATAATTTAATTTATTTTATTATTATATAGATTTAGTAGATAAAAAAATCAATAATTTAATTAAAACAACATAAAAAAAAAAAAAATTAAAATTTTATTATTTATTAAAAAAATTACAAAAAGGCCAGTTTTCCTCTCGCGTAAGAAAAAAAAAATTAATTAAATTAAAATTCACCCTCGTCTTATCTATTTTTATTCAATTCCGCTTTTTTTGTCCATAAGTTTAATATTTTTTAGTATAACGGTCCAAAAAAATTTTTTACCTCGGATTTTCACTCCAAATTATTATTATATTGTTTTAAACGAATCAAGAAAAGAAAAGGAAAACTCTTCCCGCCTTACGTTTTCTTTTTTTCCCAACAAAAATTATCCCGAAATTTTTTTCGGTAAGATCGAACGGAAGATTCCCAAGTCTCACAATAATATAATTTCTTTATATTTAAAAAAAAAAAATTTTATTTAAGGTGAGTTTTTTTTTTTACTTTGTTTTTTTTTATATCATCATATCACGATATTGATCGACATAGCGACTGTTCATTAATACTGATTTAGTTATAAAAATAGCGAAAAATCGTAAACTTTCAAAACATTTCATTACAATATAAATTCATAAATCTTATTCAATTTCAAAATTCAACTATGAGTCAAAGTACTTTACAAAATAATCAAAATAATCCCACCTTTACTGAATTGCAATCTACTGTAATTCAACCGGGACAATCTTCAAATATTAATTATAGTGATGTGAATGTCAATTCTTCCGAAAATAGTTTCCCAACATTTTATGAAAATACCAATAATTCAGATCTATTACCAACTTCTAATGAATATACCGCTTCAACCTCAACTCCAATTGTCTCCTCGTATGCTCCGCAGTATGTTGAGCCACAGCAACCTATTGAAAATATTCCTTCTCCACTTAACTCATTTAATATGACTATTTACCCTTCTCAATCTGATATCCTTAGTTTTGATATTCCCGGATTTAAAATTATCGTCATACCTACTTTTTCTCAACAGGAAAATACTTATTTGAATTATTCTTCTTCAAATATCACGAATACACAATTTCAACAATAAAATTTTCTGAAATTATAATTACATAGCATATAACTTAGCTATACATAATTTTTGTCTCTTAAATCTCTTTTTTTTTCTTTTATGTATTTCTTTTATTTTTATTAACTTTATTTGTACTTTTTTTTTTCTTTTATATTGTATTTCTTTATATTGTATCGTTTTTTATGTCATACTATAAATAAAATATATATATATTTTTTTTATCCAATAAATCTAACTTTTAAATGAATAAATAATATTTCGGCTCATATATAAATGAAATTTTAGGACAAACCATTTATTGGGATATTATACACGACATTGACGACAATACAGTAACTTATTTTTTTTTATATACAGTATATTCTAATTACGAATTAATGAATAATATAATCGTTACTTATTCTCCTCAACATTGTTACAGGATCTGAATATTGTTATTCCTTCTCCAGTTATATACTAACCCTATAAAAAAAGAATGTCCGGAAATTGTAGCTGAAAACGTCCTGAAAATGTTTATTTGTCTGGAATATGTCCGGAATATTGCAATATTCCGGACGTTGGAAAATTTCCATTTTCCGGAAAATGTCCAGAAAATGTCCAGGAGGGTTCAGACCCAGCGTCCAGAAAGTGTCCGGAATATTGCAATTTTCTGGACGTTTTCCGGACACACGGACATTTTCCGGATGTTTTTAGCTACAATTTCCGGACATTTTTTTTTTACAGGGTAAGCAAAAATGAATAGCCTAAGACGTAAGTAATCCTCAAATCTTTCTTTATCAATCAAAAATTCCTTCAATTTAAATATTTTTTTTTTTTGACGCTAATCAGTTGAGCAATAATCATTTTATCAGACAAATGCATTTATAATTAAATAATTTAATCAAGCGCTACACAAAATTACAATTTAATATCTTTCTATCTTCGGTATTCTCTTCCAACTCTCACTGAATATCCTAATAATTTTTCAGTGAGAAGATTACGCTATTGTTATATTACTGCGGAGAACTATTCATGGTAATAGTATCCATAAGGGCAGACGGTGGAAAGGTTTCAAGCGATGACAATTTATCGCTTTAGCAAAATATCTGATATTGGAATTTAATTAGATTTTTCTTCCCATAACTAAAAATTGTCTTAATTAAATGAAAATTTTAATACAAAATTATCGTGTCTAAGACGTATTGATTGAATCCTTATAATGTTACAATCAGATTAATGAAAAAATGAGGTAATCTCAACAAAAATCATAATTACGATATACGTTTGAAATTTATGGAGATGCAGCGTAGAAAAAAAACTATCTTTATGCTTTATTTCATTTTGGGACTTGACTTTACATGATATACAGTATTTAATAGTTACTCGGTATTTGCAATAAGCAATAGGATCGGTGGAATTTGCTCATTCTTATTGCAAAATAGCGCCGCAGTTACGAGGTCACGTTGTTTACCTAAGTAACCCATCAGTTATATAATGAACCCATCAACTGAACTTAAATATTAATTGGCTTTATTTTTCCAATCAGCCGATATGTAGATTTTTTTTTATACAACGTAATAACTGGTTGTACTAACATAAATCACCAATTAGTAAATGTCTGACAAATAAACATACTGATTACATTGTTGTCACTAATTCCCAGGTAAAGGCTAAAAAACAAAAAATTTTAAAGCAGAAGTCAAAGAGAGTTGTAATTGCAAGCTAAAAATACCAATAATAATATACTTACTGTGCATATATTTATTATTTATATACTTTATTACCATCAAATGTATGATCGCATTATGAAAAAACATTTTTTTGTAGAAAAAAGATTTTTTGTTATACAATGGGCCTTTCCCAAAAAAATAAAAATCGGTTTAAGTCTAACTTTACAATAATAATATAAATTCATAAATCTCGTACTAAATTCATCTGTTTCAAAATGCTTTACAAAATAATCAAAATGATCGCTTTTACTGAATTCAGTAATTTGCTATTATTCAACCGGGACATTCTTCAAATACTAGTTATAATGAACCCTGCCGATAATTTCTCGATATTTTGTACAAACAACAAGTACTCAGATAAACGACTAGTTACTTCTAATGAAAATATCGCTTCAACTTCAATTGTCTCCACAGTACTATCATTGTTCCGCAGAAACCTATTGTTTGAGAACACTTTTCTATTCAATTAATATGACTAGTATTAACCCTTCTCAATCTGAAATACATAGTTTTGATATTCCTGGGCTTAAAATTATCATCATAACTACTTTTTCTCAACGAGATAATATTTAGTTGAATAATTCTTCAGAAATCACGAATACTCAATTTACCCAATTTCAACAATAAAATTTTTCTTCTTTGATTTTTTTATATCATTATTTTTTTGTATTATTTATATTGTATTTCTTTATATTGTATAACTCTTAATGTCATTTTAATAAAAATTATCTTGAATCAACAACGACTAATGTTCATTTAAAAGATAACAAATAATTTAACTTTTAAATTATAATATTTTGTTAAAATTCTGCAAATGCTAAAGCAATTTCAATTATACCAGATTCTTCCTTTCATTTTTTCAAATTATTAACCTCACAAAAGATAAAAAAGTAGGGATGATGATATCATACTGTAAATATCATAAATATAATTTATTAAATATATTACATATTTACATTGTTTAAATGAATATATTTTAATAATGTTTAATGTGTGATGTTTTATTGCAGTAGTAAAAAAAGAAATTATGTGCATGAAATAAACAAAAAAAAAAGGAAATCGTGAAACAACTCATGTTTTATGATCATGAACTACTTACCTATTCACTGAAGAATTATTACATTTTCAGTATATTTAAATATAGCCCAGTCTGTTCATTTAACTTGGCCGGAAGAAATGTTTTATCAAGCGTCTTACAATAAGTATTGCGACCTACAAACATTTCGGATTCGACTTTTGCATATGATTTTTGCATCAAGATTGAAGAAAAATTCTTTAATATTAATGATTATATTCATATAATCATTATTCGTTACTCAATAGATGATTCGTGAATTATTTCGTTTATAAATTAATATTATTCACATAATTTTATTTATTTCGTTTGGAAGGATTTTTATTTAAATGACGTAACAAAATGCACAATAATGAAATATAATATAAAATAGAAATATAAAAAATAAAAAATAAAAGAAACAAAATTAAAAATTTTTCAATAGGATCAACATACTGAGGCTTGTGCGTTCAATAAATTAATCTGAGATAATTTTAATTCTAAAATTGTCAAATTAATAGTCATAAAATGAATTACCCTACTGATTTCATTGTTTTTTTCTAGGCAAGACTAAATGTAGTTTATTTATTTTTAAAGTGAGTAGCTATAATTATTTATTTATTTACCTAAACGTATCGTTAAAATTTGAACTGAAGAATTTATGCGGATTTTCAATTAGTGCATATTTGAGGATTACTTACATTTAAGGATATTTAAGTATAACGCGTTTTACTTGACTGGAAGATTTAAACTAAAAGAAATACTGACAAGCGAAATGATTATTTTTACATGAATATTGCGACCAGAATCTCAATTTGTGACATGATTTTGCAGCAAATTCATATGGTTACGCAGAAAAGAAATTCATTGATTCGTAATTAGAATATAAATCAGAGTAAACAAAATTAAGTCCCTCTTATACCATGTGTATAATATTTCAATAAATTATTCGCTCTAAAATTGAAATTGTTTCGTTATAAATGAATCAAAGTTCTTACAGGCAATACCTTTGACTAAAGATGGATGTATTTATAAATAATAATTTTTATTTAAATGACATAATAGTTATACAATATAAAGAAATACAGTACAGGGTATTGAGGGTAAAAAATATAAATAATATAATAAATAAAAGAAATAAAAGAAATAAAATTTAAAAAATATTATTGTTGAAATTGATCAAATTGAGTATCCGTGATACTTGAAGAATAATTCAAATAAGTATTATCTTGTTGAGAAAAAGTGGGTATGACGATAATTTTAAAACCAGGAATATCAAAACTAAAGATTTCAGATTGAGAAGGGTGGATAGTAGTCATATTAAATGAACCAAGTGGAGAAGGAATATTTTCAATAGGTTGCTGCGGCCCAACATACTGCGGAGCATACGAAGAGACAATTGGAGTTGAAATATTTTCGTTAGAAATGGGTTGTTGGTCTGAATAATTGGTGTCTGTATAAAATGTTGGGAAATTATTATCGGAAGAGTTGGCATTCACATCATTGTAATTAATATTTGAAGAATGTCCCGGTTGAATAACAGTAGACTGCAAATTATTGAATTCAGTAAAAGTGTGATCATTTTGGTTATTTTGATCATTTTGTAAAGTATTTTGACTCATAGTTGAACTTTGAAGAATTTTTATTATAATCGGAAAGTTTAAAAAAATACAAATGATTTTTTTTTTTTTTGGAGAAAGAAATGTTGGTTCATTTTATACAGAAAAAAGAGGTTTTGGAAAAAAAAAAAATAATAAATATAAAAAATATTTTTTTTTGTTTTATTTCTGTATTGGTTATTACCCGTTTTGGGAAATTATTTGATGTGGGGTAAAAAAAAAAATTTTTTTATGTGGAGTAAAAAAAAAAAAATAAAACTGCTTACTGCGGGGAGAAACAAGATTTGATATGATAAATTCAGAATAGAGAAGATGGTAATCTGAGTCTATCAGCTATACATGAATAGATGTAGATCTAGATGGATAAGGGACATGAACCCATCCCGTGACAGTGCATTAAAGTAGGATCGACACTTATTTATGTGAGTGCACGTGACGTTATTAGCTAAAAAATAAAAATAAAAAAGGTAATTGATAAGTTAAGTTATCAAAAGTAGATAAGGAAAAATAGATAAGGTAATAGGGATTAAGGAATGATCAGAATTTTTTCAACGACAAATAGTAGCACAAAATAAAATATCGTACCAACTAATTTGAAAATTTGAAAGCTTTTATTAAAATGAATGTGATTAGCTGTATTGCATCATTATTATCTAACTTGATCGTTACTTACATGCTACAATAGGTTAAATGAAGTATGGATTTTTTGCTTTTTTATATATACATACATATATATATACGTTTACATTTATCCTCAAAAAATTTTTTTTATATAATTATATATCAATACTACTAAAATTACAATTATAATAATTATAATGAAATCTTAAAAAAAAAAATTTTGGGCTGTAGGTGTCCCATATGTATATCAACATTTTATTCATTTTATTGTATTTTGATTCTTTTTAAATTATTTTATTTATACATTTTTAATTAAAAAAAAATAATAATAAATAATAATTTATTTTTGAAAGAAATCATAAAATAAAAAAATCTTTCAGCTATTACCACTTCATTTTGAGAAAAAGAGAGGAAAAGAAATAAAAAAAAGTGAGCTTTATTTTTCTTAAATAAATCACCAGAATTATTTTGCCGTTTTGACACTCAGTGTGTCCGTAAACACATAAAAACTTAAAGTATGCATAATTACATACATAGTTCCGAACACAACCGAACATACCGAAACAAGCAAATATGTGAATATGATGTGAATTATATAATTTATATATATATTTTTTATGTACTAAAAATATATATTACTAAAGTTTCATTTTTTGTTTTGTAAAGGAAAAAAATTTTTTTCTCGATTTTGTTCGATTTGTAGAAATGATCGACACACTGAATGGCAATTAAAAAAATGATTTAAATGTAATTCCCTTAAATTGGACTTATTAAAGAAAACTATATTTAAGTTCCCTATAAACAGAATTAAAAAGAAAGTAAAGACTACTAATGTGGAAGTGACTTGGAAGCAACAACAAAAATTTTCTTTTAAAGAAAAAAAATTAACAATTAAAAATATCAATTTTTAAAGACAAGTCATCTTCTAGATGTAAGTTAAAAAAAAATAATCCCTTAATATTAAAAGGGTTCATTATTGCTTTTTTTTTAAAAAAAATTTATTATAATAATGTAAAAAAAGTTCGGGACATCAAACAAGTGAACGTTCCATTTGCAATTCTATTTTTAAATTATCTAATTTAACAATGATTAGCAATACGTCTTTACAACTTTAAACAATTTTTTTAATTGTTCTTTAATTAACAAAGCAAAGTTAAAAAATAAGAAAAATGACCTTTTTATTAACATAAGGTAAGTTGTGTTTGGAGGAGAAGTTTTTTCGTTGTTTTTTATTGTATTAATAATTGAATGTTGCGGTTTTGTAATACACAACAAATATTATTTATTTACGGGATCATGGCTCGTTTAAAAGAACGCACGTTTTATAATTTCGAATCTGATTGGTTGTCACTTATAAATTTATGAAACATTAATATGATCTGCAAAATAGTCTAAATACCGAACCAAAAAAAAAAGGAACTTGATGATAAAATTACTAAATTTAACCTGAAGTTTAAAAAAATATATAAACTTTCTTATATAATAAATAAAAATATATATATATATATAAATTTAATTTATTATATTTAATATATTTTTTTGGAATATGAATAAGTCAATAATTGTTTGTAAAAAAATAATAATAATAATAAATTTTTGTTTAATAAATTTAAACAATGAATTTGTTCCGTTGGTCCGGTCGTTAAATTATTATGAGATATGAAGATTATAACGAGAGAAACTCAAAGTGGGGTATAAAAGAATCTAAGGGACAAAAAAAATCTGGTTATTCCTTCTTTATTTCATTTAAAAACAAGTTTTTGATCTTGGAAGACGGTTAAATTATATATATGATGTATATATATAATATATATATATATTGTATGTAATATATAAATAAAAAAAAATATTTAAAACTCGTGTTTATCTCTGCTGCGGGTATGAAAATGTAATCCAAAATAATATATATATATATATAATTTGTAAATATGCATAAAAAAAAATTGTCTATTATATTCTCCACAAAATATATAAATAAAATAAAAGAAACACAAATTTTATTTAAGTTATTTTAAATGTATGAAATCTTAAGTTTTGATATTCCAGGGTTCAAAATTATCGTCATACCTACTTTTTCTCAACAAGATAATAATCATTTGAATTATTCTTCAAATATCATGAATACTCAATTTCAATGATAAAATTTTGATTTATTAATTTTATTTTTTAAACCTTTTTATTTATTTTATTTATATTTTTAATTTTGATTTTTATTTATTACATTATATTGTATAACTGTCAATTTATTTATATATATAAAAATTATTTTTTACCTAGGCTACTTTTGCAACTAATCAACATAAATAAGTGTCGATCCTACTTTAATGCACTGTCACATGATGCACTTTCACCAATGAGATTGCAATTAATAATGACTATCATCATAATCTAAACGTATAAAACGCAATGATGCCGTGATAACTAAACGTCTTTTTATTAGTTATACAGTAGTTACCATTTTAATTATAACTACAAATTATTTTTTATAATTATTTTTTATATAAATTATTTTTTATAATTATTTTTTATATAAATTATTTTTTATAATTATTTTTTATATAAATTATTTTTTATAATTATTTTTTATAAATTATTTTTTATAATTATTTTTTATAAATTATTTTTTATAATTATTTTTTATAAATTATTTTTTATAATTATTTTTTATATAAATTATTTTTTATATTTATTATTTTTTTTTTTTCCAAAACCTCTTTTTTCTGTATAAAATGAACCAACATTTCTTTCTCAAAAAAAAAAAAAAATCATTTGTATTTTTTTAAACTTTCCGATTATAATAAAAATTCTTCAAAGTTCAACTATGAGTCAAAATACTTTACAAAATGATCAAAATAACCAAAATGATCACACTTTTACTGAATTCAATAATTTGCAGTCTACTGTTATTCAACCGGGACATTCTTCAAATATTAATTACAATGATGTGAATGCCAACTCTTCCGATAATAATTTCCCAACATTTTATACAGACACCAATTATTCAGACCAAACAACCCATTTATATGATAATATCCATCAATTTTGCTTCCAATTAGCTCGCCTTGTGTTCCTGAAAACATTCCTTCTCCACTTAGTTCATTTAATATGACTACTATTTATCCACCTTTCTCAATCTGAAATCTTTAATCATTTGAATATCACGAAACCCAATTTACTCAATTTCAACGATAAAATTTTCTATTTTCATAGCATATAATTTTAGCTATGCGTAATTTTATTTCTTAAATTCTTTTATTTTTATTTTTTATTTTTACTTGTATTTCTTTGTAACTGTTATGTCATTTAAATAAGAATATAAAAAATAATTATTTAACTTTCCAGACGAAATAAATCCACTTTTAGTAAAATTGTATTCAGGAATAATAATTTATAAACGAAATAAGCTTAATTTAGGACGAATCACTTATTAAATTATACACATGGGTAATTTTTTATTTTTATTTTCTGGTTATCCTAATTACAAATAATGAATTTCTTTTTCATATAATTATTATGAATGGTAGAATTTATCTTCAAAATTGAGGGTGATACGGGTCCAAAATGGTTGTGGCCGCAAGATGCTTGAAAATCGTTTTGCTTAGTTAAATCTTCCAGTCAAGTAAAATGAGCAGAGTGAGTCATGATTAAATATCCTAAATGTAAGTAATCCTCAAACGATATGTAAATATGTAATTACGACAATTGTAAAGGTTGAACCGCCTTATATTTAAATTATTCTAAAGATTCTACTCTCTTTAATAAAAACTTACCTTTAACAATTTATAAACAGGCTAGTGTTAAGTGAATAAGATACATAAATCATATCAAAAATTATAATTCTATTTTTTTCGTATATTAGAATTTTCTAAGCTAATGAATGAACGGACTGATGATATTATAGCTAAAGTGCAACTGTACAAAAGCAAGCATTGGGACGCAACCTTCAAATGAATATGGAAAAGAAATTATATACGTCAGCTTAACACACGAATCGAAATTCTTCTTAGTACTAAATCTGAAGACGTGGGTTTTTGTGAAATAATATGATTTAAATTTATATCATAATTTAAGGTTAGGAATCAAAAATTAATTCTGATTCAATTATTGTAAAGATAATTTATAAGAGGATAAGTATATCCTGGCTAATTAGGAATAAGTAAAATTTTACTAGAATCGGATAAATGATCGGCCGATAGGCCGATCATGTTAAGTAAAATTTTTTAGTCAGGATATAACTGGTTTATCCCCTGCCATTTACACAATAGTAAATGAGTATAAATATAGTATATTTTATTGTAGAATCTTTAATTTTTTTTCGCTTGGTTTTTTTTTTCATTTTAAAAAATTTTAAAAAAATAATTAAAAGCTTCGGAACTATTACTATTACACTTGAAAAATAATGTTGAGAATACAAATAAATTAAAAGAAAGTTTTTCTGAATTACTCTATAGTATAATCAATAGTTAATTTTTACTGCAAAATTTCCTAGAAACGGATAAATAAATACATATAAAATTTGCTACCTAGTAGGTATAACTACATCGTGTAAATGGTGCCGATCACTGTGCAGAACGATTTACTGCCGAAAATTTAGCTGCGCCTCGCTTTTTGCTGCGTCTTAATTTCAACTTTTTTGAAAAAATTATCAAATTGCAATAGTAAAATTATTTATTCAATAAATAACTTCCAACTTAAAGTTCCAAGTTTCCCGGTTATATACCTCCGGTGTTGTATAGTATAGTTGACGAAAATCTATACATTTTTTTTACACTATATAAGTGGTATATATCATATTATCCCAAATTTCGTAAAAAAAAAAATTTTTTGTTAATCTGGTTTCACATGATTACCTGTGTTACCTGTTACAATGTTAACGGCTAGTAATTTTATAATTATATACTTTTTTCCATAATATTTAAATAAAAAAATGGATAATTATCAATTTAAATTATTATAGTTGTAAAAAAATTAAAATATATACAGTACAATTCCAACCATGGGTCTCTTTTTGTTAGACCGGAACTTTTTTAATAATACTTTTTTTTATTATTTTTTTTCTACTTTTCTTTAATTCGTTCTTTCATAATATTATATAAGATCTAATTCATCTAAATATAAAACAAAAATTTTATTGCCACATTGATTTAAACTTATTTTAATCCTGTTGCAACGCAACAGGCTACAGCTAGTAAATAAATAATTAAAAAACAAATGACTATTGGTTGAATACATTTTTTTTTTTTTTTTTTTTTTGATAAACGTATAGTTACTTTATTTAGTAAACGTGAAAGAATATACAATATTATAGATTCTGGGTTGTAAATGTATCCAAATAACAATATTAGCGCCCATTCTGCAAGATTAGGTCACTCCGGTTACTTAGTTTGGAAATTTACTGATTACACACTAAATATACAAAATCGTGCTATGTTACTCAATAGAAAAAATCTCTATTAACTTCTACTTACTAACGCTTGCTTATTTTTTTTTTTTGTTATAAAATGGCTCAAAATTTCTTCCTCAAAAAAAAAAGGATCAATCTGTTTAAACTTTTTCGTAATTTATAAATATCGTTCAAAACTCAACTATGAATCAAAATACTTTACAAAAAAATCAAAATAATCAAAATAAGCCGACCTTTACTGAATTCAGTAATTTGCAATCTACTGTTATTCAACCGGGACGTTCTTCAAATATTAATTATAATGATGAGAATGTCAACTCTTCTGATAATATTTTTCCATCATTTTATACAAACACCGATAACTCAGAACAACAACCCACTTCTAATGAACATATCGCTTCAACTCCAACTCCAATTTCCTCATCGTATACTCCGCAGTATGTTGGGCCGCAGCAACCTATTGAAAATATTCCTTCTCCACTTGGTTCATTTAACATGACTACTATCCACCCTTCTCAACCTGAAATCTTTAGTTTTGATATTCCAGGATTCAAAATTATCGTCATACCTACTTTTTCTCAACAAGATAATAATCATTTGAATTATTCTTCAAATATCACGAATACCCAATATCAATGATAAAATTTTGATTTATTAATTTTATTTTTTTAAACCTTTTTATTTATTTTATTTATTTTTTTATATTTATTATTTTTATTTGTATTTTAACCTGTATTTCTTTATATTGTATAACTGTTATTTCATATGAATAAAATATTATTATTTATCCTTACAAACACTTTTAAATTAAATTATGTGAATAATAACTTTGGTTTATAGGCGAAATAAAAAGATTTTTTTTTAAGACAATACGCCAACACCCAACGTCTACCGAACACAAAAAATATTTAACCTTGTATGTACAGTATTTAACTTAATGATAACGTTACACTTTGTTATACTTTATAATCATGTTATTAATTGATTGCATATACTTTAGACGCGTTCTTTATTTAGTTTAGTAAAAAATATATTATAAATAGGTTATTTGGCTTCTTTTTTACCGCTCGAGAATATTTTCAGGTAACATTTCCTGATATTATATAATATACTATACATTTATATGCATCTAAAAAGAGAGGCACGTTCACCATATGATAAAATAAAATTGCATTATTTAGAAAGGCTGCATTGCTTATCGGAAGCTATCATCCCAAGTAAAAATTGTAAACAGGTTTGTAAAATTATTTAATAATTGATTAAAAAAATTCTTTCGTCATTTAGATCTACCGACGATCGAGCACTTGGCAAAGAATAGGAAGTTGAGGTTGGATCATCTTCAAATGAAGCGAAAAAGAGGAGCAGAAAGATTATGACTAAGATTGTACGTGTTATATATTTCAAAACCGGATAAAGTTTGAAAAGAACAAGATTATCTTATTCATTAAAAGTAATATTAATAATTGAAGAAGTAATAGGATAAAAAATATTGTGTAGTGTATTCACAATTAGTTGTTCTTGAATTTACATGTTTATGTCAATTACAACATTTGAAAGGCTTTTGAAGCTAAAAAATTAGTAATCTAATTTTAACGGATACATAACATTCGTATGAGAATAAACTTTAGTGAATTTTTTATTAAACGCTTTGGTAAAATAAAACATTGAATATATCTTCTTTCTATGGTACATTATTTCATATCTATTAGGAAAATATGTTGTATCTATTAATTAAATCAAAAATATATTAATATTATACAATATTGTAAGAACATATGAACGTCCTCAGACTTTTTTATATAACATCTCTAAGCCCATAAATAAGCTATAAAATACCACGTGGACAATCTTTTATTGCAAAAAAAAAAAAAAGTAAAATAAAATATTTACCTCAAATCCTGAAACTTTTGCACAATAAATGGCACAAACATGTCTTTCAATTCCTTGCTTTCCTTTCTAAAGAATCATCTTTCAAAACTACATCAGAAACTTTAATAATTAAAACATGCTACTTATTTTCTCTAACGGTTTTAAAATTCCCGGCAACGAACGAAAAACTTGATATTTTAAGGTTTTTGATTTTACAGCCGTAGAATTATCGTCTTTTTTATTCATGATTCGCAAAAATTTCATTATGCGAATATTATATAATGAAAATAAATTAATAAATTAATTAAACATATACAATTTATTTAAATTTAAATAAGTATCTTTACTAAAAAAAAAGTTTTAATATCGCTTCTGTTGAATAAGTTAATTATAATCACTAAAGATTTCTTCATTAATAATTCTCACGAAATAAATTCTTCAAATTGTCACGATATCTTCAATGATGGAATTATACAAGAGACTTTTATTTAACTCTAAATTCCCATTTAATTAAATTTATTATTATTTCACTTTAAATTATCTTGTTTTAAGATAACTTAATAAGAAAAGAACGGGTAAATTAACGAATTTGATTAGAATGAAAATTATAGTTGGGCGACTTTATGTATTTACGATTTTGATCAAACCTATACGACTACTACATATACTAGCGACCAAATAGATTTTAATGCAGAAGTTGGTAAATGTGCTATATGAGCAGTATAAAGATTATTATAATGTACCACTTTTTGGTGAGAGTTGTTTAATGTTTTCAAGTAATCAATGGTATTCTTCAACATGTTCTATATTAATATTTCGAAATTGATTGATAATTATGAATATTTAATTTTTGCATCTTCTCAATTTCTTATCGAGATTGAGATACGAACAAGAGGGTAACAGCTTTCGATAAACTAAGAAAAATTGATTGTAACCTTTTCATCATTGATTCATTTTTTTAGATAGGACAGAATTGAAGGCTAATAATCCTTTCTATTTTGGAACGGAAGATCGTGAAGCGAGATTATTTTATATAAATTATCGTTTCGTTGGTTAAAAAAGTTCTTGATAAATTATCAAGGTAATTTTTTCAAGTCTGCAGTCGATCAGGCATTTAAAGAATTATTCATTAATAAAATAAATTTAATTTCTTAATATTTATATTTAAATAACTAATTTGTTTTTTTTCTTGCTTGATTCAATTGATTCATGATATACACACTCCTGTGAAATCATGGAATGTGGGCGTTTTTATAGTGTAACAAACTTTTCACTCCTCACGTGATTAAAATGTGGCACGAATTTTATACTTTACCAAAAAAAATTGATGTTATGTACTACTTTGAATTTAGTTAATCCTGTCTTATTTTTGCGGATGGATATTTGAACTAAATTAAATTTGATTGGATGATTCATGCATTATTCACCAGAAATATGTAAGCTTTTACTGCATGATCTATTAATTTTAAACTTTGATTGAAATTACATTAATACCAATCGGTTAAACAATAGAATTAGACCAAACTTTTCAATTAAAGTTTAATGCATTTTTTTTAAAAAAAATAATCTCAAAATTTTCTATATTACGGTACTATAAAAATAACGAACCGTATATTGTAAAATGTAAAAAGCTATAGCTATTAAACTATACTAAAATTAATGCAATAAAATTACAAGGAAAATTAGTTATCAGTTATATTATTAATAACTCTAACGGATGCTTGTCTTCTCAGTTTTCACCAACGAGTCATAGTACGTCTTGTGGAATTGAACTTTTGAAGAGCTTTATAACCCTTATTTTCATTTTCCAGTTCAAACCGAATATTTTTTTTATAAAATTCAAGCATCTAATAATAATAAATAATCAATAAAATAAGTTGTTTATTATATAATTAAATATTGAGTTCTCGAAATTTTCAATAATAATAATAATAATAATATATAATTAAATACCTTTTGAGGACATTTAGCATGAAGTTCTTCAAGGAGATGCCTTGACCTACTTCCTGATTTCCTAGAAATATATAAATTATTTTATAATTTCCTTAAATGTTATTAAAAATTTCAATTTTTTTAGATTTACCAATTAAGATATCCCACTATTATTCCTTGATCATTAAGTTCAAGAAATTCAATATCAATAGAATCTTCATCCCAATTAAGACTTTCTTTAGGATCGCGAATTTCAGGATCCAACAATTCTTTCATTAAAGAAGGTTTAATTCTTTGCAAAAATATAGGTGGTGGATATAATTGAGTTTGTGAAGACTGTGCAACAGTTGATGAACTTGGTCTTGCAGTTAATTTTGAAGTCGTTGATGTTTCCTGTTCAGATTGATCTCTCTTATTAGGATAAATATTTTCTGCAGTAATGTTACGCGCAGGATTACTAATAGTATTTTCGTCAGAACTATCATCAACGTTGAGAATATCACAATTTATCCTTCTCTGATAGCGAGATTTTGTTGAACTACTACTATCTAGAAAATGCGGAGATTTATCATTTCCATTAGCATCACAATAATTATTTATTTTTTTAGATTGCAGGGATTCATTAAAATCATTTTTAATTTCGATTTCTATCTCCAAAGATGGACTCTTCCTAGACCTCCTTTCTAAATCAACTTTTTTCCAATATTCCTTAATCAATTTATCTGCAAATCTAATGTATTTTTAAAACATTATTAAATAAAATAAGTTGTAAAAATGGGTTAAGATTGAAATAGACACTTACACATTCGTATGGTTTTCCCACGTGTTATATTCTGATGACCATCCTTTCCATTTCAATAGATATTGTAACTTTCCCTAAAAAACGTAATAACGATTAAATCATTTTGAAATAAGTAATATACAACAAATAAATAAATGAATGAATGTATTACTTTCTTAAATCTATGTTCAAGTACTTTTTCAACAGTGTACTCTTTGACAGATTCATTTTCACACTCGTCGTCATCAATTATATATTGTTCAATGACTCGATCTAAATTTTCTTTTCCAGTATTTTGTTCTACACATTCCAAATCAATAATATCTCCACCGAGAAATAGTGGATTGATTGACATTTTTAAAAAAAAACCAGTGTATTGGGATTCCAGTACTAGCAACCGTACAGTATTTAAATTGGTAAAGAAATCTTGAACTATTATTATTAATATCAACGTAAGTCATAGCCTATAAATATAATGGATTGTAATATTTTTGTGATTATTGTAAGATGACTTGAACATGATGTCATTGTATCTAAGTATTCGAAATATTTAAACTTCAAGTTCAACTGTAAACGTAGTAATTACATCATTTTCCTTTAGAATAACATTTATGAAAAAAAAAATTCTTATTTTAAATATAAAATTGTTAATACCCGCCGTTTTATCTTAGGAATATTAAAAATCTTAGTGTGATTATATGGAATAATTCGTTACGCATTTTAAAATTACTAATAAATTCATTGGAGAATTTATATAAACTGAACTATATCGTCATTATACACCTGCCGTATTATGAATTATGTATAATACGAAGTTAGTTGCTTTTTCATTATTAATTGTTAAACAAAATAGATCAAGGAAATATTTAATTCGCTCTGAGTAGTTTCCGTATCAATGTTAGCAGTAAATTTAATTGACAGTTTAGCTATACTAATTGTATTAAATATTATCAGCTTATAAATATTTGAGTATTGAACTCTACGAAATTCAACCTATTTAATATCCGTTTTTACATACAATCGGAATAAATAGGAAATAAAATTTTATGCAAATAAT